TCCGCTTCGTCCAGGACTACCGTGCTCTCAACGCGATGACTGTCAAAAACCGGTACCCCCTTCCGCTGATCAACGACCTCATCAACCGGCTCAAAGGCGCTCGTTACTTCACCAAACTCGACGTCCGTTGGGGCTTCAACAACGTCCGGATCAAGGAAGGTGACGAGTGGAAAGCGGCTTTCCGGACTAACCGAGGCCTGTTCGAGCCCTTGGTGATGTATTTCGGCCTGACAAACTCTCCCGCGACGTTCCAAACGATGATGAATGACATTTTCCAGGACCTCATCCTCTCCGGAGACATCATGATCTACCTTGACGACATCCTGATCGCCCATTAACACCGGCAGATCGTTCAGGAGGTCTTGCGGCGACTCCGAGAGCACAAGTTGTACCTCCGAGCGGAGAAGTGCGACTTTGAAAAATCGTCAATCGAGTACCTCGGAGTCATCATCTCCCACAACCACGTCGAAATGGACCCCGTCAAGGTCGCAGGCGTCTCCGCTTGGCCGACTCCGGAAAACAAGAAGGACATTCAGCAGTTCCTTGGGTTCGCTAATTTCTACCGCAGGTTCATTCGGGACTTCTCGACCCTTGCGCGCCCTCTTTTCGTGCTCACCAAGAAGGACCAGCAATGGACTTGGGGCGACGCGGAGGCCTCCGCGTTCCAAGCGATCAAGGACGCAGTCACCTCGGAACCGGTCCTGGCGATTCCAGACGACGCACGGCCTTTCCGACTCGAGGCGGACAGCTCTGATTATGCGACGGGGGCGGTTCTTTCACAATCCGCCCCAGACGGGAAGTGGCACCCTGTAGCATTCTATTCCAAAAGCTTAAATGATGTCCAGCGCAACTACGAAATCCACGACAAGGAGATGCTGGCGATCATCCGCGCACTCGAGGAGTATAGACACTTCCTCGAGGGCGCCGCGCATCCCGTCGAGATTTGGACTGACCATAAGAATCTGGAGTACTTCAGGAAGACGCAGCACCTCAACCGGAGACAGGCCCGCTGGTCCCTCTACCTCTCCCGGTTCGACTTCACGCTGCACCACAAGCCCGGCCGCGACATGGGCCGACCTGACGCCCTCTCTCGGAGACCCGACCACGGAATCGATTCCGACAACTCCGACGTCGTCCTTCTGCGGCCCGAACTCTTCCATGTCCGCGCTCTCGAAGGTGTCTCTGTTTCCGGCCCTGGTTCTGAACTCCTTTGCGACATCCGCGATGCCCTCTCCGGTGAGCCTGACTTAGAGGAGCCCGTCGCACTAGCGGCCCGGCAACTCCTAAAGGTCCAAGGTCAAGCTCGAGGCCCCCGCTCCTCGCGCTCCGACGAGTGGGCTGTCTCCGGTGGTCTTCTTCACTTTCGTGGGAAGATTGTCGTACCTAAGGATAAGGACCTCCGGAGACGCATCATCGAGCTCTGCCACGACACTCGAGTTGCCGGACACGCTGGTCGCTTCAAGACCTTGGAGTTGGTCTCCCGGAACTACTGGTGGCCTCAGATGTCTCGCCATATTGGCCGGTACGTCGCGACCTGTGACTTGTGCTGTCGCACCAAAGCACTCCGGAGACTGCCCCACGGAGAGCTGCACCCGACGGAAACGCCCCCAGAGCGTTGGCATACCGTCTCTGTCGACTTCATCGTCGAGCTTCCGGAGGCCCATGGGTACGACGCGATCATGGTCGTCGACACCCTTGGGAAGCGTGCCCACTTCTCGGAGTGTCACACCACGGTCGACGCAGTAGGGGCGGCTCGCCTCTACTACCGGAATGTCTGGCGCCATCACGGGACTCCGGAGAAGTACGTCTCCGACCGCGGCTCGCAGTTCATCGCGGACTTCACCCGAGAACTCTGGCGTCTAATCGGCATCAAGCCTGCCACGTCCACCGCGTACCACCCGCAGACAGACGGTCAAACAGAGCGCGTCAACCAGGAGCTGGAGCAGTACCTCCGGATCTTTACCAACTATCAGCAGGACGACTGGGATGAGCTGATTCCGGCCAGGGAGTTCGCCTACAACAACCACGCGTTCACTCCTCCACGCAACAAGTCCCCTTCATGACGGACACGGGACGACTCCCCCGCATGGGCTTCGAACCCGGAGTCCGTTCCGCTATGGAGTCCGTGAACGAGTTCCGCGACCGGATTGCCACTGGTGTTGCCGAAGCCAAGGCCGCTCACTAAGGCCAAAGAGGAGTACAAGCGCTACTACGACCGGAGACGCACTCCGTCTCCGGAGTTTAAGGTTGGCGACCGTGTTTGGCTGGATGCCTCTGACATCAGGATGACTCGCCCCTCGGAGAAGTTCTCCCACCGCCGCCTCGGACCGTTCAAGATAGTCGCGGAGATCAGCAAAGGTGCCTACAAGCTCGACCTCCCTCCGCTACTCGAAGCTCCACCCGGTCTTCCCCGTCGTCAAGCTCGAGCTCGCCCAAGACGACCCCTTCGACGGACGCCCCGGCTACGACCAGCCCCCTCCGGACCTCGAGGACGGAGTCCCGGAGTGGGAAGTAGAGGAAATCCTGGACGCAAGGGTGAGGTATAAACGGCTGAATTACCGTCAGATGGAAAGGCTACGACGTCGCACGACCAGTGGGTCCGCTTCGACCGCGTCTTCGCCCCGGAGAAAATCGCGGAGTTCTATCGTAAGTACCCTGGCAAACCACGGCACATCGCCTCTGCAACCTTCGACTCGATTCCATTCCGGTCTATGCGTCGGGACGCCGCATTCAAAGGGGGGGGTGATGTCAGGGGAACCTCCCTTTCGGCCCCTCGGAGACGATTCCGATTCCGGTCCGACTCCGGTTCCGACTCCGGCGATCGCATCACCGCCTCCGTCAGGCGCATCGCCGCCCCCGCCTGGCGATCCCCCTGGGACCTGGCCTGCGACATGGCGCAGGCATACTGCACGGAGCAACGATCAACCTTGGCGTCAAGAGCGCAGTATATAGTTCCGCTACCTAGCAGGCGGACCCTTAGAGTTTCTTCTCTTTGGATCCTCCCCTGCTAGGTCAGCCTCACTTGTATTTGCTTACTTCTATTCACTCTTTGGATCCTCCCCTGCTAGGACCTTGATCTCAGGCCTCCGGGGTTGCCCTTACACTAACGATGTTGTGCGGGGCTGCCATTTAATCCCCGCTTTCCATCACGGTCGCACAGGTGATTACCTTCCGAAATCTATTGCCCGCCCCCAAACTGCGGCTGATCAAGACTGGAAACACTATTATGCCAATATGTGAGTGCTCTCAACTTGTATCTGAATCTACTTATAATTTCTGCAGGGTTGTGGATCGTGATATGCTGATGCGGTATCACCAAAACGTCGTTGGTCATCGCAAACTTGTGTCAGTCCCAGTGACTCTGGACAGCGATCCTGAGCCAACGGATGACAACGTGCCGGACGAGTCAAGCGAAGTAATGGATGTCGATTCAATTGTTCCGTTGGAGAATGGGGAGGATGGGGAGGGGGAAGAGGACCCCGACTGGTGTGCTGACCTGGGTTACGAAAGCGCCGGGGAGGACGAAGGCGCCGATGAAGATGAACCCCTTCAAGGGGATGATGGCATTGCACAACCGTTTGGGCCTTGCGGCGGAGTGAAGCTCATTTACCCGCTGGTGAACATGTTGTGCCCGCCGTCACCTTCAGTGACGGCGTCGGCGACATCACCAGTCACCAGCTGCCGCCACCATGCAAACCCACCCTCACAACCCGTCGTTGCGAACGTCCTGGGCACCGCATGTCGAAGATAGCCCCGGTGCCGTCTATATCCTCGCGGCCGTCAATCCGTACACGGGCCGGCTCATGGTGAAGATTAGAGAATCTGTCGACCATCTACGGCGTCTACGAGAACATCGCTCGAGATGTCGAGGACAGGCTTTTTACCTCAAGCTGGCGTTCTATGTTCCACTTAGAATCCATTTCGGTATGTTTCAATCTAAATTGTGTGCAATAATGGCTCATACTCCCTATTAGAACGGATTGTGCAAGACTTTTTCGACTTCGTATGCCATGCATGGCATGGCCACGTACTCTGCGCTGGCTGCGGCCGTTTTCACGTCGAGTATTTCGACCCCCAACAGTGTGGAAGCTTCGAAGACATCGCGTTCACTGTACACATGCTCGTTAGATTACAAGGGTGGGCGGTTGAAAGAATTGACTAAAATACATAAATCATGTTGCAGAATAGTTACTAGTACACAATAAACCTATCTATGGGCCTACAAAGGACTGAAATACTTGTGCAACCCTTGTAAGGGGCTTGAGATTGATTTTCAATGTCACAAGTTGTGACAACATGTCGACCAATTTAGTGATGCATAGACTTGGTGTCTACAGTTAGCGCGAGGTTAAAAGAAGACATTTGGAGAACATACTGCCGTCCAGAAAAACCGGGTCGCGGAAGAGGAATATCAACCCTATGAGACTGAGAATGCAAGGGAAGACGAAGCTCCCCAAGGCGATATAAAAGAGACTGCGGATCTTGGAACCACGGGATGCTGGGAAACCGCGGGTTAATGTTCGAGATAGTAATTGAAGGATTGCTTACATCCGCTGTTGCTGCCTTTGCCAACTGTAGTCGAATAATTACCCAGAGTCGTCCCAGGCCTGTTCCAGAGACGCAGCAAGAAAAGCGCTGAGGCGAAACTAGAAGGAAATCAGACACGTCTCTTCAAATTGCGAGTCGAGGAGGCCACACACAAACTGTCAAACATCTGGGAAAACCAGTCGATTTTAGTCCACGGCTGCTTGCCCCACAGGGTTTGACCGGCCACGAGAGGAGACAGTTTAGATTTAGATCCAACGAGGCTGGTGTACTTTGTGAGAAACACTGCCAAGTTGGCGACCCGTAAAATCTGTGGGTGTACTACTGGATAACATTTGAGAATGTCGGCTTGCACACTATCCTCCCTGCCCGCTCTCTCGACTTGGTATGGTATGCAGCATAAGTACTTGAATCATTTTTTATGGAATAAATATTGTTCGTCCGCTAAGTACCTACTAGTATTTCTGAGTTTGTTTGATCAAATCTGCACATCGCTCAGCCATTGCCATGACCGGAGCCATTGTGTGGGCAGTAGTCACACATGGAAAGACGGATGCATCGCAGACCCTCAGTCCCTTGACGCCGTAGACTCGCAGCTGGTCATCAACGACGCCTCCAAGCTCTCGTTTCCCCATCTTGCAGGTCGACGCATAGTGATAAACGGTGGCCACTTTGGAACGGATGAAGGAATCCACATCACCGGGGGAGTCGGAGGCAGGCACGTCGTAAGCCTTCATCAAATAACCAGTTTTTGCGACCTGAGCTGCGATACGTGTCGAGAGGAAGATGGCCTTGCGGAGAGTTTCCATATCCTCTGGATGCTGAAGAAAGCCGAGGTCGACTTGAGGTCGAGCATGAGGATCAGCTGATTTCAGTCGAACAGAGCCAGTGGATTTAGATTGGAGCATAGCGATGAGGAACGACAACAGCCCAACAGTTGGAGCAGGACCTTCGATAAATGTAGATGCAGCGATAACCATAATCTCGATATCTGGTGTCACGGATAAGACCCGGCCCGTCCGCTCCGGCGCTGGTGTCGGGCCATTGCGGGCCCGTAACACGCAGCACGTGACGACGGGGAACATGCGCCCCAGTAGGAGGAACGCACACGTGGGAAGCACGTGACCGAGAACGACGCGTCGAGCCGTCGCCGAGCCCAACTCGACACCAGGGGAATGGGGAGGAGTGCTAGGAGGTCAGGAGTAGCGCCTGGCCCGCAAGGGATGTGCGATCGTCCCCTCTGCGGCCAGGAACGGGAGTGAGGAGGAGGAGGAGGGGCCAGGGTGTCCGATCACCCCCTTTGCGGGCCACAGTATATAATGCGCGATAGTGTACCCTGTACTCTATCGCTTAGATCGTCTGAAGAACTACCTTACTCCGTGCGAGGGAGACGCTATCGACTCATCGGGCCCGACACGACCCGATTCGAACCTTCGACCACCGACTACGGCAAGGGACCGAGTTCACGGGCCCTTTCGGTTTCGATCTACCCCGCCCGCCATACTTGCGGGCCCGACTATTCGTCTGTTCTGTTCCGGGCGCGTTCTTAGGAGAGGTCCTTGCACGGCCCGACCCGCAGTCTGACAGAATCTAAGCGATCCCCTTACGCCCGCACAACAGAACACGCGAGAAGGCGACAAGATTCATTGCAAAAAGTCCAAGAGAAAAAGAGAATACAAAATAATAAAATACAAAAACCCCCCTCCGACTACGCCCGGCCTTTTCCCTTTCGACCCGACGAAGGACCCGACGGAGGTGAACGTCGTGACCCCGACCCAGGCCGAGGACCCCCAGGAACGGGGCTCGAGCGACCGGCCTGGCGACGGTCCGCGGCGGCCCTCCGCTCCCACAAGTCGAGCCGGGTCGACCCCGAATCATCAACGGCACCGAAGACGCCCCGCACCCGAGTGTACAACTCCACCATTTGAGCCGCAGAGAACCGATGCCCCAGGTAATCCATCAGCTCGAAGTCGGCCGGCTGCATCAACATGCGAGTCTCGGACCGGAGTGAACGCAAGACACCGGTGGACAGAGGGTTGTCCTGGGGCCGGGTCAGCAACTGGTGCAGGAGCGTCACCCCCACGGCGGAAAATCGGCACGATTGGGCCACATCCGGATCATCCAACAACCGGTGCGCCTCGGCGGTGGCCCGAAGTCGGCGACGGCTCGCCGAACCAAAGCGTCACGTCCGGGTAACCCTCCGGGGCGGAAAGACATATCCCCCATCACCGAGGGGCCCGAACGGCCGGAGCTGGTTCCAGCTTCGGGACGGCCCGCGTCCCTACGCGGCCCGGTGGGGGGAGGACGGATCGGGGTGACAGGTGCGGAACGAGGGGGCGCGGGAGATCCCGTGCGAGGAGGGGGCGCTGGCCGACGGACCGGAGAGGCCGATCGCCGAGAAGAAGGAGAGCGGGAGCGTCGACGCGACGGCCCAGGTCGGGGACCCCGTGACCGAGCCCGGGGGCGTCGCGGAGACGGTTGGCGGCCCGCATGCCGGTTCAGAACGTTGGGACGGGAAGAGTGTCCCTTGTCCTCCGAACGACGCCGATGTTGCGCCCGCAAGGTATTGGAGCGGGGCAGGAAACGGAAGCAGAAGCGCCGGTAGAGGAAATTCTCCGACACCGCTTGAAGGTCCGCGAACCGCGAATCCATCTCCAATAGAGCGTACACGCCCTCCTCGTCTGTGCACTCCCAGAATTCGAACCGCCACGGAGACTCGCGTAAGTCCTTGGCCTCGTAAGCGGCCGCGAACGGGCCCCACGACCACAACAACGACGGTGCGAGAGACTGCACCAGTCGCAAGCACGCCCGAACGTTGGCCGGGAGTTTGGACGCGAGGTCACCGGGCTGGCCCCAGACGGTGCAAAGCCGCCCCATCTGCGCGCAAAAAGGAGCAACGCGGGCGTAATGGTCCGAACCACTTCGCCAGGGCGGCAACGGTTCACCCGGGAAACGCTCTGTAGCGCCCGTCGACTCAAGGCCGGGGCCGAGGGCACGTAACCGTCGGTGTCTTCCACGGTCAGCCGCGATACCCGGTTCGACGGGGAGGTGCGGCGAGCGGTGGGGCGACGGGGAATCACGGGGATAGGCGGAGGGTCGTCGTCCGAGATCTCGATCACGGATGCGGCGCGGATCGGAGGAGGGGGCCGGGCAGCACTTCCAAACCCGGCGAGGAGGCGCGAAGGTCCCATCGACACATCGTCCGGAGTCATCGACGTCGAGCATAATGACGTCGGGCGCCAGGGGCAAGGGACGGGGACGGAAGGAGAGGGTCGGAGCCCAGACACCGTCCTCAGGCAAACCGACCGGAGCCCGATGTCGGATCACCCCCGGCCCGGGTGGCAGTAGTCCGGCACCAACCACAGACTCCAACTCCTCAACGACGGACGGATCCGGGAAGACCATTTCGGGAACGTCCCCGACGAATGACCATAGGCGGGGAAGGCTCCGTGCCAGGATCCAACCACTCCGCCCAACGCTCCGCCACACCCAGGAAAGAGAAAGTAGTCCCCAGTTCCGCCTCTTGAAGATTGCGGGCGCCCGCAAACGTCGCCGCATCGCGAGGATCGGGACCTTCCCAGAATCGCACCCCGAACTCCAGTACCGGGTCCCAAGCGAAGTAGTGAGGAACGAGCAAAGGGCGGGGCTGTTGCAAATAATGAAGGAGTGGATCGGGACCAGCGCGGGGCGATGGAGGAAACACGCGACCCACGCAGTCGAGGGCCAGATTCCAGAGGCCGCGGGACAAGAAAACGGGGAGGCCCGCCAAAGACAACGAGAGAATAAAACGAATGACCTCGCGCTGCCAAAAGGTTTAGTGAACACAAAAGGAGAGCGGCGGCCGATTACGCACGAGGATGGGCCACAGATCCTCGAACGCCTCTCGGTCCGCCCCGTCCTCCTCACACAGGCGCCAAGGCAATGACAAGCTGACGAGCGAGGCTGCCCAAGTACTCGCGAGGTCGGAAGGACCGCCAGACCCGCTACCCGGGTAGTTCCAATGGCAAGACGAGTCGTAAGCATCGAACAGGACGCCAAGAAACGGTCCCGAGGACCGAACACGGACGGGCGCCAGAGGGCAGCCGCCATGGCTGCGTCAAGCGACGCCTGCAGCCAATCCCAGAGGCTGGTGCTGGGAGGACGGACGAGGGGAGGGCGATGCAGACGGGAAAATCGGTATGCAGGATCCCGAAAGTACCCACGAGAGAAGCGGGGGGGCACGAGAATAGTGGAGACGAGGACGACGCGTGAAGTGAGTTCGGACAAAAACACGCGACAGGTCGACCCCATGCACGGGGAGGCGGATGACCTGACGAGGGGGAGGTCTGCCAAATCGGCCAGGCCCGACTGTTGGACGGGGAACGAAGAATGATTCGGGTCGCTGGTCGGGGCGAACGACGGGAAGGCCAGGGCGTCCAGGAAAGAGAAGTGCTCCAGGAGGAAACCAGGCGTTACCCGTAACGGCGGGACAGCGCTGGTGTACGGCGGTAACGTTTGTCGACAACAGGACATAGTGGGGGGCCATGACGGGAAACGACGAAAAACGAAGGGGAAAGGAGAATCGACGCAGCCTATATATGGCCCGAAACAGGGAATGTTCCATATGGAAAACCCTCGCAAAAGGAGAGCGAAGTGAGACGCCCCGAGGACGCCCGAAATAGCAAGAAGAGGACAAAGGACGCGAAATATATTGCCAACGCGAAACGCTATACCGCACGTGACCGCGGTGAAACACTTGATGGACAGGAAGAATCGATCTGCGGACGCCACGAGGCGTCAGAAGCCGCGGGAGATTAAAATGCGCAGCCGAAGCTTAGCTTAAGCTTATGGGCTGGATGGAATTTGCGATTGGAAGGACGAGCTAGAGTCAAAATTAAACCCGAGAAACCGGGGCGACCGAGCCACGCCGACTCGAGACGAGTCGTTCCTAGGGAGGGGGTGATGTCACGGATAAGACCCGGCCCGTCCGCTCCGGCGCTGGTGTCGGGCCATTGCGGGCCCGTAACACGCAGCACGTGACGACGGGGAACATGCGCCCCAGTAGGAGGAACGCACACGTGGGAAGCACGTGACCGAGAACGACGCGTCGAGCCGTCGCCGAGCCCAACTCGACACCAGGGGAATGGGGAGGAGTGCTAGGAGGTCAGGAGTAGCGCCTGGCCCGCAAGGGATGTGCGATCGTCCCCTCTGCGGCCAGGAACGGGAGTGAGGAGGAGGAGGAGGGGCCAGGGTGTCCGATCACCCCCTTTGCGGGCCCACGTATATAATGCGCGATAGTGTACCCTGTACTCTATCGCTTAGATCGTCTGAAGAACTACCTTACTCCGTGCGAGGAGACGCTATCGACTCATCGGGCCCGACACGACCCGATTGAACCTTCGACCACCGACTACGGCAAGGGACCGAGTTCACGGGCCCTTTCGGTTTCGATCTACCCCGCCCGCCATACTTGCGGGCCCGACTATTCGTCTGTTCTGTTCCGGGCGCGCGTTCTTAGGAGAGGTCCTTGCACGGCCCGACCCGCAGTCTGACATCTGGCCGGTTGACGGAGGAAACGCCGCTAGAAGTAACGACATAGGCCGTTTTTGGGTCGATGTGCGATGAATGGGCGAAGATGGACATAGGCGAAGGGGTGGTTCCAATCGGACTTTTGAAGCCCAGCATGTACTTGCCGAACTCCAGCATACCTCGCCAAACGCTGACTGCCATGTGCTGGAGCGAGTCCGCGAGCGGGACTTCGTACATGATGGGCACGCCCACGTGATCTTGCTAACAAAAACTTGAACTCGGGACCCCAAAGAAACCAGCGGGGAAACACGTACCAACTCCGAGCCGACTCCAGCCAGATCGACCACACAGTCTATGTTGTGTGATTCGACATGTTCACGAGGCCCGATACCACTGTGTCAAGGTCAGAAATAGAGATCTAGCAACAAAATTGAGATTACCTTAAGAGAAGTAACTGAGGAGACGCGATAGCACCGCATGCAACAATAACTTCTTTGCGGCATCGCGCGTAAAATTGACCGGCGACAGAGCCATTGCTCGACTCAAAGACGACACCAGCAGCAACCCCGTTTGCGAGCTCGATACGACTAGCAAGCGCTCGAGGACATATGGTCAATCTACTGCGCCGAGCCGTCGCTAGATTGGCAGGAAGATACGCCGTGAATGCCGAAACACGATGAGAACCCGTGTCAATGGCCGTGTCGAGTACAGCACAAACATCAACGGGCGTTGAGGGTGAGTTGAAATCGGCAACATCGACATATCCCATGGAAGCGGCTGCTTTGAGGACGTTTTCGTGGCTCTTGAATGGAAGGTAGGTTTTCTGGTTGACAAATGGGCCTAAAATCGTCAATTGTGGTGGGATGCAAATGCGGGTGAGTACCTGAAGCTCCATGCCAAGGTGCTTTGTGGGTCAGGGTATTTTCCGACTTGAGAACATAGGGCTCCATTGACTTGTAGTCCCAAGAAGGGAACCCAAGTTCAGCCCATCGATCGAAGTCGCCAGTTGCACCTCGCGTATAAAGCATGGCGTTGACACTGCTACCACCTCCGAGTGCTTCACCCTGGGCAATTTGAAGCGTTTTCTGTTGAGCATGAGCGAGAGGAGTGCAGTCCGTTTTGACGATTGGGGTCGCCGAGTTGGCGTGGTCGCTGGAAATTAGAGGAACCCGAGCGATGAAAGCGTCGTGCAACGGCCCACGCTCAAGAAGAAGCACGGACACGTTAGGATCTTCGCTGAGACGCGAAGCCAAACAGCATCCAGCGGTTCCACCTACGCCATTTCCATCAGTTTAGGGGGAAACGAACAAAGCAAAACGAAGTTCGCTGTTACTAACCGCCAACGATAATGTAGTCGTATGTTTTGGCATCCTTGGTACCGAGGGCATGCAATGTCCCCGCTTTGCTGACAGGAGAGGTAGGGTAGCTGCCGCCGAAGAGACCCATGGTGAGGATAACTCGAAACGGACCTGTGTTGTTTATAAATATTCATGGATGCCAGCAGACTGCGGTGCACTGTGGACGCAGTGATCTTCACACGTGACAGTGACTGCCACTAGTTCGAACCATTCCGCACAGACGGAGGCCACCATCACCCTTCTCCCGCATATGTGTTGGTGTTCAAGAATACCCAGTCGAGAGGCCGTCGTGGAATGGCTCATTACATCACAGATATCGATGACCTCGAAACTACTGTCCGAAGTTGGCTCTGCTCCGCAAGCGCAGCGACACCGAGCATATCTATAACGACGGCGTCTGCTGTCACCCCTATTGTTCGACTACCTGAAATGTGACTGCCATGATGCTGGCGGGCGGCGGCGGCGGCGAAGCCTTGCTTCTGACCCTGCAGCTTGAACATGATGCCCGCGTCGGAATCCGCTTTAAAGAAAGAAGTCCGACGCTGAAATCAGGAAATCAGCTAGAGTCTCTTCCGGCAACAACTTGGGCAGTGCGAAACCATCTTGAATGGCTAATCTCGGTACAATCCAGTAGATGTCTTGTCTTTTCTGATCTTCGGATCCGGGATCTATGCTGTTATTAGAGACCCGAGATAACTCTGCATCAACCGATGACAAGACCTACAGTGGCCTAGCATCCATATTAAAACGCTGGTGTTCTGTCTACTCCACCGCACCCTGGCTGTTCTGGTATCACTGTCCGCGCAAATGGCCTCGATCTACCTGGTCTCTGTCGCGGCTATTGTCTGCTTATATACCCTTGTTGCAAGTTTTTTGCGCAAAAGGGTAAGATTTGTGCTCGACGATCTTCATCATGCTAATCACGCTGAAGCTGCGCAAAAACCATCCACCAGTCATCAACATATGTGTGTGTGGCATCTTTCTTCTCATCACCGAGCGCCGAACAAAAAGTCCATCTACAGACAACCGAAATTTTCCTAAACCCACGGCAGGCCTATGAAGAGGCCATTAGGGACATTGGTCCAGTTATAGCTGTGTTACGCAAAGGACATGTAAGCCAACGCATTGCTATGGTCAAGTAATACTCAAAATTACAGCTCGAATTCGTTGTGGATGACACATTGGTCTCCTTCTTGGTTTCTAACTCAACAGGGACTTTCGATTTCGAAGCAGCAACGGCCACAGTAGGCTTTTAATTCATGTCCTCTGCTTTGTATCTCATCTCCTTGGGAGATTCTACATTTGCGCCCATTTCTATTTCTCTTTCGCTCATTCTTCAGCGAAATCGACGATCTAGTTCAAAATGGTATCAACCCTATGCTCGACAACATCTTAGAACGAAGTATGCAGTCCAATTTTGCCGATCGCGAGCTCGACGCAAAATGTTTAACATCTTCGGTGTGTGTTGTTTTCAGCAAATCAGCGGAGAAAGCACTTGGAAAAACTAGACTGGACATGTTCGATCATGCCCATCGCAGCATTGCCGAAGCAATGTTGGGTGTTATATTCGGAGAGGTGCAATGCCGAGCTCCAGTTATCTTTCATTCGAACCGACGACCAGGGCTATGCAACGGAAAGAAACATAATGGCGGTCGAAAATGTAGCCACTGACATCTCAAATTTGACCGGCAGTAAGGACTCTTGTGTTTTTTAGATATTTTGCTGACCTTTTGCCCTCAGTATACCAAAACACGTCTTTCTTTGGTCGTCATCTGCCTACTCTATGGTCTGTCTACACCTGGATCAAGGTCCTGAGCACTTCGATCCTTGCTTTCTTCCGTATTATGGGGCCGCTTGTCTGGCGCTATATGAAACAATATTCCAGGGCAACTGATACCAAACCTACCACCGTTCTCGAATTTTTATGCCAAAAGTATGGGAAAGTCGGGTCTGCAAATCACAGTCTCGGCGTATTTGACTTTTTGCAAATCATGTCGCTACTCATTGGGTACACGGCCGCACGGCAGGCTTAAGATTTCATTAGTATCTGACCTCCTGTAAGTTGTCTACACAAAAACCTACGATTGTTTTAAGATTAGGCGAGTATGACTTTCTTAAAACTTGGTGGACAGCGCGTATTAGCGTCGGGTCGAGGACATTTCATCTCACAACATCATGATGGCTCCGAGTCCAAATTAGGGTTATGCTCCGAAACCTCGATTATGCGCCGAAACCTCGATTACCTCGAAACCACTGTACACTACCACAAAGAAAGAATTCAGCTATTCCACACCCAACCCCTGCTCATCCTGCGTTACCCTCGGAAGGTGGATGGTCCGGCTTGATTCCCTCGCGCTGATGGCTCTTCAGTTTGGTGAAAACACGATTGCAAACCACCTACCTCCAAAGGTTTGGAATGGCGCCATTGACGGGTATGAGGTGAGCTGGTCCAACCCGGGCAAAGTAAGTCCAGCTGGTGGCACGATGAGCTTCATTCACAGGTCTACAAACAACACATACCTTCGTGGTTGCCATGGACTCGGAGGGGAGGGAGTTTGGTGGAGGTAAACTGTGGCTGGGTAACGGAAAAACCAGGGCCTGGAGGTGGTTAAGGTGAGCATGAGACTGCTCTATAGCTATGTGCATACCTCTGAACCCGGAGCTAACAGCAGGTTGCGGCGCTATTGATGTCGATGGGCCGGGAGCCATGGTAGAGTGACGGCGCGGGAGTGCACAGATGGGTCGGGCTGTAGGCTCTGGCTGTGGATGGGCTGAAGCGGAAGTGGTGCCGTCTTTGTATTCACGAAGGCCCTCGATGGTGTCTTCAGGATGGAGCTCTTCCTCAGTCTTGAGAAGGGCTATAACATGCCTAGAATCCGTTAAAACTACATTGGAAGCTAATGAACACATACTTTTTCCATTTCTCGTCCTTGATATTTGCGCCGTTCTTCTGAACAAGGCTCTCCAGCCACACCATAAACACACCCCAGAACGACTTGTCAGTGGTTCTTGGCTTCGGGGTCTTGCTCACATCTGAGGATATGTTGTGACGGGGGACCTTGTTGGCATCCTCGTGGAGCAATGTGGGGTTTTCGCGTGCAAAGGTGCGCTGTTTGAGCATTTCAGTGATAAGTAAGCAGTCGTAGACAATTGCGCACCAGGAGTAGCATCCGTACAAGATGATGCGGCGTGATTTTGTGGTGGTCAAGGCCCATTTTCTTGACGGCACTACGAGTTGCTGTGGTCAGGTTCTCGGTGAGAGATTCACCAATCTATGAGGACATTAGTGTCAGTAGAGTGTACAACGAGAAACGGTCGCGTACATGAGTGGTAAATGTCTTCTTTGCATATGACGCGTATGTCCGAGCCTCTTTTTGAAGCAATTTGCGGCGCTACGGTGAACTCGGAAAAGATATCGTCGAATCCATTCGTGTCCTTGTACTTTTTGAGAATGGGCTGTGCATGGGAATAAGTGCAAAGCATTGCAAAGAGAAAGCCACATACAAGAATTGCCGCTATCAAACTCTCGTTGTCGTATGCCTGCCGCTTGGGGTCAAACACAACTTGCTTCGCTGCAGCGATGACTTCGTCCTATAGGTAAGCTCAGCATGGGCAGAAAGAGATAAGCAGCCAGGCCTTTTGCTCTTGGTTCAGTGCTGCTTGATGCATGGTCTTCCGGATTTGAAGCAGAAGTGCCTTGATCTCGCTGATATCTTTGGCATTTGCGAGAGCAATTTGAGTGTTGAAGAGATTATGAGCAGATGAGAAGAGGATGGGGATCAATTGGTCGTGCGGGAGACTGAGTTTCTAGAGGAAATGTCAGCCAAATAGTATGACAAGCCTGAGACTCGGAAACGCACCGCACGAAGCAGATGTAGCTCTTGTCTATTCTCATCGTTGAGCTCCATTCGGTCGGAGACGGAGTCCACAAAATCAATGGGATTGACGACATGAGCTAGCGCTGTGTCCAAGTCGGTCGGGGCTGGCTGGCTGGATCCAAACGACTCCGAGGAGCCCAGACTTGCTTGCCGCTGGGTGAAGGGGGTTGGAGCTCATCGTAAGATTGTTCGAACTCGTCGGGTGGTGCACATAGTATAGCGCTGGCCATTTTGGGACTGTTGGTATGCAAACGACATGGCAAAAGGAAGAAAGGAAGGTGGTGGTTTTGTTGGAAAAGGAGGTAGGCTTTTATACGACTACTGGAGGTCAAATTGAGCTAACGGAGCTTAGGGTTGTTACGAAAGACGTGCCCGAATGGACGACGCGACCTGACCAGGTGTCCTCTGAAACAAGCACTAGCGCATCGGCGACCCTGACGAGCTTTGGCGAGCCTATACACAACACGGACGGACCATGAGCGCAACACGGCGGACCCCGTGGGTTCCGTACAGCGCCAGTGTTTGAAGGCACAGTGTTCTCACTGTCTGAGAGCGGAGAAGGGAAAAGGTTGGGAAAGGAGCACGTGCTATTGATGATGTAAGTGACTTGGACATCGACCATTTTGGAACATGGCTTTTTTAGATAGAAAATGATTATTAATTTAAAAAACAAATATTAGTAAGCTAATCAACATCCATATTTAAAATGTTTCTCAGACTGCTGGATTTTGACCCTATTTGGGGCTCTGCAGCTGCAACAGGCAAACTTCCTATATGACTTGCAGTAAAGTTATTAGAAATCAAGCTGCCCACATCATGGTTACTTGATTTTTCCTTTCCTTTATTTTTACCCCTGTTTTTTTGAGTTTCAAACTCTAAAGTTGCAGCCTCCCAGATGATCTTCTCTCTGAGTAAATGTACTGGCTGACTACGGAATGATCCAAGAACCTCAGAATCACGCATCTGTGCTGTATTGATAACCCAGTTGTTAACTGCTCTGGAGTGGTGTTCTACGGCTAACTCCTTTTCACTGGTTTGTTCTCGTTCCTGCTTTGTTGATCTTGAACGGGAAATTTGACACTGATTGTCAACACAATTATGCTGGATATTGACTGTGCACAATATGTCCTACAAGAAAAATCAAATTAAATCATCTGTACAAATATTATTACATACCTCAATACTAAGACAAATTAATACTTCAACTGATTGCAATTGTCTCATAGAATATGCAGAGTGTGGAGTGCCCAATGACATCTGGGTTACTATGATAAAATCTACCCTCCCACTCATTTGTGCAGGGGTTCCTAAGACTTGCACAATTTCAGATACTCTGCCTATCTGCCTTTGATTTGTATGATCACTATAGACTATATGGTCTCCCAGATTGCAGAGATCATGATTTTTTAAGAATACCTGTTGTGGTGTGTAAACATATGTAGTCTCCAGGTCACATGTGGATAGTATGGGAATATTCCATGCAATTTGTGCTGATTTTATAATGCTAGCCTTTTGTAATGGTCCAGTTTTTTGACAAGTCCCAGGTATTTTAAGTGGGACAGACTCAGAAATACCAAGAAATTCACAGCAGAGAGCCTGAGTATGAATAAAATCCAGAGGCCTTGATCCTACAGTACACCAGGTACCCTGTAGAAAGTCTGTTGGAGAGAATTTCATCCAATGGGACTGGGAATCAAGCTGAGCTGAAACTTTAATTTGATCTGTTGATGGGACAAAAAAATATCCACCACTCAAAAGGTGACGTAAACGATTGCCTCTAGCCATCTGCATGGCAATATCCTTTGATGGTGCATGGCGATTGCTATGAATGCTGCAAGATCTAATTACAGCATTAAATGATTCAAACCCTTCAGTTGCAAATAGCATTGCAGGCCCAAATCTTCTGATATGTTCAGGCAAGTGAAGGATAACATGAAACTTGGGTTTGTTAAACCAGTTAATACTTAGCTGACAAGTACAATTGAGAAAGTGATCAATTGCATGTTGGAGTTCAGCCTATAAACAATTAGAGATAAGATGGATATATTTGGAAACATACCAAATAATCATCTAAATTATTAATTGAAGGTTGCCATGCCAAAGTCACAACATGACTGAGAGCTACCCAGGTATTTACTCGTTCTTCCGATAATAGACCTTGAAGCACAAATGGTGCTACTTGCACAATTACACGAAAATCACGTCCTGTGAGTGAGCCAGCATATGTAACAAGTGTATGGCCTGAAAGAGTAGGAATTCCAAGACCAGATACATTGAAGGAGGAAAGTCTTGCAATCAGAACTTGTTTCTGATCTGGTTTGAGTCTAGCAATAGCATCACGCCAAAAGTATTTGACAAATCCAAGTAGGATAACATGAAGAATTTCAACTGGTGTATCACTATGAGGGTCAAAGTCTGTTGTGAGATTAGTAAATTAAGTTAAATATTTAGGTAGATAATTACCCTTAATACGCCATACAGGACTAGTAATATCTGATGGAAAATTTTTCTTCAGATTATTAATATCTGCTTGTTTTCGTTCTTTTGTGCCGCCTCGTCGTCCAGAGATGGCAAAAACCTGGGATAGAAATCCCTCCATAAACTTGTCCTTGATTCCATTATTGGTTCGCATCTCCTTGTACTTTGATTGCTTTCCAACAGTTGTTGCTAATTGAAACTGAGATTTGAGATGTTCACATGTTTCTACCCTATTTCTAGGAGCACCAAGATTCATAAACTGTGATATTCTGCTCCTGAGATCTGCTACTGAATAGTCCTGTTTCTTCTTGTTTTTTCTTTTTTTAGTTATAGGAGCTTGTCCTGACTTTTGAGTGCTGTTTCCTCTACTATGGCTATCACTGTCAATGCCAGAGCTATCACTTAAATCTTTTTCTGCTGCAGGCTGTATATCATCATCATCAGACTCATTATGTTCTGGTTGTCCTTTAACCCAGCAGACACGACAGAAAAGCTTTCCGCGAAATCCAATATGACAGGCTAGTTCACTCTGCATTGGATTGTCACCTAGCATAGCCAAGACAGATGGGATCAGAAGCACAAATTCCTTGTAATGACAGTCCCATGCCCAGATACCATTCTTTTGTGCAACTCTGAAGATATGTTATTATTTATAAATGATAGATATAGAGCCCACATACTGAAGCTGCTGTACAATGCCATCTAGCATTTCTAATGGTGGCGCTATATTTGATGTTGATAGAAAATGAATATTTGACTCTCGATGTACCTCCTTACGAGGTAGACCTGCAGCTGTAAATAAGAAGGAATTATGCTTGTTCCACTTTTTTGATAGATTCCCAGAGGTATCATCACAATATAGCCAGATAGGAAATGCCATAACACGATGTCCCTGAGCCTGTTTACGCCATTGATTGCCTTCCTGTGAGTTTGTTTTAGCCCAAGGAGTTAAGGTATTCTGTGTGGTTGAGTGTTCTCCTAGGATATTATTGATGTTCAGATTTTTGTTTGTTTGATTTGATTAGAAAAACTCACCAAAAATAATTCTGGGATCAGCCAGCCCTCTATCCTGATAAGTGTGCAGCAATCTGGGAAGTGATTGTGCAAAGTGAGTAGATAGAATTGTGACTGGGCGATCTTTTTCTATAAGCCATCCAACTTGTCCATCAATTCTAGTCATTGCCATTGGATATGCATATGCATATATTTGACCTGTACGTTGAACCCATCTAGTTGGCATGCATAGTTCTCCATTTGATAATAAAGCAGGCTCCCAGATGAAAAAATCTTGATTCTGAAGTCTTATCATTGGAGTTGTTAAGTCTGAATCAAGTTCTTTAAGCCATCTTTCTGCCTGCCAGGCTTGAGCTAAAGTGGGATGACTATCTTCAGGATAAAATTGAAGTTTAGGGCGGACTTGAGGATTTGCCATTTCCTAAAATTTGAATTTATAAAATACATATTATATTTAAAAGAATGTGGACACGACTCACTTGAGCAATAAGAGCTGCCAAGTCATTCACATAGTATTTATGACCAAATGCACCTGTGTATTTGATACTCTGAACTCCACATAATTTTTGTAAAGTTTTGTCAATATCATCAAGCACCCGATCTGTAGGAAGGCTATGGAGCCCAAGTGTTTCCATAGCCCAATGAATTGCTGCATTCTGTTTTCTCGAGAATGAACACCGTGGAAGATGCCGGAGAATATCTAATACACAAGTCTGAAATTTGTTAAAATGTCACCATTAGATTCATGGATTAACTTATTCTCACTTCTTTATCTGGCCATGGGTACCAGTCAGACTGAAAATTTCCAAGATCTATATGATGTCTTTTATGAGCATGGGGTTGTTCTAAATTTATATTTGATTGAATTTTTATTTTTATTAATTTATATACTCACCAAGTTGTTCTAAAGTTGCACTTGATGAATTTGACCCAGATTCTAAGTCACTGCGTTCACAATCTTCATCATCAGAATCAATATCTGCCACTAGAAATTCATGAAGTTGCTCTAGTAATTCATGCTGGTGGGCATCAGAGCCTTCAAATTGCATCTCAATACTAGCTAAATTATTCCATTCCCCTGTGCCAGTGGTTTCATTGATCCAGCTATTATTATTTCTGTGTTCCTGTCTCTGAGCTGCATCTAGAAGAGTTTGGGCAAGGAGACTCCTTATATGAGCCTGCGATTGAAAACTTGCAGTACCACTTTCATGAGAAGAGCTACTAGCTGTAGCTGGGTTACTAGAAGCTTCATCAGTTTTCCGTAGATTTTCAATATGACGGCGTGATGATTCATGCTGAGCAATATGTTTCCATGCAACAGGGTTACTATTCAAACACACGGTGCATGTGAATTTATTCATTGCTGTTGGAATCCAAACTAAAGATAAGTAGAAGTTAGGCTGGTCTAATATTCAGAGATAGATAGCCTACTGTCTGGTCTTGCAGAAGGGAAGTTTCCTGTGCTGATGCTAAAAGACAATGGATTTGAGACTAGAATATTAAATTTATATATGTCATAATATAATATAAAATCCATCTGGTACCTTGTGGTTGTTTTGACCCTCCTGGAACCCAAGCACGCAGATACAAGACAGATAAATTCTGAACACCAATGTCTCCCAGGACTTGGTGCATTTGCAAGGCCATATGCTGGCCACTAGGGAATAAAAGACTGTAGTTGACTTGAGATAGATCTGCTATGCAATGTCGTTTACGCAGCATCTGGAAGAGATCTTGGACAGTTTGACTTGAGTGCACAGCTGAATATATAATTAAACATTTGTTCTAATACTGATTTTAAAAAAATACTTAGAAATTGGGGCCCCCCTGAGGCACCCAAAACAGTAATCTGATATGGACATATCTGTTTAATATTTCTAGAGTCTTGCCTTGAGTGCAGCAACCAATAAACTTGCAAGTGTCGGCATACTTGAATTGATCAGTCTGAGATCAAAGGAAGAGCATCAATAAAACACTTGCTAAAAACATAGCTTGAAAATGCAACAAAATACAAGAGAATATAAACTGTAGAGAGTATTGTGTGTCCACATCTGATTTGTGCATAGAGAAGAGAAGCTGAGCAGACTAGAGCAACCACAATGAGAAGCATCATGCCCAATATTGTGATGCGGTCATAAGCAGATTTGCGACCAAGATACTGATGCCGACGCCATCGGAAGAGTCGTTGCTTGTGTCTTCCAACTTTTCGAGAAAGTGGTGTGGTAGGAGGGAGCTCTTGGAGGCTCTGGAATGCTTTGCCCATGGTGGGATAATGCAAGAGCTCTTCGGGCAGCAAGCATGAGGCTTGTGCATGTTCACCACCACCCACTGGCACGCAGAGCCCAAGTCAGCGGATGTGTCTGATACCCGTGGAGACTGACATTGATGCCTTGATGCCGCACTGAAGCGGACTGACAGTCCATCCATCACTGCCATGTCATGTCATTGAGTTTTAAGAAAGGCGCAGAAGTATGAAAGTCTCAGAAGATTTTGCTTCGAGTCTCAAGCTGAATCACAATATCATTGTCTCAGGCATCTCATCCAAAATTCACAAGAATGTGCGCAAAAAACTTTTCTATGACTTGGCGCCATATGATTTATCTAAGACACCGGTGCAGCCGTGTACGTCGCATTGAAGATAACTTGTGTCTCACCTGAGCGTTCCAAGAATCATCTTTGCTTCCGTTCATCAAACGTAAGAAAACTCTGATTTCAAGCCCTTTGCAGCTCATTTTGTAGTGCATCGACGGTAGTATGGATTATGTTCGAGCTCACCCTCCGACCCGAATACTTCCAGCACATACGCGAAGAAGCATTGAATCACGCGGATCCTCTCACACTCGACCTGAATGCACTCGAAATTGGCACGGCTCTTCAAAAAGCGACTTGGTTGGACTCATTCATCCGCGAAGTCATGCGAACCAAAGGAGATACCCTCAGTATGTGTCGCCGCACGACGATCGACACGGACATGGGTGGCTATACCATTCCCAAAGGGTCAGTCTACTCTTCAAAACCCTCCAAGCTCTCAAGGGATTTAGCCATCTTGTTTATCCTCTCGCAACCCTTGCGCACATGAATCCTGTTCATCGTCCAGATCCTGACTCATTCAAACCAGAAAGGTGGCATGGCCAACATGCGCGACCTGCGTCTATGAGCAGCACCTCATATTTAGCCTTCGGATTAGGCCGATGGGCTTGTCCTGGGCGGTTCCTCGCAGTCGCTGGTAATATTTTCTCGTTGCAGCCTGAATGGTAGCTCACTCAGTTGCTTCTAGAAATGAAGCTGATGGTGTGGTCTCTTATCTTAAAGGGAAAGCCTCACCTTCGCGACGACCGCTATACAGTAGTAGATCCTCTCAACGTCACTTCAGTCCCACCCGAAGGAGAATTCAAACTGCTACCGTATAAGCAGTGATAAGTCTCTCAAGTTTTACTGTATTTGTATCGATTTGTACTTGCATACGATCCAAGGACTGGTTTCCAAGCACTATGGACGCGTCGTAATTCGCAATGAAAAAACAGCACATGACCGTGTTAGGCTGAAATTGGTCATCATTAAATTTTGTCCTCCCCCATCATGTCTACTGCTGGTCCTTCGCGCGGACCACACGTCGTTGGTCGTCCACCCCGCTCAAAGCCGAAGACAAAATCGAAGCAAAAACTCCCACATACAAAGCAGGTCCAGAAACTGGCAAGTAAGGGTCGGATAGATGCATTGGAGAAACAGGCGATGGAATTTGTACGCCTCTTCGATCGATGCTCATTTCTGCCACAAATAACTACCTAGATTCCAGCGGAAGACTTACAGTATTTCGCTGACCTGCCCATATCAGAAGCGACTAAACGCGGGCTCAAAAAGTCGTTTTTCCTGACAATGACACCCATTCAGTCCACGTCTCTTCCAACATCTTTGAAGGGGAAGGATGTTCTTGGGGCGGCACGGACCGGTAGCGGAAAGACGCTCGCCTTTCTCGTCCCTGTGCTGGAGATATTATATCGGAGGAAGTGGGGGCCTATGGACGGGCTGGGTGCTTTGGTCATCTCTCCAACAAGGGAACTGGTGCGTCGGTCTCACTCCTTCTTATTGCCGTTCCTGACCGAGTTAGGCTATCCAAATATTCGATGTCTTGCGGTCGATAGGACAATATCATTCGTTTTCTGCCGGTCTGGTGATTGGGGGGAAGAACCTTAAGGACGAGCGGGATAGACTATCCAGAATGAACATTCTCGTCGCAACACCGGGGAGGCTGCTGCAGCACATGGACCAGACAGTTGGATTCGAGGCGGATGGGTTGCAGGTTCTTGGTGAGTTGCACTTTTTCCCTCTCGTGTCGTAACTCACTCAGCCATGCTGGTAGTTCTCGATGAGGCAGACAGAATACTGGACATGGGATTCAAGAAGACATTGTCTGCACTATTGTCTCATCTTCCCAAATCACGCCAAACCCTGTTGTTCTCCGCCACCCAAACGGACTCGGTCGCAGATCTAGCCCGTTTGAGTTTAAAGGACCCGGTCCACATCGGTGTTGGCGAAGCCAATGCGGAGACCACAACTACCAAGATGGCCGATGACTCGACAACAAGCACCCTCGCACTTCCTGCAGGGCTCCAACAAAACTATCTCGTTTGCCCACTGGACCAAAAGCTCTCACTTTTGTTCTTCTTCATCAAAACCCACCTGACCTCTAAAACACTTGTATTCCTCTCCTCCTGCAAACAAGTCCGTTTTGTGTTCACGGCCTTCTGTCGAATGCATCCCGGAATTCCGCTCATGCATCTGCACGGAAAAATGAAACAAACTGCAAGGTTGGAGACCTACACCAAGTTTACGCGGGCGGGGGGAGCAGCGGTATTGTTTGCGACTGACGTCGCTGCCCGGGGTCTTGATTTCCCAGGTGTCGAGTGGGTCTTGCAAGTTGACGCGCCAGAGGATGCTGAAACGTATGTGCATCGCGTCGGACGAACAGCACGATACCAGAGTAAAGGCAAGGCATTGATGTTCCTCATGCCGAGCGAAGAAGAGGGAATGCTAGCTGCGTTGGCCAAACGGGGAGTTGAAGTTCCCAAAACGAAGGCAAAGGGAAGTAAGGTCACACATGTCGAGAACCAACTGCAGAACCTTGCGTTCCAAGACCCTGAGATCAAATACCTTGGGCAACGGGTATGTGTCCTCTTCTTCTTTCGACTGTAATGTAACATTGATCCAGGCATTTGTATCGTATCTTCGCTCCGTTTATTTGCACAAGGATAAGGCCATATTCAAGGTTGCGGAGCTGCCCACGGACCGATTTGCAGAATCACTTGGGCTTCCTGGGGCACCCAAAATCAAGTTTTTGAGTCGGGAGGTCGCGAAGCAGAAAAAGAACAAAATGAAGGATCTTGAGAGCGAGGAGAGTGGTGAAGATGGCGAGACCAGCGAGGAGGAGGGACCTCGCAAAGAAGAGGTACAGGCCAAGCCCAACAAGGTCAGTGCTCCCTCCTTCGATTTCTTGTCATTAACCTTCTTAGAATGGAGTACGAACGAAATATGACAGGATGTTCGAGCGGCGTAACCAGAATGTACTTTCGGAACACTACGCTAAGCTTCTTGACGGTGCCGATGCCGCTGAAGACGAGGACTTCATCACCCTCAAACGAGCGGACCACGAACTCGACAACCCTGATGCAGACACAACAGCTGACATATCGAAGCGCAAGCAGCGCATGGGCCGCGCAAAAAGGGCAATAATGGAGGGTGGGCTCGGGCATAAGCTGGTTTTCGATGACGAGGGATTACCCCATGAGATGTATGAAATGGAGGACGGGGGGGAGTGGATCGACGGCCATGGCGGCATCGCGGGTGTCAAAGCAGCCGGCGACAAATTTGCAGAGGGTGAACGGGGTAAGATGAAAGAGGCGACGGTGCTGGATAGAGAAGAGGCGAAGGAAAAGAAACGAGAGAAAAAGCGGAGGAGAAAGGAAAGGGAACGCGAGGTTGTTTGTTTCTTTTTTTGCATCCCAATGAGCTGCTAATTTGGATGCAGGAAGCGGGAATGGGTGGAGGGAAAAGTGCGGTGGCAATGGGTGCTGAAGAGGACGATGGATACGTCTCTCCGGAGTTCGATTTACCATCGGAAGACAGCGATGATGCTGGACAGGAACTCTGGGCCAGACCCCCGCCTGAAAAACGAAGGAAAACTGGTACCGAGACACTAGAAGAGGATGAGGAGCTGGCGTTGAGACTACTACGGGGCAAATAGTTAAAAGATATTTTTGTGACGCGTCGGTGATATCACGTGCTCGTGTCACATTCAGGGCTGAGTGTCTGACCAATACTATCATGGCGAAAGCGAAACCCGCCCCGCGCAAACGGACTAGGGATGCGAACACCCCTTCTGAAGAGGAATTCGACGACAGTGACGCGTTAGATGACTCAGACACGGAGAAGAAACAAAAGAAACGCAAACGAGCGTCCCCAACGAAGAAGAAGCCAGCGCCGCGCAAGAAGAGAAAGACGGACTCGGATGGAGAGGCCGAGCTCGAACTCGAAGATGGACAGGAAATTGTTGGGGTGGTGGTGCAAGCGCCGAAGACTGGGCGAGGTACTTGATTGTCTCGATTAGCCATATAGGCTTATCCTCCCCTCCACAGTGCCACCAGGTCAAATATCGCAGAATACGTTCGACTTCTTGCTTCAACTGAAAGATCCAAAGTGCAACGACCGTGAATGGTGCGTGAGTTGCATAGGGGAAAATGTAGCCAAGTTCATGCTGTCTCAGGTTCAAGCTCCATGGTGACGTCCTTCGAGTGTTAACGAGATATAACGACTGAAGGTATCTCTAATAGATCCTGTCTACCGCCAAGCCGAACAGGAATGGAAGGACTTTGTCGAAGTGTTCACCGAGCTTCTGGTTGAGGCAGACGATCAAATTCCGCCCTTACCACCGAAGGATGTCATTCATCGTATCTATCGTGATGCAAGTTTGGCCAATTCCATGGCTTACTTAACTCCTCTCCTTAGACGCGATTCTCCAACGATAAGACACCATACAAAACGGGTTTCTCAGCCAGCTTTTCGCGGAGTGGGCGAAAAGGCATCTTCGCATTTTGTGGGACATGTCTGTTTGTTATGAAGTCTTGCTGACGTTCTGCACCAGATCATCTGTACGCACTGGTGGTTTCTGCAGTCTTAATCCAGAAGAAGTAAACATTTTCTTTAGCATGAGTGCGTGGTCATTTTCTTCTTCTCCGGGTTTGTTATCAACGAGGCGCAGTCAAACCTGGTAACCAGAGCATCATCGCTGCGGGAACTTGGTGCCCTGCAAAGAGCGAACTTGACACATTACGGTCATTTTCTTCTTTCGTAACAACCACATCTACTGACCTTCATCTAGAGCTAATATCAAGCGTGACTCGAGTCGTTTACGCGGAATCATATCTGGGGCAACGTTTGTCAAGCGCTTTGGTAAGGCAGAAGCCGGGGCTCGTCGGAACATATTTGGCCGCGAAGATGAGCTGAAGGTGGCACCGAAGGGAGTCGAGAAGACACACCCGTTCGCCGACTTTACTTCCTGTGCCTTTCTTTTCCTGATGGATTTGTGTAGGGATATCGATCTACTCAAGTGTCGGTCATTCGCCGTCTCACACGAGTGCGCTTGTTCCCCTGCTTCGCTGAGAAATGCTCACCATCCCTGTGATGCAGATTCACGGATGCACAAGTGCTGGCTCCGGACTTCAAACAGACGGTTGTTGACAGCGTTCGACTTTGCATGCCGTTCGTGCATTGGTGATGTGTCCTGCTATAAGCATGACCTAGTTGCTCATCCACTATTAGCCTGAACGACATGATGACCACCGTTCCTGAAGAGGAGGACGAATAGGTTTTTTAACTGCTTTATCTATCTTATCTAGCTTCGAATAATGCGATTACTGCATGCACCTCACCATGAGGAAACCACGAGTCTGACCGGCTTTACCCGTTTGGAGTCGAGAAGCAGCGAGAAACACACCTTGCGGCGTTCGTTCATATACACAACTCTGCCGGTTCTTCCATCCTTGAGCCAGCTCCGTCCCTTCATTCTTTTTTCATCTCGTTTACTGGCAGATGCTATGCCGGGACTCACTCACCAAGCACACCCACTCACTGTCCCAGAGCTTGCAATCGGAACGTACCTGGTCCACGCTCATGTCGTTGCGCGCCTCTACCATGCCCCATTTGCCAAAGAGGACTGGGTTTCCACCGGACTGACTGGGTTGCTGCTTCTAGGGCGGGACCACAAACTGCGTGGCGCTGGAGAGAGCGAGTGGTGGTTCCGGCTGGTGGATGAAGAGGGAAGCAAGCGCAAGACGGTGTGGATATTTAAGATTCCGAGCTTTGGGACAACGTTTGAGTATCGCGTGGACAAGCCCTTCTTCCATATATTCGGCGGCGCTGTGCGTGTCTTTTTGACTGGAAAAGCTAACCTCATGGTCGCTGCAGAGCAGAAGATATGGGTTTTTGTTTACTGGACAGGACGATAACGCTGCGGGCGAGTTCGCCATTGCGGTGAAGGAGAGCGTCTGCCTCCCGAAAGTGACGAGGCTACCACGTTCCTGTCCGTCTTGGCCGCTTGCATGATGACCCTGGGCTAATGGCGGATTTAGCTACCGACAGCAAAGCCAGCGCCTTGACGGCATTTAAGCTCACAGGCGCTATGGACTTCCACTTGCCGCGTAGCATCCGTAGTCGCCTGGCTAATTTTTCGCGGACGAGTAGCGTCAGAAGCGGTGCATTGCCTCAGCATAAGCTGAACACGAAGATTTCAAGCCCACAGCAGGACTCGTTCGTACATGTGGCACACGTCGGAATGGGGCCGGCAGACGACTCTGACAACAGCGCGGAGTCGGAGCTGGAGGACGGTGGTCGCGGGAGTGCGTGGATGATTGTTGGCCGCGGCTCGGCCGAGTCGGCCCGGTTGCCGCAGGCGCTGTTGGTCGAGCAGCATCAGATGGCGGAGAAATATTTGAGACCAGAGCTCGTCGCGAGCCAATCCTGGCCGGCAGGGAAAGTGAGTGAGGGACAACGTGCGTGTTCTGGTTTGTTGGACGCATTACATTGATCAGCTCCAGCGAAGACGCATCGTATCCGGCGAAAACCCTCGCCTAGGCTATCGTTCTCTGAGTCTCCGGCAACTTAGTGATGTGGTATTATTTTATTACGCTTGGTTGTATCAGTATTCTATAGAGTTCGGACTCTGCCTTCTAGAACAGTCATCAGCAGCTAAAATCGAGTGATGTCTCGCCCAAATATCCCTGGAATGGTTAGTGGCTTGAACATTTTTGTTCAGGTCGCCTTACAGTTAAGGAACCTAATTTTGGTCGTTCAGCACTGGACGGGAGAGCAGCGGGAGGCATACCAGTACATGGGTACGAGAATTCTGAGATGGTGTGAAATTGAACCAATATTTTAGAGCAAGACGTACTTGTTTCTGGGGAGGGCACCAATTGAATTCACTGAGAGTACTGGCAACAACCAACATACCTCAGAGATAGAGTCATAGTGAAATAGGCAGAGCTTGGACAACATGAAAATGGTTCAAGATACTACCCAAGTACGCACCGCCAAAGTAGCCAGGCGACTCGTCCGGATTCTGGGCCAAGAAGCTTGTCTTTGTCCGTATCGTATATCGCTTTCCTGCGCATGGCCCTCAATCACAAGCTCGGAAAAGCAATGGATGACCAACCAGTTCCCGAGATACGCCAAGCTGCCCTGATTCTCGAATTTGAACGGCTGTGCCTGGTGGTCTGGATTGCGTGCCAGCTTGTTCAGTATCTTGGCGAGATAGCGGGCCTTCTGATTGGCAACTGTGTGGACCCTCGAGGATGGAATTTAATTAACGGTGTGAAACGTGCCTTGAGCAGTTGCTGGGAGGATCGCCCCGGTGATTTGCGCACAGTCCCCGATTGCCCAAACATCCGGATCGGCGGCTCCGTCGGTGGCGCCGATAACGTTTAGATGGTCGTTGGTGAGAAGGCTGAAATCATGATTCAGCCGACAGAAGGCAAGTAGGTAGGAGATTGACCTTTTGGCACCCACGTCTTTCTTGAGATGTGTTATCGAACTGATGAGTGGATTCGGCGCAAGACCTGTGCTCCACACAAGCAGTCCGAAGGGAACTAGAATGGAGGTCAACTACCGGGGTTCGATATCGAAAACCTCGCCTTCGCCCTGTTGCTTCACAAACATCTTGCCAGCTTCGACACGTTCGACATGATGCGAGGTGAGGATGCTAATACCGTCGCGTGAAAACGTCTTTTCCGCATATCTTGAGAGAGTTGTGGATGAAGTTACAATAAAATACGACAGCGCACTCGACCAAATTGCGATTAAAACTCCCCAAGATACTGGGCGCGACGTCGTATATCGTGATCTTCGCAAGTTTAGCGAGACTTGGATAATGAACGGCGAATTCTGCGTGAAGGAGATCGTGTAGCTCTGCCGCGAATTCCACGCCGGTTGGACCTCCACCTAGCCAAAGATGAAATTTCAAAAGGATCAGCAACAGATACATACCAACGATACAGAAGTTCAAAAGGTTGCTTCGAGACTTGTTAGAACTGGGGTAGGGTGAGTGGGAGGACGACACAAACCGACGTTCGACATCAGACATGGTTGGCTGCATTGCTTGCTCGAAACATTCGAGAATTCGAGTTCTGATAGCACGTGCATCCTTGACGTCTTTCAAGAAATGAGCGTGCTCTTTGACACCGGGAATGCCAAAGGCTGAAAGGTAGCGTCAAATCAACTTGAACTTTTTTAAAAACAACATAGAGAGCGTGACTGACTTTGCGAGTATGCACCAGCCGCGATGACGAGTTTATCCCAGCGCAAGGTAAATTTGTCTGGCTCTGATTTGTCGCTCCAGGGCGGCGAAGGGGTTGCAGGGGTCTATTTAGTGCGTGAGGTCTAGATTTCCCGGAGAGAATAACCTGCATTACGCATTCAATGACTCTGCGTGTCCAATCTAGAATACAGAGAAATAAGTAACACAACAGTGCTGCAGGAGCACCCCATACCAATGCTGTCGCACCATGCTTGATACGCGGTCTAAGGGATTCGGGAGCAAGGGCAGGAGGCGAGACCAAATACGAACCACTTGAGGCGTGTACCGACGGACCTACGGTCAGATTGAGTACAAGGCTTCTATTAAGATGTGACCGGTACACCGTACCGGTTCGATGGCACTGCGAAACTCAAGAGTCCCAACTGCGCAGCTCGCCAGCAACGGCGTAAAGTTGAAATAGTTGGTCGGGGAGACGACGGTGACATCTATAAACGCGTCGAATTAGCACGAAATCAAACTTCATTTGGGTGGGAAAAGAACCCACCCCAATGTTTTTTGTCAACCCCACGCAGAAGAGGATACCCGCCCCATCCAGATCCAATGATCACTAATCGTTGCTTCTGATGTGGCCGAGACGACGAAAAGTGGCGAAACGAGGGCGTATAAGGCTGTCTGCAAGACGAGAGACGCACCCGGAGCATGGAGGAAGACGGAGAGAGAGCGGTTCAACTGCCGTTACATCTCGGTATCCGCGTCGGAGCAGGTCGGAAGGAAGAGGGTACGATCAGATTAGATAAGATCTGGCTGAGAAAATGCCCGCACGTGCCGCACGTGGACTGCTTACAACTTGCTCAGAAACCACAATGGCTACCACGACAGTGCTGGCACTCCATGGGTACGTGGCCTTGCGCATTTGAGTCGGGCTGCTCGTCTCTAACTTGACCAGTCACTTCCAGAATGCTGCGATGTACTCCAAGAAGGTGCGTCGCGTGTTTTGCTAGATGTTTTGTTGGTTGTTAACATTGGACCAGCTCGGCGCTCTTCGCAAGCACTGCGAGAAATCCGTCGAGTTCGGTAAGCTTTCTTCTTCTATCATATTACACCTAGAGTTGCACTTAACTATGCAAAATAGTCTTCATCGATGCGCCAAACGTCCTCCAACCAGTGGATATGGCGGGTGCTACTTCAACAGAGGCACTCGAGGCTTCCGCGACAGGAGGAGATGCCCGAGCTTGGTTCAACTTTGACGACAGTCGCAACGAGGCCGTCGGTCTACCACAATCACTCGAAACGTTGCGAGACGTGCTGAAGACGAGGCACTTTGACGGTGTGATCGGGTTCTCACAGGGTGCTGTCGTCGCTGGTCTTCTCACCGCGCTCGTACGTACCCGCCGATTCCATGTTCTTCGCGACCGCAATCTAATCTAATCCTTATCTAAGCTGGAGCGGCCCGAGGTCTACCCGGACTTCCTCGTCGATGGAAAACCTCCTCACCCACCCTTGTGCGTTGGCCGGATAGCATTGTTACCAATGACTGATCATATGTCACAGTAAATTTTGCATCGCTGTGGCCGGATTCCGCCTACGCGGCGCCATCGGGGATGCAGTCTATTCCCAAATGTACAAAACGCCAACACTGCATGTCTTGGGGCGGAACGACATCATCGTCATCGAAGAGCGATCGAGGACGCTTATAGCCGTCTCAGAGAATGCGCGCGTAGAGCAGCACGACGGCGGTCACTTCTTGCCCTCCAAGACCAGCTGGCGCAAATTCGTCGCGGCTTACATCGCTGATCCGACTGGGCCAGTCGTCTCACCGTCCGTTTCTGTGTCTGCAGACAACTCCGGCGTAGTTAGTCCGGCTTGAGCGCTGTCGAGGGCATTTTAGGTCGAATAGGTCAAATAGATTTCATTTTTTGGATGTCGACGCAACAGCTTCGAAGATGAGCTGGCATAGGGTGCGTCGCAGATTACATGTGTTGGAAGCAACAGCTTTGAGAAGAACAGTTTGGCGGCGTAGTACATAGGTTGGACGTCGCGTCGACCATAAAGCTGTAGAGTTCTGGATCGAGTCAAGGGAAGTGCTTCTTCTTCAAGTGCGGTTCGGGGAGAAGGATAGAGACCGTCAAGTCAAAAGTCAAACTATGGCCATATATCTGACACAATCTCCGAACAGGGTGTTCATTACAGCTTCAGACGTCAATGTCTAAGGCAGACTAGAAGGCGCATTGAGATAGTCTCGATTCCAGACGTTCAGCGAGCGGCGTGCGAGCGAAGCTCGCGGAACAGCAACTTGACGTTGCCGGGGCACAATTTGATGGGGGGTGTGATGAAATTGGCCGCTCTTGAACGTCTGGTGCAAATCGATCAGAGATGGTGGGATGGGTGATGACAGCCATGGGAATTCCTGGGGTTGGCGGTGGATAACACTAGAAAACGACTTTCCCCTCCTAAAATATAGCACAATAGCATTTCCATTTGACTGATATATGTGCTAGTATGAACCTGGCCAAGTTCTGGCTCAATCAGTGTTTTTTTCATGGAGATTCACGTCAGAATCAGTATGTCACATTTTGACACAGTTACCTGGGTTTGCGTCGATTTTGAGAGCAGATCTTTTTGCGGACATGCAGGGAGGATTATTTCTAAGCTATTCTAGCAGTTCCGGTGGATATCGTGGCCAAGATTGTGCAAAAGTGAGTTATCTCTATTTTTCTTATCACCCATCCCACCGTCTCTGATCGATTTGCACCAGATCTTCAAGGGCTGATTTCGCTGGCGTGATGGGTGATGGTACATCCCCGCATCACGTCCGGCATGTCTCCCGCTGCCCTTTAAAGATCTGGGACCGAGATTAGCATTGAGACTGCTCCAGGCTGATGTTGCATGGACTGTCGGAAGCGGAAGAAGTGATACGGGATGATTTATGAGCTTGAGATAACTCGCGCTAGGCAGATTGTGGGCGTCAAGGGGCAGGAAGCGCCGGGCGACAGCATGATGAATGGAGCAAATGCCTTCTTCTGGGAGGTGCCTTGGAGCTAGAAATCCGGGGTAGTTGCCGCGCGGCCGAGATAGATCCATGTCCGTGGCAGTTCCGGTCACAAGTGTCGGACGCAAGCTCGAGGTCCGTGCAGGCGCTCCGTATTTCGCGGAAGCCCGACTACGCAGTCGGTGTTGGTGGTAAATGGCAGATGCCTCGCTAGTGCCACTGCTTGACTCGCGACTCAGATTGGCGACGGTTTGCGCGGCTCACAGCATGTACCTTGAGGCATATAACTTAAGTATACTTACCGCGGGAGGACCGGTGGGAATCGGGGTGAGTTTTTTTGTATTGATGCAGGATTTACGGTGGGAGGAGTGGTTCTATCCAAGGGTTCTGAATAGATTGCAGAAAAGAAGGACGAGAGCTCGCTCCAGTTGAGGCTGTCAGAGAGCAGGTGGCCAGCGGAAGGTCACGCCGCATTCGTGAAAAAAAATGGACTGGGCAGGATGGCGGAGATTCGAGGCCGGCGGCGATGTGAAAAGCGCAGGGCACGAGCATGACTGAGGGAATGAATACGCCTATTGGGTCTGAATCGGACATCCTTGACAGCATTCAGGACTGACTGGTACCCTGAGTTTTTGATTCAGATGGTTCCATCGACTCAGTACTACTCAGCAGGAGACAGTCAACTTGCAGTCAACACAACAAACATACCTTTTACAAGTTATTATATCACCCGGTCTGCCCAGACTTTTTTTGAGTGTGATTATGCATGTGGCACGGTTGCGGTAGACTCCGTGGACGAGCCGTTTCAACGCAGCCGACGATAAGTCGCAATTGCGTGGGAAGATCGTGTTGCGATAGCGAAATGCAGGGAGGGAAACAAAACCAGGCAAAAGGCAAATTCCATGCCCTGGAGTTCGGTGCCTTGTTTACTTCGAAAGAAGGTCGAGGTTTCGGTGTTATCGAACACGAGAGCTGCTGGATTTTCTCTGAGGGAAATACCGCTCGACGTCGGCTAACGTGTGTGCGATTCTTTTGATCCTCCAAATTCTGTTGATCGTGCCAGGCCAGGGATTCCTTTGCAAATCTCAAGCAGTTCTCCGATATTCTGTCCTTCTGGAATTCATGGGCTGTTCAGTTGTCCACAATGTGTGGGTGGAGTGTACTATGAAGGATTTGGTGTTTCGCGCCAGACTCAAGAGATCTTGGAGCTGCTTGCCCAGAGTTTTCCGTAACGGCTAGTACATCGTTGTCAGGACCAATCAAACGGAAATGATTGGCGCGTGGGGGAACAATCAAGAGCTGTGTGGGCGGTCGTGTGCTTGCTGTTGGTGTGCCTTTTGCCTCGCTCGAGGAAGGTTGAAGAGTAGCTCGAGGGTTGGGCGCTAATAAGGCCCTCGAGAGCCATTAATTAGATGGTCTAGAGCTGTCGGGAAGAGTGGGATGTGCGAGAAGTTTGGCGGAGCCTTATCTTGTCGATCCTAAATGGAGATAGTCGTGATGGCGAGCACATGTCGCCTGCCAAATCGGCTAGCAACGATGCGATCTGTGGCCTACATAAAACCAACATGAGCGGATTTTGGAGTCCACTTTTCCCGTCGACGCCCACTTTGCTGTCCGCGAAATGTCTTCCTCTCCCGACTACGACATTGAAAAGAAGGCCTCACACTCAAACGACCATGTCGTTACGGAGGATGTCGTTCACGGCGGCGAGGGCGGTGCTCATATGCATCGTTCTCTCAAGGGACGTCAAGTTTCTATGATTGCCATTGCAGGCACCATCGGGACTGGTTTATTCTTAGGTGTACGTTTTGTTCTACCTTCTTTTCTATGTTTAGACTCACATTGTTTGCTAGTCGGGAAGGGCGCTTGCTAACGGTGGCCCCGTCGGTGCTCTTCTTGGTTACGGTTTCGTTGGTATGCTGGTCGGTTTAATGATGTGCGTTCCACGGGCCCATATGGGGTTTTTATCCAAATTAACGCGACCCAGGTACTCGCTCGGTGAAATGATGGTTTGGGATCCCTCTGCCGGAGGCTTCATCGAATTCGCCACGCGCTATGTCGACCCCGCAATGGGCTTTGCCATGGGCTGGCAATTCTGGTTCCAAGCTGTCATGACCGCCCCCGTTGAAATCGTCGCCGCTTCTATTGTTATTTCTTTCTGGGACCACAACGACGACCACAAGGCCATCTACATCGCCGTCATGACCCTCGGTATCGTTCTCGTCAATTTGGCTGGTGTCAAGTACTTTGGTGAATTCGAGTTCGTCTTTGCCTTCATCAAGATCATCACCGTTATTGGTCTGATCATCGCCTGTCTCGTCATCGACCTTGGAGGTGCCCCCGACAAGGACCGTCGTGGTTTCCGTTACTGGAGAGATGAGCCGTTCAACAACCACTTCTTCCAAGTTGTTCCTGCCTCCAAGGCTCGTTTCCTCGGTTTCTGGGCCGTGCTGACCCAGGCTGCCTTCTCGTGTATGTTTTGAACCCATTTCTTCTTCTATTCCGACGCTGATGCTTTATCTGCCAGATGGTGGTATGGAGGGTCTCGCTATGATCTGTCTCGAGGCTGCCAACCCCCGTGTCTCCATGCGAACGGCTGTCCGCGCCATTTTCTACCGCATTGTTCTTCTTTGTATGTTTTCCTATTTCGTTCTTTTCACTTCTGCTTACTCGTCCTAGACGTTTTCGCTATCCTGCTCATCGGCATGTGTCTCAGCCGTAGTGACCCCCGTCTCCTTCAGGCCAACGCTGAAGGTTCTGGAACCGCTGCCCAATCGCCTTTCGTCATCATCATCCAGAACGCTGGTATCAAGGCTCTCCCCCACATCATCAACGCTGTCGTCCTGACCTCCGCTTTCTCCTCCGGCAATGAGTTCTTGTACTCTTCGTCGCGTGGCCTCTTCATGCTCGCGCAAGAGGGCAAAGCTCCCCGCATCCTCGCCAAGGTCGCCAAGAACGGTGTCCCCATCTACTCGCTTGCCGTTTGCTCTTTGTTCTCTCTCCTTGGATTCCTTGCTTGCGGCAAGGAGGGTGCCAACGACGCATTCAACTGGCTCGCCAACATCACCACCCTTGGTTCGATGATCACATGGTGTGGTGTCGCCCTCTCCCACACCCGATGGTACCGTGCCATGAAGGTGCAGGGCATGAGCCGTGAAGAGCTGCCCTTCAGGAGCTGGACACAGCCTTATGGCGCGTGGGCTGTCCTGATTTCCTTCAGCATTATCATCTTCTTCAACGGCTACACGACCTTCATGACCAAGCCGTTCGACTACCAGTCGTTCATCTCATCCTACATCAACATTCCATTCTTCATCATCCTCTTCATTGGCTGGAAGATCTCCCACAAGACCAAATGGGTGTCGCTGTCCGAGATGGACTGCTCAACACACTACGTTGAAGACAGTGTTGTGGTGCGTCATTTTCTTAGCCTTTTCCATTCTCGATTCCTGACGCGCCTTGCAGTACTCCAAGTACTGATAGACCAAAATTACGCATCGTAGCACGCTGGTTTTCGCATGTTGGTTTGCAGGGTACTAATTATTCCATATCATTTGTGGGCGGATCCGGAGCGACGACCAGAAGCCTTTTGTTCTTGGTGCTCTGCGCTCCGCGACTGGTGGTGACTTTGTGTTGTAATGAGCTCTCCAGAACGACTGCTTGACACCGGCCTGTATTATAGTAGATTTTCTTGCTTAATTTATCCATGATACCACACTCGTTCTCTATCTCTGGTGTCGACTGGACAATGTTGGATTAGGTTTGTTTTTCAACCAATTTTCAACCTTGCAAGTTGCAACATAACATGATCATGAGTCACCGCGTGACAAGCCTTGATACGTTTTTTTAGCTACCACCAAGTTTGTCGAACTCGATTTATTCGGCGCTGCCTACCCGACTCGAAAACATCGAGCTCTCACTTTCAATGAACCTACTGGCTATCCGCATTCAGCTCCTCGTTTCAGCTTCACTTGAAATTTACAGCAACCGCAGACATACACTCGCGCTCCCGTCTGACTCTCTAGGCGATGCTTCGTGTCTTATTCGTTAAGCGCCGAGATGAAGCCACCACAACAGCTGTCGGGAATGTTGTTTCATAGCTTTGGTCCCACCCGACACCGCGGGCCTAATCGCTGATGTCAACGTCCGTCCCGAAATAACTTTCCGCTGGCTATCTTCTTCCGATTTGCGCTCTCACGTTGAATCTGTCTGCGTTGCCAGATCCAACTATTCCGATCTGCCAGCCCATGCGTACGTATATAAAAAAGCTTCTTCAGGCTCCCACCTTCTCTTCCCTTTCTTCTCTTTCGTTGCGACAACCTTCTGTCTGCGTCCTCGCAATGTCTTCCTCACCTGTTGACATCGAGAAGAAAGCGTCCCACTCGGGAGACAACATCGTCACTGAAGAGGATGTCGGCCCCGCGGGGGATGGCGGCCACATGCACCGCTCGTTGAAAGGTCGCCAGGTGTCCATGATTGCAATTGCTGGTACCATTGGTACAGGCTTGTTCCTGGGGGTATGTCACCATAGCTTCTCTCTCTTCCTCTCAACATCCAGACTTATCAAACCTAGTCTGGCAAAGCTTTGGCGAATGGTGGGCCCGTCGGTGCCCTGTTGGGCTACCTCTTCGTGGGTATACTTGTCGGTTTGATGATGTACGTCCTCAACCTGTTTGAACCTTATCGATGTCTCATACACGTCTGCCTGCAGGTACTCCCTCGGTGAAATGATGGTCTGGGATCCTTCAGCGGGGGGTTTTATCGAGTTTTCGACCCGATATGTCGACCCCGCCATGGGTTTCGCTATGGGCTGGCAATTCTGGTTCCAAGCCGTCATGACTGCGCCTGTCGAAATTGTCGCCGCTTCCATTGTCATCTCATTTTGGGACCACAACGACGACCACAAGGCCATCTATATCGCGGTTATGTTGATTGGTATAATCCTCGTCAATCTCGCCGGCATCAAGTACTTTGGCGAATTCGAGTTCGTCTTTGCCTTCATCAAGATCATCACCGTTATTGGCCTCGTCATTGCCTGTCTTGTCATCGACCTGGGAGGTGCCCCCGACAAGGACCGCCGTGGTTTCCGCTTCTGGAGGGAAGAACCCTTCAACAACCATTTCTTCCAAGTCGAGCCTCCTTCAAAAGCGCGATTCCTTGGATTTTGGGCTGTTCTTACCCAGGCCGCCTTCTCGTGTACGTCTTCTGCCTGTCGTTCTCATGTTGTGTGACTCAACTGTCGTTTTAGATGGTGGCATGGAAGGCCTTGCTATGATATGTCTGGAAGCTGCTAATCCACGGGTGTCTATGCGAACTGCCGTTCGTGCTATTTTCTACCGTATCGTCCTTCTCTGTGAGTTGGTGTTGTTGCCGTCATTCCAGATATGAACTAAGCTGCTTCAAGATGTCTTTGCTATCCTGCTCATCGGGATGTGTCTCAGCCGGAGCGACTCGCATCTTTTACAAGCTAACGCGGAAGGTTCCGGTACTGCGGCTCAGTCGCCCTTCGTCATCATTATCACCAACGCCGGCATTAAAGTCCTACCCCATATCATCAATGCCGTCGTCCTCACCTCTGCTTTCTCTTCGGGCAACGAGTTTTTGTATTCCTCCTCGCGATCGCTCTTCATGCTCGCACAAGAAGGAAAGGCTCCGCGTATTCTGGCCAAAGTCACGAAAAATGGTGTCCCTGTATACTCGCTTGCCGTTTGTTCTTTGTTCGCCTTGCTCGGATTCCTTGCTTGCGGAAAGGAAGGTGCTAATGACGCGTTCAACTGGCTGGGTAACATCACCACTTTGGGCTCCATGATTACCTGGTGTGGTATTGCCATCGCGCACATTCGCTGGTACCGCGCGATGAAGGTTCAGGGCCTGAGCCGCGACGAGCTGCCATTCAAAAGCTGGACCCAACCCTACGGAGCATGGATTGTGCTGATCTCATTCAGCATTATCATCTTCTTCAACGGCTACACGACATTCATGACCAAGCCATTCGACTGGCAGTCGTTCCTCTCCGATTACATCAACATCCCGTTCTTCGTCATCCTCTTCGTTGGCTGGAAGATTGCGAAGCGAAGCAAGTTCGTGTCGTTGGTGGAGATGGACTGCTCGACACACTATGTTGAAGATAGTGTTGTGGTGCGTCATTTTCGTAGCCTTCCATTCTCGATTTCTGACGCCCCTTGTAGTACTCCAAGTACTAATAGACCAACGTTATCCATCGTAGCACGCTGGTTTTCGCATGTCGGGTTACAGGGTACACTAATGTTGTATTTTAATTGGTTTGTTAGTCATGTGGCTTCATCGGATGAAAAAAAATCTTCGCCGTACATGAAATTTGGCCCAAAATCTGGATTAAGTATTGGCATACAAACCGTCCTATGTATAGGATAGAATCAGACTAAGGATAAGGACTCGGATATGCAAGTTATTCTTGTTGGATGCAGAACGAATACATATATAATGACGGTACCTACTACCCATTGGTTTTTTAGTACAATGTCAATCGTTTTCGGCTATGCAAGTATTCAAGTTTGGGCATATTCGGTCGGCCATGTTTGCAACCACACAATCTTGAAATGTCACACATGTCACGCTATCCACAAACGATTTTTCAACCGTCATCATCTTTGCTAAATTTACCGCATTGGCGGCCGATTCAACTCCGGACCATGTTGCACTAGCACTTGCAATGAACAGCTGGCTTCCCGCTCTTCAATCTCTCAATTACTTCCCAGTTTACAGCCTTGAACAAACTCGTAACAGTGTCGCGCTCCCTTACATATTGTCCACTTCGATAGACACCGGGGTGAAGGAACGACAGTCAAGGTCGGGACCGTTGTCTCACAGCTTCTATTCAATGCTGCCTATGCATACCAACACCGACTCCAATCTCTGATGTCAACGTGCTTCCTGGGGTAGCTTTTACGCTATCCTCCTCCGATTCGCGTCTCACTAAAATACACACGGGCCAGATTCAGCGCTGAGATCTACCCGCCCATGCGTGCTTATTTAAAGAGCGTTTTTGTGGCTCCCACCTTCTCTTCCTCTCCCCTCGGCAACCTTTTGTCCCATTCCTCGCAATGTCTTCTTCGCCCGTTGACATCGAGAAGAAAGCGTCCCACTCGGGAGAGAATATCGTTACTGAGGAGGATGTCGTCCCCACCGGAGATGGCGGCCACATGCATCGCTCGTTGAAGGGTCGCCAGGTGTCTATGATTGCCATTGCTGGAACCCTTGGTACGGGTCTTTTTCTGGGGGTACATATGTCTTCGTTGCTGTTCTCCGGGCGCTGAACTTACCGGTCTTAGTCCGGTAAAGCGCTTGCAAATGGCGGTCCTGTCGGGGCTTTGCTGGGGTACCTTTTGGTTGGTGTGCTGGTCGGGCTGATGATGTGCGTAATCGGTCCCATATGACGTGTCGTCAAATGCTTATGAATTTAGGTACTCTCTCGGTGAAATGATGGTATGGGACCCTTCTGCGGGTGGTTTCATCGAATTTTCTTCCCGTTATGTCGATCCAGCTATGGGCTTTGCGATGGGCTGGCAATTCTGGTTTCAAGCGGTGATGACAACCCCCGTAGAAATTGTTGCCGCTTCCATTGTCATCTCGTTCTGGGACCATGCAGAAAACCACAAGGCGCTCTACATCGCAGTCATATTGATTGGGATCATCCTCGTGAACCTTGCTGGTGTCAAGTATTTTGGTGAATTCGAGTTCGTCTTTGCGTTCATCAAGATCATCGCCGTCATCGGTCTCATTATCGCCTGTTTGGTCATCGACCTTGGAGGCGCGCCGGACCGTGACCGTCGCGGTTTTCGCTTCTGGAGGGAAGAACCCTTCAATAACCATTTCTTCCAAGTCGAGCCTCCTTCAAAAGCGCGATTCCTTGGATTTTGGGCTGTCCTTACCCAGGCAGCCTTCTCGTGTATGTCGCTTTTGCTTTCATATCATGTATTCCTAAATCACTTTAGACGGTGGTATGGAGGGTCTAGCGATGATATGCCTGGAGGCTGCTAACCCACGGGTATCCATGCGCACGGCCGTTCGCGCTATTTTCTACCGTATAGTCCTGCTCTGTAAGCTAGTCTCATTGCGTCACTCCCTGTCCGCGCTAAGCTAATTCTAGATGTTTTTGCTATCTTGCTCATCGGCATGTGTCTGAAGCGCAGCGACCAACGGCTGCTCCAAGCCAACCAGGAAGACTCCGGCACTGCTGCTGAGTCTCCGTTCGTCATTATTATTACAAACGCTGGCATCAAAGTCCTCCCTCATATTATCAATGCCGTTGTTTTAACATCTGCATTCTCTTCGGCCAACGAGTTCTTGTACTCGTCTTCACGATCGCTATTCATGCTCGCTCAAGAGGGTAAAGCTCCCCGCATCCTCGCCAAAGTCACGAAAAACGGTGTCCCAGTCTTCGCCCTCGCTGTTTGTGCTTTGTTTGCCCTGCTTGGATTCCTCGCTTGCGGAAAGCAAGGCGCCAATGATGCGTTCAACTGGTTAGCCAACATCACCACTCTAGGCTCCATGATTACCTGGTGTGGTATTGCCGTTGCCCATATCAGGTGGTACCGGGGAATGAGGGTTCAAGGCCTGAGCCGGGATGAACTGCCCTTCAAAAGCTGGACACAGCCCTACGGAGCATGGGTCGTGCTGATTTCATTCAGCATTATCATCTTTTTCAATGGCTACACGACGTTCATGAGCGACCCCTTCGACTGGCGGTCGTTCCTCTCCGACTACATCAACATCCCGTTCTTCGTCATTCTCTATATCGGATGGAAGTTTGTGAAGAGAACCAAGTTCGTGTCGTTGGTGGAGATGGACTGCTCGACACATTATGTCGAGGATAGTGTAGTGGTGCGTGTTCCATTCTGTCTCCTCCTGGGTAACTTGCTGACATGCTCTTTCCCTAGTACTCCAAGTATTGATAGTTCTATGCCTATAATGTGCAGTGGTAATAAACAGATATTTTCCACGAATACCTTGCCTATCGCCTCGTGGGTTGTGGAGCTACCCACGCTGGCCCACGCAATTTAGGCAAGTTCCGACTGTTGCTTGATGGATGGATATCGTCTGGATACCACTATTGACCGCGAGCGACAAAATAGAGTCGACAACCAATCGGGAAAGTTTCTCACTGCCTGAGAACAGTCTAAGGATGAGTAGATTCGATTATGTTCCTTTTCCATTCAAGGCTGTAAGCCACCGAGCTGAACGTACCCGCATTCAAATGGGACTTTTGCTTTGCACTTACTAGTTGCTGAGCTCTCTCTTTTGCGTATGATGCCGGATCAGTCACTGTCACACCGTTACCTTTTTGCGTTCTCATATCGCGTTGAACGCCTACCTCTAGCCTCAGCGACTACATAAATTCAGGACTCGTTGAAAATCTACACCCGCTGCGCACCTTTCAAGATGAATTCGCCGATTCGCCTCGCCCTGACCCCCACTCAGCAAAACAACCATGTTCAGCGTTCATCCCTCCGCGATACCAAGCGCTCCCCTTCAGATACTAGTTACCTCCCCGACTCTGCCACCGCTGCAAACCTTACGCGCACTACCGATCAAGATATCACGCTGTTCTATACACGCCCCTCCGAGAACGACCTCACCGCCTTTGCGTCAACTCCCTCCGGCCTTGGACTTTCAACTACAATAAAGATGACCAATAGTGAAAGCGAACTCCCCATTCCATTAGCTCTCGCGTTAACACAACTTCCGGAAATTCCTGACTGGTACGACGAGATCAACAATGTCGCAGCAACAACTCGACCTCCGTCAACGCGCCTAGCCTGTGATACCCCGTCTCACCCATATGAAACACCACAAAGCGACTATCACTCTCTTGAAGAATATCATCCTGATGCTCTCTGTTGCGAAGATGTCATTCGGGAACTCGAACAGACTGCCGAGCAAGCCCATGTCTACAACGTCTCTCAATCTTCCAAGATCAGCAGCGTGGTTGCATTTGGCTTTCCATCTCCTGGATTCACCGCTGTTGCTGGCAAACACAAGGTCAACTCGGCTGAACTGTTAACACTCTCGCCTCGTCGCCACTACCGGCTGAAACGACGCTCGTATTCGCTTGATTCGGCGGATCGACGAAGGGCTGTAGAGTTCGTGAGTCGGATTCGATTGTTCTTTTGATTACGGCATGCACTTATTGCGGGAAATGAAGGCATTCCAATCCGATGCAGGCCTTGGCGTTGGACTCGACTCGCCCTTCTGCCTTACCCAAGAAGTCTTTCCAGACCATATGACTCCTTCCAGTAGCGACACCCAACTTCATGCCCTGCACGCCCACCCAGACATTCTTGTTTCACCGGAAATCATCTCCACTCCACCTATCCTCAACGACAGTGGTCGTGAACGTCGTCAAGATGCATTGTCAGTTTGGAGACCCAGAGCACCTCCACTAGCCCCAACTTCTACTCCAGCGAATGACATTGTCGAACAACAGGATTGGGACGACATTCGCAGCGCCAGCATGCCGTTCCCATCGACCGCATCTCTCTATGCATTACCGATGTCTGCCTCTTGGCCAGCCGCCAACCCTTCTTCTTCTACCTGTGGCGGCGGGAGATCGCACATTCGGCCACGCCAGAAGCAACGGCAAGGACGGAAGTGGACGATGGAGGAGCAAATTACTCTTGCGGTATTGGCAGCGATGGATGCTCGAGATAAGAGTGGGGAGTCCATTAGCAATAGGACTGCAAGCGATTTGAATTCGGAGTCCAAGAAGGGGAAGCGTGGGTTATTCCGAATATTGCGTACGATTTGGCGGAAGCAAGCGACCTTGAGGCAGCCGGAATGATTCGAATTTTATATGCAAGACATTGCAAGTCCTGTTTTCCCCCCACGCTTACCATATATGTAGCTAGAAGTATTTGTCATGTAGGTACTATTTGCGACGGACTCGATCGACAAAAACCATGCTTGAGACTCATAAGATTTTTAACTGGCGCCTCCCCCCTTCAATTTTAACTTGGGCTGGACCACAGCCTGAGTAACGTCCCAGTCTCGAAGCTTCGTCCGAAGAATCTTCGGCCGCGATAAAGTATGTACTTACGTTCAGGACTGGAATCTAATCAGCCCCAGCCGCTAAGCGCGACATTCAATTGATGTGTGATGGTACGCGTGATGGCCTGGTGCTTGCTCACGAACCACACGGCTTGCTCTCTCCCCCCTCTCCGTCTCCCTCATACTCCTTATTCCCTCCATCTTCCTCCCTCTTCCACGATTTGAAGACTCAGGTTTCCACGTAGCTGTGCTTTTCCTCTCCTGCTATCAGTGCTTGGCCGCGGAGACAACCCGACGTCCAACGTAAAAACCTCGGCAATGGGAGCGTGTATGTCATCGCCTGAGGACGGAGGCGGGATCGCCCTGGTCACAGAGCGAGACAGGCAACTTCACCGTCAGGCGGAGAAGGACCTGAAGGAGGCCAAAGCAAGAATGGCTACCCAGGTCAAGGTGTGTACATGCTTGGCTTGTCCCCAAACATCGTTGAACCCCCATAATCAGGTGCTGCTGCTTGGTTCTGGCGACTCTGGCAAGAGCACGATCCTCAAGCAGATGCGGCTCATCCATTCGCGTCCCTTCAATGCTCATGTCTGACACCCGTTGTTACTTTTTTTTCTCGGTGCCTTACTCGCTTGACAGGAGAAAGAGTCGTACCGCCAACTTGTGTTTGATAACATGACGCGTGGGCTCAAGTACATTATCGAGGTCCTCCCAGATCTCGACTTAGTACCGCCTGAAGACTTGGCGGACGACATTGCCCTTATCGAGGGCGCCGTCGATGTTGGCGACGGGGAGGTGTTTCCCCCTGAATTTATGCAACCGTTGCAGAGGTTGTGGGATGCAGAGGTTGTGAGGGAAGCCTGGAGGAGGGGCAACGAGGCCGCGTTACCGGAAAAGTCAGTTGATTGTTCCAGTCCCTCTGTCTCGAAGCTGAACAGGTGTTGTCAGTCTGCAATACTTTTTCTCTGACCTCCCGCGATTTTTCGACCCAGCGTACGTTCCCACCGAACAAGACATTGTACACACACGAGCGCGGACAATTGGAATAACGGAGACAACTTTCAAGCTCAGAGAGCATGAGATGCTTATGGTCGACGTAAGCTTATGACCAATGTCCTTCTACTGATTTGTTTCTCACTATAAGCGCTTGCAGGTTGGCGGGCAGAAATCAGAACGACGGAAATGGATCCACTGCTTCCAGGATGTCACCTCCATTCTTTTCCTCGTCAGTCTCAGCGGGTATGATCAATGCCTCGTCGAAGACCGGGATGCGGTATGTCTATTATACTCTCGACCTAGCCTGGACCCTCCATAACTCTTGTGCAGAACCAAATGCAAGACGCGATGACTATATGGGACTCCATCTGCCATTCACAGTGGTTCAAACAGACAAGCATCATCCTGTTCCTAAACAAAGACGACCTGTTTCAACAGAAGATCAAGACCAGTCCTATTCGGACCTTCTTCCCCGACTTTGACGGCGAGGAGGGCAACGCGATTGCGGGTCGAGAATACTTCAAGAAGCGCTTTGGACGACTGGCCCAGAAGGCGGGCAGGACAAGTGACCGACAGCGCGAAGTGTATATCCAGTAAGTTGCTCTCTGAAACTGGGGTGAGCCTTGACTAACTGGCTCAGCACGACGACTGCGACGGATACGGAGCTCCTGCGGGTTGTCATGGCTGCCGTCGAAGAGTGAGTGTTGCTTTCTTGTTAACTTTTTGCCCCATCCCTTTGCCTCAATTTCCTATTTCTCCCTTTCTTTTCGTGTTGTTATGCCAATACTCAACCTCGTCGCCGCTTGCAGTATCATCGTCCGGGGCAACTTGCAAGGCGCGGGGTTGATCTAGGCCTGCCGCTTGCCTGCTTACCCATCATCCTTTCCCCTTCACTGCGCATAGAATCGCAACACACGTTGTAACACCAGTCATATCACGCACTCCCCCAAAAACGCTAACTGCGTGTTAATTCGTCCTTCGCCAGTACATACTATCGCATATTCCCTTCGACTTCATTTATCACCTTTCGCTTTCGCTTTTTCTTCTTTTTCTTTCTCTTTCCGTGTTCCACCAGTTCTCACCAATATTTTTATCCTATCTATTCTGCCCTGCCCTCAATCCAATTTGGCTGTTGCATTCTGGTTCCTCCCTTGGTCAATCTTTGCCATCGTTTACAGCACGATCGTCGCCAACAGCGTATGTGTTCCCTTTGCCCTGTTCAATCCACGCACAACACGAAATACCAACATGCTTCCGCCAGATCCGCGCATTCCTGTTATGAAGTGGTTTCCGACGGGAGAGCTTGAGGCTCTTCCGCATTAATTTTAATGTTAATCCCGCCCGAGGGAAGCCGTTCGTTACTCGTGGTCGAAATGCCGCAAAAATTGGCCATAACGGACTGTTGTTAATTTTCGGAATCGACGAGCGTATCGCTGGCCACGGGGAGTAGCGTTGTACGCCTTCAATCTCTTAATTACCTCCGCGTAACGTGTGGGTCTCTTCGAAAGGATCGCATGGAACGCTTGACTGCCAAGCCTGGGGCAAATAAGTACCTTTTTAATGTGATCGGGACGTGAATGCATACCATGTGAGGACGGATTTATCGACATTCGCCCTCCCGCCGTGCCGTGCAGCGAGTGTGGTGGCCGACTTGTTGGTTATGGAGTGGTAACAGTAATTGATCATCTGCCGGATCGTTTCTGAACGTGTTGTTTGTGATGAACATATGGGTGACAGAAGATGAGTGTACCCCAGAGGAAGCGCGCATGCTTGCGGGTGTCGAGACCCCAGCCGCGCAGATAGAAGTGCATCTTGAGTGCACAGAGAAGGAAGTTCTCGTAGATGTTGGCGTAGACGACGTGCTCGGTGTTCAATCTGATGTCGTTGTAGATGATATGGCATCGGTTCTTGGCCAACCTGACAAGAGCGACTGAGCACGGAGAACTCCGGGGACACGACGACGACGAACTGGAGCATCTTGTACCGAAAGGTGGCCCCCGGAGTGGCTCCGCGACCGATCGTCAACGTATTGCTTAAATCTGCACGGATTCAGCTCCAAAAACCCATCGGTTGTGGGAGAGAATTTCAAGTACCCATGCCTGAATACCGGGCATATTCCACCGACACAGTGAGGTGTTTTGTATCGATCAACAGCCCGCACCAAGGAAAATCTAGTATCATCAGCCGGAGAGCTGGGCAGATAGACAATGAACCCACATCTGTAGTGTTCTTGGAGTATACCTTCGACGTCAAAGTTCGTGACGGTCTTGTCTGCCGAGATGAAGCAGCCATATTCGGGATGTCCTAGAACACAGTTTATCTGGCCTGGCCGTCTATGAAGGCTGGTATCCACACCTTTGTTCATCGTATCGAGAAACCCGCGCGCTTTGGCTTTATCGGTGCTCACAAAGAGGTAATCGTCCGTTTGGCGGATCAGCATCTATTCCCACATGAGAGTGAGGAGATATGCAGGGGGTGAACCCACCGAATATGGGTCGTCGGTGAACATGCTAAACCGCTTTTCCAGATCACCGTAGAAAAAGGCGCAGAGCAAGCTGGAAAGAACGGAACCCTGTGGAATGCCAATCGTCTGGCGGTGATAGTCTGCCCCAATCTGCAGTCAAGCACTGGTTATTCCTAGCATGGCAATAACGAACATCAACTTACTTTCACGATGTTTTCTGTAATGTGTTGTTCGAGAAGGTGCAGAACATCCGCCTTGTCCGTGAGCTTGGGGCGGACCTGCCAGGATGAGCGCTCGAAAGTTATAGACTCGACAATCGTACTTCATCCACAAAAATGGTGCTGTGCAGTACACCGGCCAGCTTAGTGGCGGTTTGAAGAAAGTCGAGATCGTCTTCTGTACCAGATCATTAAAACAGGACAGGGGATCTGAAAGGAAACATGGCACCTGCGCCGGCAGAGGCTCTCATTAAGAAGGCCCGCCTCACTTTGCCCGCTTCTGATGTAACCTTGGCATATCGTTGAACAGTATAGTTGTCCTATGGAATGTCACTTGCGAAAGACGAAATGAATGATGAAAGTAAGTACCTTCGAAAGAAGGGCACGCAGGATTTCAATCAACTTGGTCTGAGGAATGGTGTCGAAGCAGGCTTGAACATCGACCTTGACAAAATAGAGTTTAGGTCTTAGACTGCGGTTTAGCCTCATCTCGGATCCAAAGATGAACAGGGGACACACAAGCGTTTGGGCAGCCGTTTTTTGAACTCTTTCAACTTCGAATAAACCTCGTTGATATTGAAGATCGAGGCGCCAACAAGCTCCCTCCGCACGTCCTAGCACCAGTCATTTCTCATCAAGTCACGGGGGGAGACACCAACACGTTCGTAGTTGAGTATTCGGAAACAGGCTTGCAACGTCTGGTTGATGGAGGTCTGAATCACGTGACCACGCTTCACAAAAAGTTACTAAATCGGCAAGTCAGAGTGAACAGCTTGACCAACCTCATTTGTGATCTTTTGTTTCCTTTTGAGGTTTGTGATCGGCCGTACTCCAGCTTCCTTTGGTAAAAGTCGAACGAAAGAATACCCAAGAGTGCGATTTTGAAGGATTGCCTCTGCTTCATCCTGAAGCAAGTGTAAGTCGACCCTTTCTTGTGAGCGTTGCAGCCCACATTGGAGATCTTCTGATATGTCGCGCTGGTCAAGCTTTTGATCAACGGCGCGCACATAAAGGCCCAATCATCTTGGCGGAAGTAGAGGACATGGTTCCGCAATGCGGAAGACTCAGTCACATAGAAAGTTGTCTGGATCGTGTTACTTTCAGGAGAGCTGCGGAGGGGCGGGACCAACCTTCAAGAGCGGCATTAGAAACGAATCGAAGTACCAGAAGATAAACTCTTCGAGGATTTCGCGACGTTTGAGGGAGTCGGTAACCGGGACGCGCTTCTGATTCAATCCTGGACCTGGCGGCATCAGCCAATCACACGCCGAGGTGCTGAAGCCCTGCAGGATGTTGTGGAGGGATAGCGTTTCATAACGACGACACGATATGAACGTTTTCACTTCTAGTTGTTGCTCATCAGTTCAGATCGCCGCAACAGAGAAAAGCGTGCACTTTTCATAACATGAAGAAAATTGGTGTGCGATCCCCAGAAGGAGGTCGGAAATACAACCTTCGTGACGAGCATGACATATCGAAATACCTGCACAACATATGGGCGTTGGTTAATGGCCAAAAACTGGGCTTACAGATTTATGGCTACATGCTATCTCTGCGAGATGGGGTTTCAGCGTGGCTTGCTTTTTCGCTTGTGTCAGCCCAATGGGAGCGATAGTATTGCCATCAGTATCATAGGATGCATCAAGATTGTACTCGGGTTGTGAACGCGGAAGTGACGAGGTACGATCTGCTAAAAACGCCTATGTACGAAGCATCACAAAATAGTCAACGAGTGGCCCAGAGCTATCACGTACCAGGATGTCTTGCTTTGTAAATCCTTTTTTATGAAGCTTCCTCGCCTGTAGGCAGTGTTGAATGACTGCAAAATAGTGAAAGCGGTGCATACCTCGGATGGGCAAGCTAAGTCGCGGAGTTGCCAGTATTGGCATTTCCCATGTCTCCAAATCACTTTTTCGAGTAGTGGAACCGCTTCTTTGAGTCGCTTAGGAGTTTTGCATGGTCCTAACGCCTGCGTAAATAGCACGTTAACACGATTAGCATGAAATTTCAGTTGACGCACTGTAATATGGTGATCACGGTTACTGAAGTCGGGAAGAGTAGTTGACTGTGACTCGAATCCGAATGGACTTTCCAGGCCATATTGACGCGGGAAGACGTATTTGGATAAACGACGAGCTGCTTTCATCTGATCAGTCCGGTTCGGCATTCCGGCCCGGTCGGTTTCGTCATCATTCGGATCGAGCTCCTGTGCATTATTCGGCGGCCTGAACTTCAGTTTGTTCAAAATGTCTAGACAGAGCGTCACGGATAGAATGCAACAAAAAAACGAGGAAGGCGTACGTGAAGGTGGCAAACCATTAGTGCGACCATTCTCCATCACACGTCCATAAAATAGTCGGTTGCGAACCAAAATAACTGTGGATGCAGAACGTCTGCTTTATTAGGTGAATAAGTTGACTTCTAGGCTATTGCGATACGCGTACTCTTGGATGTGCGATCTCGACTGTCTCTTGGCGGCCGTTCCATCGTTCAGTTTAACGCGTTTTGCGGGACCAGCTACATCGTCTGATGTTGCGGAGTAGGTGCGTTTAGGAGGGCGAGCAGGAAGGCCGTCGGTGAAGAGACTCAAGTTGTCCAGACGGTGAACCGTGATCGGCACGCCAACGAGCTGGCAAAAGCAATCATTGGGCAATGCGACAAAGATGCAGGTGCGTGTCAGGAGATGCATCATCGCGTCTGTCCCAATTCTGAAATCCGTCAGAAAATCTTGGCGTAGAGCCCATGGCTACTAACTGTTGGTGCAACAGCTCCCATTCTGGGGCCTGGAGCGCTGTCACGTTGGTGTTCGCGACAACATTTCGAGCTTCTTTACCATCCACATTCTACGCCGGAAATGCGGTGAGCAAGAGCGTGATGGACGTGAGCATCTTCGGGCTGCGTACCAGAATATAGCCTTGAGCAAGGATATTGCGGCATTTCTTCCGGCCAACGCTCAGCAACTTGACAATCGCACTCTGAATGACCTGGTCAAAGATTGATATGATGCCAATTTCCCATATTAGACACACACTGAGTCCATGCCCACGTCGGGTGGTATATGTGGGAGGCGCGGCGGGTCGTCGCTCGCAGTGTGGCAAACAACAGATGTGGCCAGAAGAGTTGTGTACGGCGGATAGTCGACCGAGCTGGGGGTAACATCCAATATGTCGGTGAGATAGAGTCCTAAGGACTTCACTGTGCTGTAGTACTTGCCCAGCAACTTCCGGCTGATGTGTCCTGGCATGAAGGCATGAAGAGAACTGTGTCACGTCACGCGACCGTGACGATGGTGTACATATTACGTAATGCTAATATGCTCCCCAGTGCTACTCCAAGGATCGTTCATCCGACGAGCTACACTATAGCAGAGCTGCATCTTCGTACTTCCTTTGCCCGAGAAAGAACAATAATCTCGATCGGCGGCCCGGGGTATTTGGCATCAGCTCGACGAAAGGACTCTAAAACGGATGTTGTGTTCTGTTTGCGGTACTCGTCGTGGACGTGGGTATGACGGAGAACCCCGCCGGCTTCTACTTCTTTAGTTCCATGAGAAGATGGGTCTCAAAGCAAATGTTTCTGCGAGAAAGGTTAGCTTAAACGATAGAAAGTAGGAAAAAAAAAACCTGAGGTGGTGGATGAGGCCTTGATATTGCAAGCTGCTTCATGCTCTCGGGCCAACTGAAAGGCACACTGCTAGGGCGAAAGCGAAAGCGTCCAAGGCTTGCGGTCTTTCCATGGAAATTTCAGGAGGCGATCAAAGAAGTCGAACACGGTCACGGAATCACGACATCTGTCTTTCGCGCATGCACGAGATTTGGACATATAAAATACGTAAAAACACAGAATACCAGACCAGACAATACAAAATTTTCTAATCAAGGGGAGATGTGGTTCGTATACAAAACATGAGTGTGTCGTGTTGTGTCATGGAGATTCCCGATACAGATAAAAGGAGAGGCTGTAGTTCTCTAAGATACAAAGGTTAATCAAGCGTCGTCAGGTTCCAACTTGACGATTTGGGGGGTATCGCTCGCTGGAGGAGGCGGAGGGGGAGGTGGGTAGGAAAAGGACTCCTGCGGTGGCGGCGCGTTTGATGGGGAGGCGGTAGCTGAGTGAGATGCATCCTCTATTCGTCGCATGGCTTCAGCTGAAAGCGCCTCCAGTCCTGGCGCACTAATCATTCGGCCCTTTCCCTTGTCTTTTGCACGAGCAGAGGAGGGAGAAGGAGTGGATTTCGCTCCTCTCCGACTTGGTGATGGGCTCGCAGCTGCGAATCGGTGGCTTCGTGGACGCATAACACGACCACCTATAGTTGGTGGCGGTGGTGGTGGTGCGCGTACTCTTGGTCGATAGGGAGCATCGGTTGCCTCTTCACTCTCGACATCCGATTCGCTACCATCGTCTTGTTCCATTTCGTCGTCGTCTTCTTCTTGTGCAAGGCTTGGTCTATCGACCTGCATTTCTTCGGGCTCAGGATCAAGCTCATCCTCTTCTTCTTCTAATTGATCTTCGTCATCATCTTCGGACTCAACGTCCATTTCGACGTCTTCCGGCTCTTTCTTGACTGGTCGTAGCCTCGGGACGACGAGTCTTCCTAAATTGGAGTTGGCCATCCGTCGACCTGGACTTGAGATTGGGCCGTGATGCAGCATTTGTGCTGGCACCGCGCCAGGTCCAGAGGTGACGTTTCGCGTGACACCATATGGAATCTGGACAGTTGTAGACGCACGCGTGCTCTGAATAGCAGAAACCATCGTGCCCGTTGTTTTGTCGTGTTTGCGACGCTTTCGGGGCCGCTTGTGTCCCTCCCCACCAGAGAGGTCAAGTTCCCAATAGCAACCTTTGCCCATTTGCTTGGCATCGCGTGGTACTTTGCGGAATACTTTGTTCAATGAAAGATTGTGCCGCACCGAGTTCTGATTATGGAGTTCATATTCGCTTCAGGAAATGAAATTAACGCACCTTCCAAGCATCGTCCATTTGGTGCTCGTGGAACCACGCGAACCGATTGACCAGGGACTCGCAAATACCTTGCAGAGTCAACTTCTTCTTCGGATCACCATGAATTGCGAGCTTGATTAACGTGGGGAGGGATGCAAAGGGTTTCTGTCCGTCGGGAGGGTCTGCGATGGCCCAAAGATCGACATTGACGCTCGGGGCGAGACATAATTGTCGACGTAGATAATCTTCGTCAGCCTCGACACGTGAGCGGGGGTATAATGAAAGCGGCGGTGCATTGGGATGCGGGTGGATGTAAACTCCGGCGGGGGGATGTGGAGACGGTGCGATGTACTGGTAATTGGGTGGAGGTGGTGGGGGATGAGAATAGATGAAATTTTCGCCAATTCGCGTTGGAGGAGGATCGTCTGAGCGACTCGGGCCAGCGATAGGCTGGCGAGGAGATGCAGGGGAAAAGGTTGATGGGGTACTTGGGCTGGGGCTGGAAACCTCAGCTTGCTGCTGCCTGGCACGTTCTTCGTCCTGAGTATTCCATCGTAAGCAAGATCGTGGAAGGCAAAGCAAAAGACTAGTTGACACACACCGAGTTGAGTATGTTTTGGAGATAGAACGGGCCAGTGAGCTTGCGACGGGATGTTGGAGAAGAGTCTGACAAGGCGTCACCACCGCCACTGTGACTACTGGCCGCGCTATGGCTCGAGCCAGGTCGTTCTGCCACTTCTGCCTCAGCCATCTCAGTCTCTGCTGGACGGGAGGCCTCGACGGTGGGTGAGGTGTCCTCGTCCATGGGGGAAAGAAGAAGAGCTGGAATGATGAATTCTCATCACAAAAAACGCCGGTTGATGATCACACGCCCACTGACTTTGCAAGTGCTTCTCTCTATTGTGGGGTTCCTTGTTGGTCGCCAACCAGTAAGAATCCGCCATCTGAATAACAATTGGCTCCGCATCGATGTCGCACACAACAGCTTGCGCGCCAAACTCTCGGTGATTACTAAAATTAAAGAGGGTCCACGGCATCTGATGGAGCCGCCAGTGTGGACCCACGATGCCTTCTGCCGTCGGAACACGTTCCTCGACTTCTCAATGCGATGAAATACATCGAGTCACTGTCTCGACTTGTCCTAGACGGTAAAAGCTACAATCTAGCTATCCCTTGCAAAAGCGGATGTAACGGCAAATACCTCCGTCAAAGACTCAAAAGCTGTTTCCTGTCTTTATCTGCCTGATTCTCATCGACGACAGTTGAAGCCAAATCGTATGTTGGCCGTCGGCGATCCACCTGACTGTGTCGCTTGTTTCCGTTCATGGCACAATGTCAGCTCGAGCCCTTTCGTCCACTCCGCCGATGTTCAAATAAAGCAACCTCGAGAACTCACACGCAATTAACGAGGGAAATTTAAAGCATTAGGTACAACCGTACCATCAACGCACAAGACGCAATTTTTTTCGCTCCACAAGTAGGATGGACTGGTGTCCTTTGCCTAGTACTTCCCCGCTTCCACCTCCTTCGAAATCCCAGCACCATTCAAGAGCGGCGATTAGCCAGAAGAAACAGAAGATCGAAGACCTTTACCCGGATCGGTCTGGTGAGGAACGCCGCCGATTCGTTGTGAAATTCCAATTCGTAATCGCACTTTGATAGACATGGGATTCTGGCCCACCTTTGTCCTTGGATTGGAAGCATCGTTCTTTGGTATGCTTTCAACGCGTCTCGATACAAAGACAAACACAGCCCCAGCAAGACGACAAAAGACCCATCGCCGTTGGCATGAGGATATGGAAACAACATGCGTTTGTACTTCTTATTGTTTGATGCCCTTCTGAATAAGTTTTGCCAGCAAGCAAACACTGGCGTCAAGAGCAAGCACTGGCGATCCGAGTTGCCGCAAGACTGACTATACGTGAGAGTAACCAATAGGCTCAGTACGCTGTTGATAGGTTTTCGTGGCTTTCAAGAGCAGGATGAGCTATGAATCTCGTCATCCAAAATCTAGCTGGGTTTGTTACTAAACTTAAAGTTGAAATGAGAGTGGTCGAGTGAGCCTCAGCGTTCATTGACAGTCGGCAGGCTGAAATTAGTCCAAGCTGAGTACTCCGGAGGACGGTTTCGACCTAGTTAAAACCCAGACGCCTACACTTGCATCCTTGAAGCAGCACAAGAAGTATTTGGTCTGGAAGTAAAAGGTGTCACGCATCACGCGCGGGTTGTGGATCGAGGTCCACCCTTTTAGGGGTAATATCATCAAATGGTGTCATGCACTACTCACTCGAGGTGAACTTGATGTTTTGTACTTGATAAATAGCATTATCATGATTCTCCCTTCCGCTGAAATACTACGGAGAGGTCACTCCATCTATGGGCAAAGTCTACTCACTGCTAGACTCACCAAACGGCTTTCACCGCTGGTGTCACGATCAAGGTCACGTTTGATTGACTTGTCAATGTGTGCGAGATCTGTGCCTCTCCCTCATCGTCATCGTTCTTGGAACTCAAAGTTGAAGTCGAAACGAACATGGCCTGGCGTTGCAGCGGAAAAACCAATGTCGAACTGGTCGATAACCTCATCAAGTCCCAGATCCTGCAAATTTCCAGTGAGGCGTCTCTCCTGCGAATCTCCCAAGTCGGTCCTGGCAAAGTAGCGACATTCTCTGCGACATAACATGTGTTTAGGCTATGAAGGCCGTTGACCGGGCCCATTTTGTGCAAAACACCGCGGACGCCTATCTTGATTCGCCCCAGTTGCGTCGTTTGTATGCCAGGGTAGAAGTGAGCTCTCAATTCGGAGTATCAGGGCTATCGGGCACGGGGCGACCATCAGCGCCCCACACATGCACGCTTATGCTGTCGACCATTTACTCCCGTTTTTACGGCCAGGATCTCGAGTGCTCGATGTGGGGAGTGGGTCCGGGTATCTAGCAGCGGTACTGCACCATCTGGTGACCACATATGCTGCCTCCGGCCCTACAGATCAATCTGCAACTGCGACAGCTACGGGAAAGGTCAGCTTGATAAAAGAGGATATGGTCTTACTAATATATAACAGGTTGTGGGCATTGACCATATCCCAGAACTGGTTGACTGGTCGCTTGCTAATCTACGAAAAGACGAGCGGAGTCGACGAGCAGTCGAGCAGCAAGAGATTCAGATGATATCGGGCGACGGGCGTCTCGGTTTGCAACTCATTTTGATTTTGCACTAGACAGTGACCCACGTTGGACAGGTTATCCGAATGAGGGCCCATATGACGCGATCCACGTTGGTGCTGCTGCCCCCCGCCATTCCTGAACTGTTGATTGATCAGCTGGCAACACCTGGTCGGATGTTCATTCCCGTTGGAACGTTATCACAGCACATCTACCAAGTCGATAAGGACGCCAACGGCAATGTCACCAAAACCAAAATCATGGCAGTAAATGTATAGCTTTCATCCGTCAAGTAGTTTCCAGAACTGACCTAAAAATAGTATGTACCTCTGACTGATCGAGACAAGCAAACACCCTGGTGAGGTCGGTGCCAGGGTTCATATATACTACCACTGGATGTAACATCTTCAATTGATTAGCGACAAGCTTTTCATTGTTACACACTGTTACATTGTTACAAAACGAGGAGCAGAGATTATCAAGAAAAAAGACAAGAAAAATATACTTCGATAAGGGTAGATAATGCAGAAGAGAAGCCATCAACGTTGCATCAACACTCAAGCGTCCACCGCCATCGCATTCACGTTTTTCACATTGCTCCGTCTCCTCGCATAATATTCGCTCTGCCTCGCCCGGCGTTTGGCATCCATGTTGACGGGACCCAGCCCGCTCACCTGGTTCTTCATGCCTCCCAGGCTTCCCCGTTGCACCTTCGCTCCAAGACTCGATCGCGTCCTGGGGGCAATCGGACCCAAACTCTTCCGCGCCGACGCTTGCGAGGAAGTAGAAGCGATTGAAGACCCGGAAGCAACGCGTTGGGACGCAAGCTTGGCTATGACGCGGGACCGCGAGATACGCGGTTTTCGAGCAGCAAGTGTAACTTTGCCTTTGCCCAGTTTGGGGGCAGACGGCCTTCCTTCGGTGTTGGTAATCGGATCCAACACGCTGGTGCTCTGTTCCGCCACAGAGGGCAGACTCTCTGGCGCAGGTGACAGGGACGGTGATGCAGTGGCGCGTTTGGCTAATGAGCTTGCTGTCGGAGCCAGGAGTCGAGACGAAGAAGACGATGATCGGGCTTTCCGAGACGAATCGGCATTTGAAGATAGACTACCGCGAGTACCAAGTGACCCGGCCTGTAATGAAGACCGAGTCGAGCGTGTTCCAACTGAAGAAGCACCGGCGACAGAAGAATTGCGAGTCCGAGTTGAAGAAACAGTGGTAGTTGTGGATTTGGTTGTCCCGACAAATGCTGGAGGAAGGGGAGAGCGAGCACGGCTTGCAGAGGTACTGCGGGAGCTGGTGGCCGTAGCCATGCTGCGAACAGACGGAGCCCGGAGACTTTTCGCATCTGTGGTGGTAGCGGTCACGTGGATGGGTGGAGCCACTGATATTCTACTAGGCCCAGCTGTAGGCTGAGCGGATGGAGGTTTGATTGCTGGCGGCTTATTCACCACTGGCGCAGGAGCCGGTTTCTTTGCGCCGCCTCCCCAGACACCTGAAACGAACTTTGCTGCCCCTGAAAGGAATCCAAATCGACCACGTTGTACCCCGGGCTTTGGCTTGACTGCTGAAGGATGAGCTAGAGCACAGCGAGACGTTAAACAGACTTACCAAGCACTCCAGCTCCACTAACGCGACCACTCTTACGCCTAACACCTCCTGCAGCAGCACTACTGCGTCGTCTGGCACGAAGAACCTCTTTTTTCTTCCGGAGCGCTTCTTCTTCTGCCGCCCTTCTCTTCTCTTCCTTAGTAGCTTCCTCGCCATTGGTACGCGCCTCGTCAACACGAACACGCTTCCCGCGTCCTTCTTCCCCATCAGCACTGGGCTTCATGCTCGTTGCACTGGATTTGCGTTTCAGATTTTCCCTCCTTGCTGCAGTGTCCACAATACTCTCCATCTTGCTTTCCATCCTCTCGTGCACCTTGTCGAAACGGCCGGCGGGCTTCGTGATCCCGCTCTTCTTCGCACTGCCAGGCAGTGGGCGGATCTCTCTGGGCGGAATTACGGGCGGCGCTTCTCCGCCAAATGCACGACGATTCAGCTCTTCTAGCACATCAGCCTCGATTTGTGCTGTTCTGGCCGCATCTGGACTGGGCATCTTGAAATTGAATGGCACAGGTTGTGGCGACGGCGACCCAAACACAAACGGCGCAGTAGTGCGTGGTGGGGTGGCATCAAATGCACCAGGCATTGGCGCGTCCACTTCCTCGATGGCGAATGCAGGGTTGATGCGACGGTCAGCTTCGAGACTTATGCGTCGCTCGACAGCATCCTCTGGTGGAGAGACCGGGAGAGCGGGGTAGAGGGAAACGGGAAAGGCGGGTGTGGTGTCGCCAGGACTTCCCATGTCAAGGTCAAAGGTAGTTTTGAAGGGCTTCAGGATGGGTGTATCCCCAGCTGGAGGAAGTGTAGATGCAAAACTGGAACCCCCACCAGGATTGGAAACGAGGCGCAGAGTAGTTGTAGGTCCTTGTTTGCTGGGAGTGCGTGGAGCGAGGCCAAGACTCAGGCGTGCATTTATTGGAGCAGGCATTCCTGGACGAAGGGAGTGACCTGGCAGTGGCGCGGTCCCGAGGCTAGGATTAAGGTGTGCTTGAACAACAGCCGGGTCGGCGGTGTCGAATGTGAAGTGGTCGGTTTGGAGGTCGTTCACAGATGCAAGGGGTAAAGAGTCGTATGGAATAGAGTTCTTCATCAACTCGTCGTTTGAGGGTGGCAGAGGAAAGGACGAGATGAGCTTTGTTTGTGAGGAGACGGTAGAGGTGGTGGCGTGGCGTTTTAGCCCCAAAGAGGAGGCAAAAGCACGAATGGAAGAACCAACTGTCGCTGACAATGGCTTTAGTCCCAAGCAAGAGAATATAAAGAGATATCAAAACGCACTCTTAGAGCCGGTGCTGCCTGTTCCAAATTCGCTTGTAAGGGTCGAGCTACTCTTGAGCGAGGTCAGGGTGCCTTGTGAGCTCGAACTGTCTTCGTCTTCCTCAATAATGCTGTCCATAACGATCTCCCATTGAGAGCTGGGCCTAGGCCGCTTGTCCTCCTGCATCTCAACGCCGGCCTCCTCATTCTGCTCGCTTCGAAGGGCTACGCTAAGAGGATTATCGTTGGGAAGTGTCAATGCATGGTTCTTGAGCCGCTCGACAAGGTCTACGTTCTTTCCGTTGGCCTTGAGCTGATGGACTTTGCATAGTTTGACTAGTTGATCCCGCTTTAACGAGTGGAGGGCGGGAGAGTTAAATAGGATCTCGGTGGTGGTCGACATCCAAATCAACAACCACGGTCAACAAGAAAAGCGATCAGTGCACGTGCACGCGGTGGTCGCGTTCTGTGACTGATATCGTGACGCATCAGCCCCTGTTGTCACCGTTGACTCATGTCTGTGGACGACGACGAGATCATCGTACTCAGCCACACCATACCATCCCACAAACGCAAGGCGTTCGAGCAGGATAGGAACAAGAGGAAGAAAACGAAAATCATTAATCTCACCTTCGACTCGGAGTCAGACGACAACAACGACCACGGCTTCGACTGCATCGTATCCAAGTCTTCCAATCTGGAGACGGATGCATCCGCATCGCGGCATCGGGAAAGCGAACTGAGACAAGAAACTTGGAGAGCTGTCAAGGGTGGTCCCAGCAAACTTGTCAATGAACCCAGGAATTTGAGGCAAACCTCCTCCACTCCGGCCATCTCTGCGACCCTCATTAAATCTGTGGAGAAACGGCGTGAGGGAATTGTGTTCCGCATCTCTGTCGACGTGGAAACGAAGCTGCTTGAAGACGGAACTCCTGCGCATGATGACGACCTCGCGCGATTTCAGCCTTGGAAAGACAGGCTGGCGGCATCCGGTATCAAAGTGAAAAAATGCACGTTCCCACTTGCTTACAGCGCTCTTTGCTTACCTCCGAGTCAAGTTCACTGGATCGTCAACTACGAGCTGGAGAAACGGTTCGAGGCCGCGCGCGAAATTCTCAGACGGAACATGAAGGGAGAAGAACCCAAGGAACTTCACATGTTCCATGGCACCGCACCCAAAAACATCGAGAGGTGCCGCTGCTCTATTCTGTCCTCGTGCCTCCGTAGTCTGACCGCATCCGAGCATTCTTAATGGTGGCTTCAAGATTGGCGGGGTAGGCGGTCATGCGCACGTCAATGGTCACTGTGAGGGCTACGGTGTCTATCTGGCGCAAGACTTCAACCTATCCCTGGGCCATGCGGCGGGGGCAACGCGAATCTTTGCCTGCAGAGGTATCATTTTGCTACCTACAACTAAATGAACGTGATTTTTCTTCTTTCATAGTCCTGCCAGGGCGTTCAACCGACAGCATAAAGTACTCGAACACCATACCGCGAAGAGCCGTGTGTAGCGGAAAATACGAGTCGTATTCCGGGACGCCCGGCATGCTTGTCGTGAGACATACGGCCCTTGTTCTTCCGTGTTACGTGGGCACTGCATCTCTGTCGCGTCCTCCCAGGCTCACTCAACGACGAATAGATGATTGAATATGAACCTTACAATGGCGGGCTCTATCCCTATGGATTTCTGCTACCTCCGTTAATGGGAGGTGTTTATGGAATCGGAGCCGCTGCTGTTGGTGCGCCTGGCCCGGGCTTAAGAGGCTGGGCTTGCGCTCCGCCCCTTCATTATTAGAGTATCCGTCATATTTTACTTGAGTACTCGCAATCTATGAAGTTGGGCACGTGATCGTGCTTCCTCTCACCGTCATGTTTCGGACGCGTTCGCAGGCCGCGCCAGCCAGAAACAATGTGTTGCGGCCCATCATCGTGCACGACTTCGCTCTCAAAAACTCTCCTCTGGTGTCGCCAGAGGAGACGCTTCGACTTGGCCGGTTGACAATTGAAAACGATGCGGTTTGGCGAACTTTGGATGCCTCGCGCTCTGTTCTCCGCGACTTACCTCTGGGTATGGTAGCCCAAAACTTACAAGCAGCATATCGCTCATATTGCAGTCAGCTTTGAACTGAACGCCGCACCCCCAAAGGTCAGGAGGGAGCGTCCTCTTATGCCCCCGGACTGGGATACGGTCCCCTCCGACGAGGAAATCTTCTTCACAGATGACCTGGAGGCATTCCAGACCACCGATCTCGACTGTCTATTCATGCTACCGAAACGGACGGCAACGATGGCAGGTGTGGAGGGCGAGGAATCAGTGTCCAAACGCGCCAAACTCATCGAAGGCTCCCTCCGAGATCTTATAACGCCGGTTTGTGTCCAAAATATGCTTTCTGTCAACTTATTCTCCCCAGCCACATATTCTATCGTCCCCGCCGGATGCACCTGCCCAAAAATACCGTGGGCCTGTGTATGCCAAAGAAGTCCCTATCCCTATTCCGCCAAATGCCCACCCACTTCCAACGCCGTCGCCTTACGCGCGCCGAATTTGGGCAATCCCCTTGCGTGGCCGCCTTCCTTGGCGCTACGCAACAACCGCATCTATTCTTGTTGACTCAGCAGAGCTTCCAAAACCCCCAGACCCGGGCACAAACGAGATTTTATGGTCAGGCCGGGCGATCAAAGCGTTTTGGGCTTTCCTCCTCGACATTCGGGCGAACAGGGTACTAGGTCCAATTGGGCTTTCATTCAACGTCTCACTTGTCCCCACCGTGAATTCCCAATTCGGCGGATCGTACATGGGATTTGGACAGGCACAGGCCATCAGCGAGGAGCCAGCGGTGCCCTCTACCGCCTCTTCTGTGGCATTTGAGTATATGATTCCGCTTCACCAGATCGACCATATCAAGGTGTACCACGACGCAATGAACTCGATGGAGCTCCGCAATGTGTTGTATGCTTGGTCCTACGTGGCGGAGAGCGGGACGAAAATGCGTCTTTTGAAGGGAGCGCGCTTCGTGTTATTGGATGAACGTTCTCAAGGTATATTAGTATTGTAACTGTTCCTACAATTTGAACCCGTTCACTCCCCTCGGATGGCCATTACTTTCATCCAAATACTCGTTTCTGGCCAACTCAACCATTTGACTGCTACCAGTCATGATAGTCCGACCCACTACTACAACAAGTGTACAAGAAAACAAGAATCCAGGATCCATATAACAAAAGGAGTCACCATGTCTCGTCTGTCCACCTCCCTACCGTGCTCGTCTTGAGCGAAACGATGCTGTCCGAGGTCAGGCTATACGGATGCCCGTCCTCTGTCTCTGCATCCTGCGAATGCGACTCAAACCGATCCACAATAATTTCACCCTCCGTGGCGCCTCTTCGCCAGGGCACTCGACTGAGCTCCATGTTGTTAAGCAACCACGCGGAGTCGGAGCTGATTTTGGACGCGAGAGAATGGATGCTGAGCATCACGCGTGAGGCCGCGATGGAGGTCATCGCAACAGGGAAACTAGGTGAGTCAGAGATATGTGGGACAAAATGATGGCCAGACGAACTTGGAGAATATCGCAGGGATGTTGATCTGCATTGTCAGCCGAGGGATACTTGTGGAAGAGGCGCTCACCTTGGGATGATTGTCGAGGAAAGAGCCGATGCTCGTGAACAATACTGAGACTATATCTTTGTTAAAGAAGCTCAAGGATGAGAGATACGAGAAGAGACGCACTGAACACTACAAAGTAGAAGAACCCGCCACTGACTATGGTCAGTACAGTTCCAAAGCAAAAATTTGTATGGACCTACTCGCGCACAAGCCGCTTCAACATCGGCGCCTCCTTTAATAACCGACGATTCCTTGATGCCCGATACGCGGTCATGCAATAAAGCACAGTCTGTGAGGTATCAGCTCTAAGTGTAGCAAAAACTAGTCGGCATACATGAAGCACCAACGAGGGCAAATATAAACGCCAGAATCTTGGAGGACGGGTGGCATGGCAGCCCGTGATGCCGAACTGAGTTAACGAGGGGAGAACGTGGATTTCGAGTCCTGCTAAGATGGCGAAGTAGATGGAAACAACGTTGGAGACTATGTAGGAGATTGCCATCATCAAGCGCATGGTGCGACTGTGTCCAAAGAGGTACCATATTCGGACGACGAGCATCGCTAATGTCAATATTGAACAAATGCGTTTAAAGGAGGAATACCACACAAATACCTTGGACGACGCTCAGTGCTAGAATGCAGCCTACGAATAACAACTGGATGGCGCGTTGGCAGCTACTCCCGTTACGGTTAGATTCGGGACTGGCCGTGATGAAAGGGACCCACAACTAAACGAAATTGAGTCAAACATATCATACAACTATGACTCGAACGCACATCGATGCTGGGGTTTGGGAGAGAGAAGCCTGTTCAAGGTATTAGAGATTGCTTGTTTCGACAGCGCAACGACTTTCAAAGGAGGGCGAGGATATTGATTGTGGGATTGAGGTAGCGGTTCTGTGGTCAGTCAATACTGAGCACCCGATGAGCAGAAAGGCGCAGACTATGAGGAATAAAATTCGGGAGATTTCCCAAGAACCCGTCCAAAAGTATTTTATCTGTCGCGTTTGAGCAGTCGAATTCGTAGGGCAGTGATTCACGCACTTCCTCGTCCAGCGTTATCGCCCACTGTTGGTGCATATTCTAGCTGGCAAAAACTTTGATCAAGGTTCAAGACACAGACCTCGTACACTGAGTAAGGCAAAGGTGAGCGATGGGTATTAAAGCGATACAAAACTTTAACACACCTGAAAGGCTAAACAAAGCAATAACGATCATACGCGCATTCTGCGCTCCAATGAGGGACCCAGCCTCGTCAATGGCCATCCTGAACCGTCTATGGTCGAGGAAGACAAGGATGACTTCGGGGACTACTAGACGGGCATTGAACGAGAAGCGCGATGGTGAGAACCTTTTCCGCTGTCGACTTTAAAGAGCTATGCCCACAGTACGTCACAAGGAACGATGAGCCGATTGGCAGATGGCCTATGCTCGAACAGGAAACGAAACTGGTGGCTTGAGAATAACTGCCGGTCCGCTCCCAGGGCAGGATGGAAGGTGCGCATAGTGGGCAACAGGACTGATACAACACAAGCCTCTCCATTGTGTACAGCCGGCAACCCGAGTGTTGGACAGATGTGTGGCACAGCAAGAAGGTTGGTGTGGTGGCTTTCCAAATTGGACGTCCCGGTCAAGATGGTCACGTTTTCCTACGTTTTCCCGACCGTCATGACCCTGCATCGCTCCGACCACTTCCTCGCCAATGTTGTCCTCACTCTTTTCAGTGGCCCTATCCTCTTGACGAAATTCCTCGTTGGCTTCCTCGAAAGTACCCAGAATGCCTTCATCACCGTCCCTCAACTCATCCTTCGCGTATTGCACACTACCGAAAGCGCTCTCGACTCGGCTCCCCAGCTCATTTTTCAAAGCGTACCGCTCGCCATTATGTGCTCCATCGCCATGTATACGTTCCTCTTCGTGTTCTTTGGCTGCTTGGGGCTCGTTTCGTTTATGGTTGGCCTGCAAGACACTAGTTGGGCGGAACAAGCAAGCAGCATTATGCATGGCAGCGAAGACTCGCTGTTGCTTTTGATGATGTCGCTATTGCTCCAAGCGTCCATGTACTTCACTGAACACCGCAAAATCCATGACCCATCAGTCGACCTCCTCGACCAACGAAGTACTGTGGGTCAACACGTGCTCCTAGCGACCCTGCCACATATAACATTCTTCCAGATCGTAAAAAAGACCGAATCAATCAAGCGTGCTGCGACTCGGACAACCCAACAGCTTTCAGAAATATCGCAAAGTCTCAACTGCCTCATCTGCACCGACCGTCTTACCGAGCCCTACACCCTTGTTCCATGCGGCCACACGTTCGACCGCGACTGTCTCTCTGGCTGGTTCCGCTCTGCCCATCTTAGCGCCTATGACGAAGCTCTCCTCGATGCCCTTCGCCTTGTCAATAACGCCAATAACCGCGCCAACCGTGGCTTCGTGCTTGGTCGTCAAAAGTTCTGTCCCCTTTGCAAAGTTGAGATTAAAGTGTGCCCTGCACCAGCAAGAGCGTTGCTGCCGCTTGGCGGGATGGAGCTACCTGACGGCGAAGACTTCAGCAACGTCCAGCAGTGGCGTGATTTGTTTGTGGTGATTCCGATGAAGAAGAGGGCGGGTGGGACGTCTCAAGTGCCTGCCAATCGCACGTGAAGCTTGGAAATCTATCTTCGTCGTATCTGACATCTTGCATCTGAATCCCTCATCTTTCAACCGAAAATATATCTTGTGTTTCTTCGTCCAAAACCGCCGTAAACAGAAAATTTCAATCTGAGTCGCTCTTTTTTCGATCCGCAACTTGTTACGTGTGATTGTCAAGTTCTTCCCAATCGGCTTGTCTCATGTACTCCATGTCATGCTCCTTGGTCCCAACCTTCATGTCGAAGCGACTTTCATCTCTTCTTCCCATCCTATCTACTGTCTGAATCATGACTCCGGTCACCGTTCACGGCCCTTAACCCCCCTGTAAAAAGATTTGAGGACTTAAAATCGTGCTTGCCACTCATTTCTAATGCCAGACTTGACCTCCAACAACGACCCCACCCGCCCCAATGCGTGTACCTCAATTCTCATATACGTCCTCCAACTCTGAGGCTGGCCGAACATTGGTCTCGGCTGAGCACCCCATCAGCATCCTCCCCGGTTTTCGTTTGGTATCCGAGTATCTAGAGGGAGGGCGTCGACGAGCGTTGGGCCTTGGTCGTTCCTCTATACGGCTGCACCTGCAGTTCGTGTGGTCAGTGGAGCCCGGGTAGCCTTTACGGTTCAACTTTCGCTCGTGCGGCTGCACGCAAAATTCGCTCCCAAGAAAGATGTCATCGTGTCCGTTTTTGCTCTCCGAGCAAGGGCCGACATGCCTGGCGATGACTCCATTGAATCGGTGCTGTCTCATAACGATGAACGGGGTATGGTTGTGTTGGTGGTCAGTGCTTCAGTTCGTATCCATCGCTATTTTGTCTAGTTGTAGTTTTCAATCAAACGATTGTGTCTTGTCTCTCAATTGTCTCTGTTCGCTTTCGAGAAAGTTACAACTTTTGTTTGTTCATATTCGTACAACATAAGGCTCATATAGTATAAGTATGCTAATGTAAATGCAAGAAGTCCAAGGATGCAAAGCAATAAAAATATCATGAACTGGCTGTCTGCATAGCGTCAAGCACGCGTGTCCAGGCCTCCTCGACAACCTCGAATACGCGGTCATCGACAACTCCCAGCAGGCAAGCATTCGCCCACAGTCCCTTGATTTTGTGCGCGTGGGCAGCAAGACGAAGGAAGTCGCCCTCTGCTTCGAGAGGTGTCTTCAGCGCAGATCGCAGGAATGACGGTTGTTGGGTGTAGAGGTATCCGTGCAGAGCAGAGAAAGTCTCGGGAGATGGAATACGCATCGGGACAATGGGGACAGAAATCGTGGAGTCGGTGGTTGTCGGTTGGGAAGAGGGAAGTACGGGGAAAGTGGCGCAATGGGCAGCAAACACGATATCGTGGACCGGGAAAAGCGAAACTGCTTGTGTGTTGCTGCTGGACGAGGCAGTGCCGTGGATGGCCAGCATGTGGGTTGGAGGATAGGCCGAAACGATATCGTTCGCCAGAATTTGGGCCGCCTTCGCAAGGCGGGTCGAGTTCAAAGTGCATTTGACTGCAGCAAGGGAAGCTCGCATACTAGTCGATAGTCAGTTATCGGGAAATACTTCGAAGGCACGGAACACACCTGGGAAGAGACCCAAGTAGCTTTTCGCGGACGTATTCAGGCGGTACGTGCGCCAGATGGTTATGCGAGGAAGTCAAGTCGACTTCACCGAGCACTGGTCGCGGGAGAGTGCGCGGGAGACGAAGCTTGGAGGGTAATGGGGTAGCACCGTTTCCATCGGTCTTTGTGGCTAATGGTATCCGTCGAAGCTTTTGGCCGGTGCAAAGTCGGGTGCATTCCGTTTTCTTGGAAGGTATGGCACGGCGGCGGCGGGAGGCAGCAGAGCGGGAGGTAGTGATTTGGTTGGCGGTCTGCATCTCGAAGATTGGCGGGGCGGGAAGTTGGAGGGAAGACGCCAATGTTGGCTGCTTTTATGCAAGAGCTCATTGCCATCAGCGATTGCTTGAAATTGCCTGGATTGGAAGGTGCGCGTTGACAGCTGCCAAATACTTTCCTTACAAGTCAATTTTACTTTACGGAAGCCACGATTGAAGTCGAGGAACAATGGAGTTGCATTCAACCAATCCTCAATAATGCAGCGACTTTTGCCTAATGAGACATGACACTCCGAAATAGCGCTAGCGCTATATGTCTTCATTCGGGAACCTGAATAAGCTCAGCGATGAATCGTTGACTCAACTATTTCTCTTGAACATCACAGGAACGTCAGACACTTTTTCTTGCGCCGAGTCGGAGATCCGAATGAATTTTGGGAAGTCAGCTGAGTTTCGATATACATAGCGTGCGGTAGTATTACAGTAAAATGCTCGTTCGTGGGGTCCATAAGAAAAGTCCGGTCATTAGATAACATGGCAAAGAGAACAGCGAGAATGCAGGGAGGAGCGGAAAATTATAGCTGGCGCCACACGTGAGTACTCGAAAAAAAACAAGAACACAACACCACTCACGTAGTGCCAGAAGAGCAGCGAATATCAGTATCGCAATTACATAGACGATACCATATTTGATCATCTGCAAAGACATTTGAGACTTGAGTAGCACACGAGCAAGTGACGACATACAATCCTCCGACGTTGTTTCTTCTGCTTGATCGGGAACACACCCGGTCGTATTTGCTGCGAAGGTTGCAGCCAGACTGTAAACGTTTAGGCTTGGAGACATCAAGTTCCTCTGAAGACACTCACACAAACATGTCGCGTGTATCCGGTCAAAATAGGGAATCAACATCGGAAGCGTCAGCATGAACATGAGAATATGACCCAGGAACAGGTCTGAGCTCCAGAGAGACAACTCGATGATTTTCACCAGCAACTCCCGTGCTGGCTGCGACATAACATGCGCGCCAAGCCCTCGACCGTACCATTTGCCGGTCCACCACGCCCGATTTGTTTCGTCATGCTTGAATTCTCTCGTGAGGATGACAGAGACAACCACTTTTTGGATTGCGCGCTGGATAGCAATGACAGTGACGAGTCCAAGGGCTGCATGCGACACGTCCCAAAGTTCCAAAAACCACTGGGAAAAAGAAATAAGACACAGGCACTGAGTGCAGAAAGTGAGCTTACCAGAAACTCGAAGAACGCCAGCATTCCGATAGCCGCCAGAGCATGCGCAATGAACGCCATGATCGACCCAAACATCGGATACTTGGTGTCGAGCATGGGCCCAAGGAAGAGGGAGATAAAGAAGCAGACGATAAGGACTGCCGCATTCCAAACGATAGGACCCAACGAGACAACGGCTATCCGGATAAGCGGGCTGGCGGGATACTGCCCACTCGCGTCCGGAAAGGCCTTCACGAACATATAGGCGATGATCATGATAACTGCCATCACGATAGGGAATATAATCTCCGAGAACAAAACCGCTCTCCAACTGGCACGAGGGACATCACCAGACAGTTTTTCGGAGGGATGACCAAGTTTCTTCTTCTTGTAGCCAGTAATCGTGGTCCGTGAAAGACGACAGTAGCCAATCCACGAATTAGCATGCGACCTCGAATTGCCGCGGGACATCCAACGAAGGAATTCTCTGTAAAACACATCAGGGAGCATAAAAAATAAACAAAAGCCAACATGCCTATAATCAACGAGGAAGTCGGAGATGACAAATTGGTGGGGGTTGAACATGAACGGGGCGAGACATAGCGCGGTGATTGATACCCAGAAGTAAATGAGGTACGGCGTCCAGAACGACAAGGTCACGTAGAGCAACATAAGCAGTGTTCGTATGCCCAAATAGATGCTGGGCCCCGCAAACCGTGAGAACAGCGTGCTGAAGCTGATTCGTGCTGTCGCAAAACCGCGGCCAGTAGCGATATAACGAGCACCACCAAAGGTCAAGTTGCTCAATATTGAGTGGGTGTATATCTGGGTCGAGAAAATTTCGAAAAACGGTGAAAATGAACCGAATTGTTTTCCCAGTCGAAGTACAGCTTTCCAGGTGCCCCGCTCCGTAAGTTCTTGGGGCAAGTGAGTAAAAAATGAATATGGTAGCAAAAGGTCTCACCTTGCATGAACAACGGTAGGAAAGCGATTAGGAAGACGAGCAGTAAACTGAAAATGCATCGATGAATCCATTCGAAGACTGGGGTGAGATTGTAGCATCCGTCCATGCCACGAATCAGTTGGCCACTCGATGTATACTCACAGATCGTGACAGACGAGTTTAAAGTGCCAAGGAACAGCACTGTTCAGAATGAGCGAAGCATTCGAGAATAAGAGGAACAGCACTCACTCGTCAAGATGAAAACTTGCACAGACAGGATTACCAGCATATTGTTGATGTGGAAGCCCGGATGACCGTAGTAAAATGTGAGGAACCGGTCGATAGGGAGCTGCGTGCCGAGGTAATAGTACTCTCGACTCAACATCTGCTCTCCCATTCCGGTACCAATCTTGGTTGAGAAGTTGAGGATGGTCCCAAACCCGAGGTCACGCCCCTTGCCACATTGGTAGTACTCAGTGTGCTTGATTCTTGCACCACGACCGAAAGCATTCATGCCGGCGTAGATATCTTCGTTAAGATGCAAGCCTTTTTGAGCCTTGGAGACGCCGCCACGAGTGTTCATATACAAAGCATTGAGAAAATCTGGATGGCCGTAGTGCAGCTTTCCGCCAATCCAAGCCATTGATCGCGCCGAAAGTGTACCAAATGTTTGTTCCTTGCCCGCTGCAAGATCGCCAAGAATACCGATATTCTCAGAGAAGATATATTCACGTGCACCAACAATGGCGACAGGTGTACGATTGAACTCCTTCGCGTTCCAGTTGGCGTATGGGCTCTGTTCCGAAACCGAATACTCCTCGAATTCGCCCAGGACATTCCGAATTTTGAGGCATTCTTCGAGATAGTTGTCTTGATTCGCGTCGATGAGCTGCAGATACTCGCCACGATAGAAAATGATTGCGTGGTTCTGGTTATCCGATTTGCCGTCCCCAAGGATAGGATTGCCTGGGAGCTCGATACGGAATTTGGGCTTCCTCTTGCCAGTTGCGGGTAGAAACTCGCTATGTCCATCAATCAATGCGGAAAATATTCTAGCTTCTCCGCCCTCCTTCGCCGCAGGCTCCTCATCCAAATAGGCTATTTGAAGATCTGGATAGGCTCGCAGGAGGAATTCGGCGTTTTCGTGCTCTTCTTTGTTGAATTTGCTATATCTCTGCATCGACACGACAAACTTGAACTTGCGGCGCGCCATGCTTTCCAACTCGCGTTCGAGACGATCTGTGTTTCCGCCAAACAGCTGTACGACTTCTGGATTTTCCACTCGATAAAGCAACTTGATGGCTTTCGCGTAGTTCATCATTCCAGATACCGTTCGGTACAGGGTCTGGGCACGGAGAGACGCCCAAATGCGTGTCCGAAGGGTGAATTCCGGCGCAGCGCTCTTGAAACCAAGAAAGTTGAAGGCCAAATCATCTTGTTTCGCCTTTTCGTTGTCTCCCAGCGGGTTCTGGCCATTAAACATCTCTGTTTCTTCTGCTAATATTTTGGTATCCTTGACGAAATTTTCCCATTCAAGCGGGTGCAACTGCTTGAGGTACTCGAGCAGGGTTACGCGCGTCTGTTGGTCTTCCTCACGAATAATTTCTCGAAGTGCTAGAAGAATCTTCAAACGAGAATGTTAATCAAGAAACATGAGCTACCGACAAACGTACCTTCTCGCTATAATGAGGCGTCAATACCGTAAAAGTCGGCATAGCATCAACAGGTAGGGGTTGTGGTATGTCAGTCGTCAGCGACTGGGCAAAGAACGAGATTCGTCGTTCCGCTTCACTACCAGGCGGGAAGAAAGAACCATCTCCGTGGGAGATGAAGAATGGTGGGGCGCGTAAGCTGCGCTTTCCTGGATCGCCCGTGTCGACTTGAGAGTACAAAAGCTTCTGCACGTGCTCAATGGAAAGCAGATGCTCGCGGTACATGGATATAATGATGGCATTCCAGATTTGCGAGACGAGGACCTTGGGGTGGTATTTGATTTCCATGTCGTTGGTGGCGAGCACTTTCGAATAGATCCGTTTGGGTAGTCGCGTATACATTTCCGTCCATGGTGTCCATATCGACAAGCCCAACGAGAATGCCCGGATGATGCTGAAGATGGTGTTCCAGATGACATACCAAAGGAAAGTGTCGAGGAAAAAGAGGACAAGGTCCATGACATACATCAACGTCAAAGTGAATGCGACATGGTTGCGACACAGAGCATTGCCAAAGAATTTGTCGCTGCAATTCTGGATCTTCATTCCGACCATGACCCTAATGGGGTCCCGGATCGAGAGGGTAAGGAAGAAGTATGATTCAGTGAGCTTGCAGCCGAAAACAAGCATCCAGAGTAAGATCGAGGAGGCACGGGCCTTCTTGCTTAATGCTGGATAAGACGCAGTAAAAGTCTGACTGGCAAGATATTTTCGCGACTTTCCCGCGACTCGATCGCCAAACATCCGTCCAGAGGGCAAGATTGCGAAAAGCAGTGTTGCTGCGACTGAGATGAAGAACTGTGCAATGCCGAGGATGAGGGCAAGTTGACCCGCATTTCCCTGCTGTTCTGCGATGGCGACATAAAATGTAGGACCGCAGGTGAGAGCAAGGGTGACAAAAAGGAACATAAGTCGGCGCGTCAAATGGGAAGTGTTGTTCCAAGTTGGGGGGATGTACCAGAATTCAGCGATAGTAGCCAGAATCATGATGAGCGTGGCAACAGCGCCACCTAAGGCTACAGCACTCCACGTCATCGCACGAGATGTAACATGGCGGAAAGCATAGACAGTGGGTGAGTTGAAGGAGGTGTAGAACCAGTACATCGCGACATGGATGACCCATATCCGGTTGAAATTCACCAATAGGTGGCCAAACGATCGCTTTTCGTAATATGTCTTGAAAAAGACGCGATTCCAGTCGACGCGCTCAAACGCAAGAAATCGTTGTTGAGGAGGAATCGCTACGAGTTTCCGCTGTACTGGAATTCAATAAAGGGAGATGAATAATGAATGCATGCGCACCGTATCATTCAAAACAATACGGGCAATACCTTCTGGATACCAGAATAGCTGATTGACGTCGTCATAACCAATGATGTCCTCGTGATCCCGCTCTCGTCGGACATACTTGCCTTCAGAAAGTTCGTAACCCTGGTCTCGGATGAAGCGATACAATGGGCGGACCACAGTGTGGAGATAGTGGCCTTCAGGAAGGGGGTCGACTTTACTTTGGCACTCGGGCGAGCGATAGTAATCATCGGCACATTTGAAGATGAAGCAGAGGGCTTCAGGACAAAATCGAATTTGTGCGCCTTCGCCCCAGCAAAGTAAATATAATGCCACTTGACGGAGCCGGTCGTATTGAGTCATATTGTGCATTGCCTGTCTCCAATGTTCCATTGCTTTGAGCAAGGATTTCTCATGCTGCGCTCGTCGATTTGGTCGTCGTTTCGACTGCAGACGGTCCAGTCCAGGATTCTGAACTTTCCCCACCGCATCATCGAGGTCCAGCTGCGCAGCGAAGTACCATTTGCGATAATTGGCTTGATGGCCACCGATGTAGTCAGCGTGAACGGTGATCAGAGCCTGGTTTGGCGACATGCGCGAGGCCCGGCTGTCAAGCAGTTGCAATAGAAAGTCCGACTAAGATAGGTCAGCGTGTTTGCCAAAGAAACCACTCATCACACACCATATTGCGTTCATTATCTCGTTGGAAGCCAAACTTCTGAGCGAGGTCAAGAAACACGTCTTCAATCTCTTCCTTCGACAGTGGGATATCTCGTTCTGTAGACCAGGCGGGGTATGCTTCAGGAACTTGGCCAGCGGCAGTCGGGTATTCGGCATAAGTGGAAGTGGGTGCCGGCCCGGAACCTTCGGAGTCGCTGTCTTGGGGTGCTGTTACCACGAGGTCAGCAGAGAAAAATGAGAAAATAAGAGCCACTTGGGACGAACGATATGGGTCATAATTTCCGTCGTTATTGTAAAAGCCTGGGCCATGGTCCTGGTAGCTGCCGGGACTATTGGAGCCGGAAGGGTATGTGTCTGCGTCATCCATATCATGGTTGGATCGTGGGGGCGGGTCGTAGCGACGCCCGTGGTAGGGGTCGCGGAAGGACATTACTCAGTACAAGGGATTGGTCGTAAATGGGTGGGAATGGGTGATGACTTCAAGAGCGTAAATGGTAGTGGTATATCCCTAAACGTCCTGTCATTAGCCTTGCTTAGAGTTGGGGATCGCTGATACTGACAAGTCCCTTTTGAGGTGAAGGTCTTCGCTGAGGCCGTCCAAAGACGTCGTCGTCGAAGGAGTGAGAGCGCGAAGCAACACCACGTGACGTGATCTCGGCGCGATCATGCAGCCTGCGTCATTACAGTGCGTCATGTCGTACTCTAAATTAGAACTCAGGAAGCAAGGAGTGTATATCCTTCTCCCTAGGGTCCAGCTTTGGCGGAGGACCGTAAATAAGGACACGAGAAGCTTCCATTTGGTGTATCGAGTTACAGCGTACGGTGGCACGTTTAATCAGAGGCTTTCAAGTCTCAACCAGCATAGTGACTTCAACAATACTTGTGAGCGCCAAGCCCTGAGGTACCCACGCGCTTCCTCCCAGTACCCGTGGCACCGTTTCTTCTCGGCGAAAGAATGAGACGATAAAAAGACAAGCTTCAGATGGTTTCCTGTGGGTTTTGTGGGAAAGATGAGACTGATGTGATATGTGACGAATCATGATGACCTGTTTTCTCCTGTTTTCCCTCTCCGTCCATGCCGAACTCGATCCTTCGTTTACTTACTTTTCCTTGTGGCCACCCACTACCCATTCTCCATCTCCGAAGCCGCACAATGGCTCGTGGCTGAGAATTGGTGACTTGAAAAAAAACCATTCCGATTAATACTTACAGTAACCGTTTCCAAGTGTGATTTTTCATTGACACGAGAGTACTCTCAGTCTAGATCTTCGGGTTCACGCAAGAAGGCACATTACCAGGCCAATCCACCGATACCAGAGAACGATAGCCTATATGCTCAAGACAAAAACCAACGCACGCACACACAGATCGGCGCTAGCCGCGGGCCGGGGCAATCTATTTGTCCCGCGATGACGAAGAAATTACCATATAAGGTAATTCTTAGATGCCAAAGCATCTGACCAAATAAGGCAAATATGCCCTCCAAACCAATCGACGCGGGATTGCTTTTCCAGACGCGTCGACCATATGTGGCAGTTTGGTTGAAACCAACTCTTGTTCTCTCCAGTCATGGTCTCTGGTGGCTTAGGCTCTCGCCGCGTCAGCAACCTCCAAAACGCCCGTCCCTCCCCATACTATGGTGGTGCTGGAGGCTTGATGGGGCCCTCCAAAACTTTCGCATCCCGCATTCGGTCCAGTTTCCATCAGCAATCAGGCCATAAACGATCTCGGACAGCTCATACTGCGAAACGGCTCGCGAAGCACAAAGCAGCGGGGAAGACCGGAACAAGCAAGGCAGGCCAGGCGAAACCGAACTTCGAGTTCAATGTCACCTCCGTAGGCGCGCCTCCAGAAATGGCCGACATCGAAATGGGCGACGCCACCACATCGGAACCAGCAATGTCGCGAAGTACAAAACGATATCGCTTTCCCCGAGAGCTACGGCGCCCACCTGTGAAGGAGATCCCCAAGGAAACGCTGTTGAAGATTGACCCAGAGTTGCATGATGTCGATGTTGAGTATGTTCGTGACTGTGTGGAGGATATGGGTGTTGGGTGAGGTTTTTCCACGTTTCCTGTTGCTCTAGTGCACTCATCTTGCTTCGATTAGGTTGCTCAGAACAGCGTTAAATATCAAGCTTGATACACCCAAAGATGCTCTTCCGCCATCCATCACCGTCAAGCTCAACCTCGATCCCACAACGGCACAATATCCTCCGCCAACACATATGCTCGCCATCCATACCAACACCCAGACTGCCGCTCCTCGACGAATAACCCTTGTGCCATGTCACAGTATGGTTCTCGCGCTTCATTGCGCCAACCTCCCGCCGTTCGCCGAACTTGGCTCGATCCCGCTATACTTCCCGGGTGATGACTCCTCAGTCACATTGCCCGTCCAGCCTCTCCGTGTACCCCACCCCCCTACTTTCGCTCCTCTGACATCGTTCTTATACACACAACGGACGGAACCTCTGCTGAAATCGCTGTTCCCCAGCCCTCCACCATCCGAGCTTCAAGTTGTGACCAGCGACAGCAGCCGTCAATTCGCGAGCCATCTCGCACAGACCTATACCCCTCAGGCTTTGCTGACCCACGCTCTACGCGTCCATGGGCTCTGGCAAAACACCGTGGCCCTTGGAGTCCACACCGACGAGCTCTGGGACGCAATCGACCTCGCATGGGAGATCCTTTTGACCGCCATCGGTTTCGCGACCGGCACAGAGATCGATTTGCTGACGCCTCCAACGCCCGACGAACCCACTTCACTAACGTCCTCACCTGTACCTGCACCGACCCTTACTACGCCTGCGATCGAGACTGCTGACCCATAATTCTCTATGCGCTATGTTTATGCTCTATGCCCCATATACTTATCTCTTAGTAGTAGCAGTCAGACACCGCAATGTACAACAGACACTTCTCAACCAAACAGACATCAGATTCACAAACATTACTCGACCACTAAACAGAACAGTACAGTACGATGGTATGTAGACGAAGCGACAATTTACAGTGGGGGGGACAACACGTAAGATAGCAAATTTCGTGCGCAAGACAATCGTTCGTGGGTGTGGCAAGCGGCGGCGTAGGTAGAGTCATTTGAACTTGTTTCATGATAAAAAAAAAAGAGGGACAGTTTACCACCTGCGGATTCTGAGCTTTCGCGCGTCGGCGACGACTTTGAGGGTGATGGGGACGAGTTCCGTGAGATGTGCATTGCGGGCAGCCAACGCAAGCGTGTTCCTCCACAGACCCTGGTTCATCTCCCAGTAAAAGTCGAACTGGGTGGTAGGAAGTCGGCTGACAACACCAGACATGGCTGCCGCATTGGGAAACTCCGCAATGGCCTCCGCAGGGAGGAGATGGGCCGCCAGCATGTTGCGGTCCGTCTCAAGGCCAAGGCCAAAGAGTAGGAGCAGTGCTAGGGACGGGGCATGAGGAACAACGACTGGCAAGACGGGAACCGTGGCAGTAAACGCTTCAGTGGCAGGGTTGAAGGTAGGGGAGGGCGGGGGAGTGTCGGGAGGTAGCTGAGGTATGAATGTCGTGTTGTCGAACACTTCGTGGAACAAATTCGCGTCCACCGGAATGAGCAATGTGGGTGTGCGGCGATCATTTGGGGACGGGACAACAGCAAGAAGATGAGTCGGCAATCGGGAGACAGGCGCGACTAGCGGGATCGTATGCGTGGGGGGAGATGGGTACGCCCGGAGGGAGGAAAGCTTTGCCCATCGAGAAATGACGGCAGAGGGCACTGGAAAAAAAAATCAACTCAGAGAACATTGCCGATATGAACAAAGACGGACGCGAGTGGATCTGTAGCTGAGAACGTCTGGTGTGGCATTGTAAAAAACGAAAGTGGTCGTGTCGAGGTCGGTGGTACAAGTTGGGCGTGTAAAGAGTGGAGCTGGAGCTTTCGATTGAGAATTAAAGCAATAAAGCAAAGAATAGCGGACGGGTGTTACACAGAGAGCGTCGAAGGAGCGTTCAGCAGGCAGATGACATGGTGGAGGAGAAGAAAGGGCAACTCGGCCCTTCGGTTGTGTAAAAGGACGTGTTTGAAGGAGTTCATCCGGGCTGAAATTGGAGTGATTACATACCCTGCTATTCCCATGTCTGTCCGATTAGCGAGCTTGTCCCCGACTAGTCATTAGGCTTTATCTCAATGGTCAGAAACCGAGACAAAATTGCTTCCGTCGGTTGACCAACTGCTTCCATGGGCTTGAACCCAACCGCTCATTCCCTTGGCTTCCAGATTGTCGAAGCACACCCAACCAAAATAGATGCAATTCTCATCTGTCGATCACTGACAGCTTGTGGATAAATGTTGGTTTGCCGGGAAATGAAAGCCCGTTCGACCAGTTAACAGTCTCGTCAAGCAGTGTTGACCATCTTCCCTGATTAACCGCAACCAAGGTCACAAAACAAATACAATTTCAGTAGAGTAAACAACAGTCCGTTGAAAATCACAAGGCTACATTCAATGTGGACCCGGATCAGGATTCTGTGTCGACGCAAGCATACTATCATCCGTCAGCACAGATCGGCCTCAGCCCAAAGGCACAACTCACTATGCGATCGCAGCCTGATCAACAGGCGGACCCGCGCCGTTACCCACCATAACTTGCTGCGCAACCGATGGAACACCATCAGCGACGACCATAACCCACGCCGGGCCAGGAGAGTAGACTGATAATCAAGATAAGTGGCGTCCAAGCCGATATAGCGTCCAATGAACGCACCGAATGCACTCGGGGGGCCAGTCACAACAAGGGTGTTTCCCTGGCGTACACTAACAAGTTTCACCAGTTTCTGATCCATGTGGACTGAGTGGGTCACAAATCTACACCGCATGAGAAAACGGCGACCCAGTAGCATCCAAGAACGCTTACCCGTAGTCCATGATGATAGCGTAGACATTCTGCGCGCCGGCTGGGAGGGTCACGCTCAACGTGAAAGTCGTATTGTAACCGATACTAGTAGCCAGGCCACTGAAAGTGGGCCGTGGCTTTGTCATATACGACTGTGATCAAGACGTCAGTATCAATCACAGAGAAAACAGGGTAAACGCACAGGATACATATACTCAACTCTGAGCTCTGATGCATACTTGGCCGCAGAAAAATCGTCGTTGGGGTTTGAGCCACCTATCATGATTGCGCCGCTAGGAAGCAGTGTTCTGTACATGTTGAGAAGAACGATTAATTGGGCGCTCGCAGATGGCTTACGCAACAGAGTGATACATTCGCGGAATGTTGCTGGTGGGCAGTCCATCACGCGTGATTCTTTGTCCAACTGGCGCGCTGGGGTCGTATAAAAGAGGAGTTAAGGTCGGATTGTCGGCGTTAGAATCACCGACGCGGTTCTTCAGATTGCCGTAGCCTTCAGCCTATCAACACAGGCAAAGAAAGGGTGCTAACGAGGACATACCTGCCGCGCCGGTTCGGCATCCATTGATGATCAATATTTTGCCGTCGGGTAATAGAACTCCCTCAGACATCACTGCCACATTTTCAGTTCTCATCATCCATGGTAAAAAAACTATCCGGCTCACATCTTGGTTCAGGCATCCATTCTGTCTGCCATCCGCCAGCGATACCAGCCGCGTTGAGAACCATTCGCGAACATTGAGCAGAGCCATAGTCACGTTGTGCGTCCAGGTTTTGGGACTCGATTTGGTCAGAGATTTGAGATCCACCGCAGATGACCATTTCCGGCGTGTAGTTGTTCTCGGGAGTTAGCGGAAGTAACACCCCGGCTGCATTGAAGGGATATACAACACGTTGTCCATTAGGGAAGTTCGGAAGTCGGGTTTCGGTATTAGTATGCCAATCGAGAAGCACTATGAACTGCTTAGTGATGGAATTTTAGCCAGGTAAATACTTGCTGGCTTTATTATTCGCGGCGACAAATATGCTTCCATCGGGTAAGGCGCTGCAAAGGAGATTAGCCACCGAAACACTCAGAAGAGGTGCAGCAGTACTAAACGAGGGGGTACTGTTGGCTGATGAGCAATGTGCAACACGATAAAGCCTCAAATTCTCACAAGGTTATGGGGCAATGTGTCAACAAAGAATGGCGACTGAACGGGGAGTCCTGCGGCAATATAAATATGTTGCGGAAAACTTGCTAAGATCGTTGCCTACCATTCGACCCACTGACGTTTTTGACAGGATAGAACTCGTAAGTTGGGCTGTTTATGGTAGGCCTATTCGTCCAATCGCTGACTTTTGAGCCACCCAGAATGATAGCAGATCCGTCAGGAAGGCGGGCAGAAGTAGGATACCAACGGGTATCTCCCATTCGTATACGCTAGAAGCAGTTATTCGCAGGTCAATGCAAGGACCTTGGGGACACACATCAGCGTTTTCGTAGATGTCGCAGTTGCCTGACGCTGGACACGCATTGAATAGACGGATGCCTTTCTGCTTTTGAGAACGTGAATCCTCGAATAACAAGATGATCACCTTGTTGACCATCTGGCGCAGCCTCATTATCCCGATTTGTATATGGGTGACCCCCGAAATTAACGACTAGAGCAAATGATCAGTCGAGAGCTCGGTAGCGTCAGACACACGCTTACAAGTGCCATTGCTAAGAAAGCCCCCAGCAGAGCAGAACGAATGGGTTGCTATATTTAATGCCCGAACAGTGTTCGACACAAGACTCCAAACAGCACCCCACGCAGCGGAATTTTGCGCGTTCTTAAGCGGATTATTCTCCTTGCGGTCGATCACCACTATCGTCTCATTGTTCACGACAGCTACATGGGTCATGACACTGTGATCTATCAGAGAAAAGAAATGTGCATAGAGAGAAAAAATGACCGACATTCCGCTCGTTCCACCCGCTGTTAGGCTCCATGCATTTTGACCAGAGGGTGCCGCAGCGTTCTTCGAAAGTTGGTAAGTCACAATGACAGGTAACACGCGAGAAACAAACCCGCTGATAGACCATGACGCGCCAGCCACCGCCACAGTTAAGTGATGAATCTCCAGCGCATGGAATGTTGCATTGATCCTCCCTTGCGCCAATGGGATTATTCGTCAGGCTGTTGGAACAATAACATTCCTGGCCATTTTCGACGCCAGCGAGATTATAATTCATGCTTGCACACTTGTTGATGCACGATGATGGTGTGAGGGCAGTGTCTGTAGTTTGGAAACCAACGAGAACCCGAGAGTCGTTATCGATGGCACACATTGACGGCGACCAGCCTGCGGGCAGAGCAGCGGCATTGGAAGTACTCTTGGAGTATAATGAGATCCTGAAGCCCGCCCCGCAGATTTGTTGAGGATTGCCGGCGCATGGCTTGTCGCATTGGCTCGAGGAGCTTGCCAGAACACCTCCCCCGTTGGCCGTGGAGACGGAATTGTCACAATAACATTCTTTCTAGTAAGAATCAGTTAAAGCGAGAAAGCTCCGAAGAACCACACTTGCCCCATATTCCACTCCAGCATATTTGAAGCCCGTGTTGTCGCAGAATGAGACACATTTCTCAACAGTCATCCCATCGTCTGTCCAAGCGGTACCTGCAAAATATTCGAATTACGATGTCAATCTAACTGTTGGTCCATACCCGAAAGAGTTCGTCCTGTCGAGGCCTCGACAATACATTGAGAACTTTTAGGCCAAAACGGGGGGAGAATAAGGCCAGTCGTTCCTGACGATTGAGATTCGCTTGAATAAACATTCAATCTGAAGCCAGCACCACATTTTTGGGATGAATTGCCTGATAGATGTTAGAAAGACCCTTGACGAAGTGTCTGAACACACCAGCGCAGGGCATTGAGCAATCAGATTCGCTAGCTGTAACGGGTGGAGAGGTATAACCAGTCGCGCCTGCATTGAATGAGGATTTGCCGTTGAATCAAGTAGCATCACGCACAGTGGCACTCGTTCGCGAACTCCATCCCAGCGTAGATGAATCCGCGCCTTTGACAGGTTGAGACACATGATTCTACCGTCAATCCGTTGTTTGTGAAGGAGTATCCTAAAAATCAAGTATTCAAATGAAGCTCTCAAGCGCACAGCGAAAACAAACCTCCGAGAAGCCGACCACCTGATGGCTCTTGCATACATGAAACATATGCCCAACCAGTAGGAAGCGTTGGACCACTCGGTGGAGTGTTTGGTTGAGTATATGAATAGGCTGATAGTCTATACCCAGCTCCACATGTCTGAGTCGATTCGCCTGCACAAGGCATGTTGCATTCGCTGGGAGGTACTGCAACTCCCCCTCCCAATGCAGTACCCTGGAAGCTATCGCCACACCAGCACTCATCTACATGAGGATTAACTACAATTTCAGTCGAAAGGAGGGACGGACTTGAATACTCGGCTCCTGCGATATGGAAGCCTCGACTGTTACAAGTTGCAACACATTTGTCAATTGTCATAGTGCCGTCGACAAAGGAATAATTTGCCAGTGTGCGGCCGCTTGAAGGCTCTGTGATACAACCGGTGTAGTTCCAACCAGTAGGCAGCACAGGAGCGACGGTAGTATTCGACCTGCGTTCATAGGTCGTCAAGCGATTGCCGTCGCCACAAGTTTGTGTCGCGTCGCCTATGGGCCATTTAGTTAGAAACAAGAAAGTGCAATAAACGACAGACCAGCACAACTCATGTTGCATTCACCTGACGCGATGGTCCCTCCGCCAGTGGCCCCGCCCTCGAACGAGTCGCCACAATAGCATTCGGCTAGGTGAGGCATTATTAGTCCTCCATAACTGCTCTCCATGGATTGGACACGCACATCCAAATTCCGCGCCTGCATATCTGAAGCCTCGAGAGTCGCATTGCGCCACGCAGGAAGTGGCGGTCATCGAGGATGACGTGAAGGAATAGCCTTCATAGAGTGCTTGAGCCGAAAGCAATCTCAAGGTCATTGGGAAACTCACCCGTCAGCGTCCGTCCCGTTGATGGCTCGCGAACACACGCGCGCGCGATCCTATCGATATGAGAATCAGGCTATCGTTAGGGATTGCTACGCACCATCCAGAAGGCAGCACAATCGGTGCCCGCGAAACTAACCCATCGCGGCTAGGAGTAAAAGACCGAAAGATGTTGAGAGGTGTAGTAAAGGACCGAATGAGATGATATGGTGCAGAGATTGGGTCAGCATTCGTCGTTGTGGCGAAGAGCAGGAGCGTTGAATGAAGGACTGCTGTGAAGGAGAGTGGGGGCGCCATAAGAGGTTGGCCTTGGCTTTCTTTACCACATCCCTTGTTTTTTAAACGGGCCCTGGACACCGGAAACGATCACAGAGGCGTCAGGAGGAAGCGAAGTCGAGACTACTCGGTGACAGATTCTGACTGAATGCATCGATGAGCAACTATTAGGCAGAGCAGCCACAACTTGAGCTTGTAGGTCGCTGCAGGAGGCGAACGTCCCATATAACTTGGCAAGGAGGGCCCGCCGTCCACAACCCGTCAACAAAGCTGGTTTTCTCCTGTGTAGAAACATTGAACAAGGTTTTTTCGTCTTGTGATCCGGATTGTCACTTCTCGGCCAAATCCCTTTGACATGAAATGTCACGGTCACGAGTCAGGAACTGTGACAAACGTGAGTCTTACGCGTCCTCCACGCACCAACTTGAACAAGCTCAAACTGGTCCCCCTCCATTGCAATCCAATCTACGTACAGAGCAATGAGCAGTACTCCTGGACCATACAGCGGCATCCCGCTTGAATCAGATCCCGTGATCTTCACTGAATTCCTGCACGCATTGGGCGTCAAAAACCTTCAGCTCTTATGCTCGATCCCCTCGAGGAAGTCCGCCTCATGCTGCCACAGCCCGTCCACGCCTTAATACTCATATACTCCACTACTGAAGAGTACGAGAAATCCATTAGAGACGCGCGACAAGCAGAACGGAATGCAGGAAATGGCTACAGTGGCTCCGGCGACGGGGAACCAGTCATTTGGTTCGACCAAACTATACGGCATGCGTGCGGATTTATGTCGCTCTTGCACGCATCGGCGAACCTGAGCTCTTCTGGCGACGAATTCATTGGTTGGTCGATATCGGCAGAAATTGTTCTATTTGAATCTTTTTCCAGAACGAGGCTCGTTGCTCGCAAACCTTCTTCGCGATGCTCTTCCTCTTGCCCCTGTCGAACGTGCTGCTCTCCTCAAATCATCACAAGGCATAGCGGACGTCTACAACACCGCATCGGTGAGAGGAACGAGCACCATCCTTCATGCCGAGGACAACGTTCCGGGCCATTACGTCTGCTTCGTACGGTCGCCTCGGACAGGGCACATCTTCGAATTGGATGGCGGAAAAAACGGTCCAATCGACCAAGACGGCTGGCTTCAGGGCGATCGAGATATGCTCAGTGGAGGTTTGAAACTTGCCAAGGAGTTTATTGCCAACCGTACCGATCCAAAACACCCACATTGCCATGTGATGGCTCTCGTTCCAACTGACTGATTCAATAAATGTACATCGTAAAAAAGTCCTTGTAGTATTCATCGCCATGTTTATCCTCGCGTTCCTTGCCAACGGGACTCATAAGCAACATACCGCTGTTGCTCGGTGCCTCCAGGTAAATATCCTTCCCAACGTAGCAACTCACTTTGAGATACGCTTGGGACATTCTGTTGCAGGTAAGAACGTGAATTTGACCAAAACACAAAATACCTCAAGCCATTTCAACACATCATGAATCTCGCTTTCTACAGAAATCCCCCACTCTGACATGCACTCGTGAGGGACGAACGAGCCCAAAGCACCGAGGACGGCGTCACATGCCTCACCCCCTGTTGGCGATTCACGGACATAGCGACCCCATTCCAACCAAAAACTGTGCTCCGTCAGTCTGCAAGGCCACAGTTAGTTGCAACAAACTTACCCCATCATCTCGAACGGTATCCGACGATCGTATACTTGCCTAATTATCTGCAGACTGTTGCAGGCTAGGTCCCGATAGACATCACCAGCACCACAAGATTCCTTGGTTGTCGCAGCTCGCTGACGACGCATCGCTCTAGCATTTACTGCCCATAACTGCTCTATTGCCTGCTTGTCACGCCCAAACAGCGGCTTCAGCACCAGGCAGATCGTGTCGCAGAGGAGTTCGTGTTCTGCACCAAGTAAAAGCCGAAATTGGGTGAGGGGGGTAAGCGCCGGGATGGCGACAGATGCACGAATGAGACGCTTGATGTTGGGATGATTGACTGGACTTGCTGCGTCTCTTAAAAGTTCTGCAAGCTGGTCGCAATGGGTGCTGGTCTCTAGATCGTCTAGATCCAAGTCATTGATGACGCTATAGAAGAACGACACGTATTCATAGTCTTCCCAGCGAGAAATGGTGTTTGCGGGTAAGGGATCCATAGCCTGCACGGTATGATTATACATTAAAAGTTTGCAGATGGACCAACCTTCAGCCAATGAATAATCGATTGTCCCAGGTGGTCAAATATTGACAGAGAATGAAAGAAAAAGTCGGGGTTTATGTGGTCCACCAGACCAACAATCTCGCGATTGGACATGGTATCGACGCTGACGGAGGTGATATAGTCGACTATAGCGTCTAGATGGGACCTTGACAAATATTCAGCACTTTACAAAGAGAAAGGATAAAAAGGCTAACCATGCGACATGCCCTTGAGATTTGATGTAAGCACTAGGGTCACTGTTCTGATATGATAGTGCTCTGAGCACAGATCCGACAAGTGCCATATCGAACGTTGGCGTCGCCACACAAAACATCTCGGACCGTGCTGGGTCAACGAGAAAGTCGAGGAATGATGGGTGGAAAACCTCGACGCCTGCGCAACCGAAATCATCTGCGGAATACGGTAGGAATAGCGACCGGATAGAGGGCAGAACATGTGCATATAGATGTCCATGTTCGAGGCCCAAGAGTTGTTCGATGTGACGAATAGAGAACCGAGAAAACTGTGGGGTTACAATAATACGGAGGAACGCTAGCATTGAGGGGCGGAATAAGGGGTCCATTGACGACAGAATCATGAAGAAGAGACTATCGAGCGGATTGTGTGGGAAAGCCTGAGGAGGTGCGGCAGCGAGCCTGGAAAGCTGCTCAATGCGCTCTGTGGGACAGAATTCCGGATCGCCGAGAAAATTGACCAGTGTTCGTGCAGTTTGAAAACAACCGCAGGAGACGCGCACCGCAATGTCCAGAGCTTTGGGAGTTAACCACGTGCTGGCGCCGTGACGAATCTTCGTGCATTCGATCTTGAGATATGTTCGCACGTCTTCAAAGGACCTGGCCACGTTGAAAGATGAAACAGAGGCAGTTCGGAAGATGTCCAAACAGATTCGGCTGACTAATATGATACGCAAAGGCGACGCAGATTCTTGGATGGCGCTTTCCAGTAGCAGGAGTACCTCCCGCAACAATTCCCCCTCGCATTCGTCAACGCCATCGAGAACTAAGACGAGCGGAAGGGGAGTTGCTGCCTGGCGACATGGCTCGACGATAAGTTTTTTGAGTTGAACAGCTAGACTCTGTTCCAGAACACATGGCGATTTCCGCACAACCCTCGAAATGATTGGACGGAGATTGGGTACATTTCGGGCGAGTTGATGCGCCAATGTGCGAATAACGGATTCGTTCTTCACATTGTCGCGTTGGAAGGAGAAAGTCCCCCCGAGGTTTCCCGAGTCATAGAGCCGACTTTGTACGCTTCGAAGAACTGTCGATTTGCCAACGCCCAGGGGGCCATAAACACAGGCTATCCGGCCGGGAGTGGTGACGGATGATGCCCATTGGTGAAGGTCGTGAATGTTGTCTTTGCGGGTTTCCGGAAGACAACCATCGTTCTTTGACCAGATACAAGGGTAGGTGGTGCGACACAACAATTCCAAACCTGCATGGAGGTGAGCAAAGATTGAGGACATCGAAAAATCACATACCGACATCTCGTCGGCTCGAGAGAGAATTGCGGTTGACAGCAGCGAAGAATGCCGCCGTGTATGGGTTGTAAGGGCGCGTGGAGAGTTGTTCTGACCCAGCGGAAGACGTTGACGATGACGGTTTACAGGGAGGCTGGTTAGAATAAGCCATACCAGACAATAAACGACAATAAACCCTCTTACGCCGTCTCCTCTTATAACACTGCGCGCTTAGATTGGGACTTGGTGCGTGTCGGTTGGCCTATACGTAGACTCCCGCAATGCTGGGTGGAAGGCGTGAGGCCAGAGAGTCATCAAGCAGAAAAGCAGAAGCTTATTCGGCTACTATTAAACCTGCGTGTTGGGCCAAATAACATTGAATGCACTCCTCGTTGCAGATATTGACGTGAATGGAAAAAGGAGAGCCAAGGTGTGATTCAATTCGGAAAGTGATGTAACTTTTCTAGTTCCATCTTGACTCTCACCATGGACTTGGTCAACTACATCCTCACTGTCTGCGCTACAGCCACCGCCGTCGCCATAATCGTCGATAACCACAAACAGTTCTTTCAGCTGACCTCCTTCGCTATTGTGTTGGGTTTCCTGGTCTCCGGCCTCTACTTTTGCTTCCTGGTCGTGGTCGCCACTATCGCTCAAACTTGCAGCGCCCTCGGAGTTCACCCTCAAGCCTTCCCACCCATAGCATTCTCGCAGCAATGGATCAACACCACCAAAATCGCCTTTTACCACCCTACAAGCCCGTCAATGACCTTTGTCATGATCCTGTCTCCTACGATCTTGGCTAGCATTTTGAGATATCAAAAGCACTACTACAACGAGGCCCATAAGACCGCAACTCTCGAGATACTCGCGGTTAGCTCGGCGGTATATTCATATTACTCGTACGCTGATCTCTTCGCAGGCCGAGCTAGCTATTCAACCATTCCAAAAGGTCGTGAATCGGAACACACTCGAGGTAATCACACGCCTTCTTCATCCGCCTTTCCGGTCGCTCAAAGCTTTCCCAGCTTACCAAAACCCGCACTTGTCTGTCCTGTCCACTCTGTCAACAGCCATTTGAACGTCCCCAAACGTACTTTCATTTCGATTCGACGAGTCATAAGTATATCCACTGACCACCTTACATAGCCTCACGCCTTGCGGCCATACATTTGACCTCCTCTGTCTCCAAAAGCACCTGCGCAACTCTCCGCCGTCACTCTTTGACGTCCAAAACAACCTCGTTCGTCTCCCTTCGCGTCAAAAACTGTGTCCGTCCTGTCGCGTTCCCACGATGGCCGAGCCTGCTCCAGCCTGGTTCGTCAAATGTCTTGTCGACACAGCTGCTCCGCCAAATACTAAGATTGTGCCAATGCACGAAGGCGACGATGAAGATGGCGATGACACCTTCCGAGTCGACCCATGGATCGGCATCTACAAGGAGAAACCTGTCAGCTATGCTTTTATTCGTCGTGTTGCTGGCTTTTTCCGGCGAGGCCAAATTCGTGGACAATAATTCGTGTATATTATTATATCGTATAGCCTAACTCTTGATACTTCCCCAACGGCTCCCTCGCCACATTCGTTGCCTTCCAATCGTTCTTGGCTCTGGTTCCACCTCTATTCCCACCAGGTCGTCGAGCTCAATGGCAACATATCCATGATCGTCCTCTCCCAGTTCCTGAGCCGCAGCGCGATTGCTAATCATCCCCGCCCACTTGTAAATTACACTGAGCTCTGCTTCGGACGCAACTTGAGAGACTCCCGATTGAAGCAAGTTCCGGGCCACCTGCGCTGTCATCGAGGGCGTGGTTGGGCGTCTATTGGCGAGTGGTGTTGAACTGGTCGACAACAAACGGGCTGAGAGCGGCTTGGATATTGGAGACGGCGATGGGGTCGGTGACTCGGATGCCTTGGGGCTACTAGTAGATATCTGAATCGAGTCTGGTTTGCAGTATTCGTCGGGCGTTTTTTGGGCTGGCGGAAATCGAAGAGGGCAGACGAGCGGGGATCTTGGTTGGAATTGTTTTGCAGAGGCAGAGGAATGTGAATCTGGGGTAAGAAAGGAAGCCGCCTGAACAAGCCTCTCTTCTTGCTCATCGACAACCTCGCGATGCGCCGTGACATTTCGCTGTGCTGCTTCCGCCTCCACTGCTTTATTGTCAACTTGACTTCGATATCCCGTGGCTTTCGTAGCAGCGATCTCAGTCGGCCAGATGGCGAAGTATTTTGCATAGAGCACAGCCAAGATACTGAGAACGAGTGCAATTGATGTGGTCAAAGAGATCTCTTGTGCAGCGCCTGCGCCAAAAGCAGACAATAGCTTGGCGAGGACTAGACTACGAAGCGCTGCGAGAGCATCGGGGCAGGTGGCGTGAGCCAAGTCGATGCGGCGGACTTGTTCGACTTGCGTGACGCCAGAGGCAACGGTATGAGCGTGAGAGAAGAATGGTCGATAAAGGAAGACGTGTACAGCGTTCAAAATGCTGGCGAGCCGAATGATGAGCGCAATGAGGTCGTTGTCCGAATCGCCCCGTCTCCGTCCCAAGTTCATCGTCGCGGTCGAGAACATGGTTTCTGTAACTCGTAAGCTTGCTTACGCGCACGTGAATTGAACTGGAAGGACATCGTGTCTATGCAATCTACCATCCATCCGTATAATGTCCAGCAGCAAAACTCAATGTCACTCTTGGGACTGCACTATTGCCACCATGAATAGTCTCCCCAGATCGGAATTTCGCTTCTCGAACGTGTAATAAAATCCTCGTCGACAAGATACTGTGAATAACTCGGAGAAAGCTGCCAGATTTTAAACCAGAGTACACGGGCGAAGTATGCTAATTGCACTCACGTGTTGAATAGTTGTGCTGTTACAGACTAGAAGACATGAGAGTTGCGGGAGGCATTTGGGATTCGTACCGGAGCCTGCAGCATGATGGCAACATTGAGCGCTGAAATTGCTGTGTCAAGTCAGTAAGCGTAGAGGATCATGCAGCACCATGGTCTTACCGCACAAAATCAAGTAATACGTAACACCATCCCGATACAACGTGACGATGAGCGGATTTCGGGTATGTCGATAGTTCTTCAGCCCGATCCAGAGGGTATAAGCCATGATGACTGCGATAACTCGGTCAGACGAAACAGGAAACGACAAACAACTCACTTGTGTCATTGATAAGCACGATGATGAAAGGAATTCCGGCATAGATCACATCCCCTTCGACCAGATAACACCCGGGAATGAATGATGAGGGTGGTGGCCCGTCTAATGGCCGTTCTATTCGATTCAACTTCGCCGCTGTTGTATATGAGAGCCTCACAAGTTACTGTCCGTTCAAACAGCGCGAGCAACACGATGGAGGCGGATATTCCGATCTAGAGACGAGTCTAGCCCACACTCGCGGAATCAGAGAAAAACGTACAATCCACAGGGTGGTGAAGAATACAAGCACGCCGCGCTTTCGCCCGCTAAGCGCATACGTCCGCAGAACAAGAATAGCTATGGGGTATGAGTTCCCGCATATCTAGAAACGGGGTCCTCAACCTTCTGCTACGGCAATACCAAAAACGGTGCCCCCTTTGGAGAAATCAACTGAAGTAGCGAAGACTTTAAGGAGCACACTAGCTCACAAGACGATGCCGCTTGGAGTTGAGCGCATTGCTATTTGGGCGAATCAGCGAGGAAACACCGAGTACAGTGTCCGTACCTTGAAGGGAATGTTGTTCACTGTCGAATCTATCCAAAAATGAGTTGTAGGGGTGAGAACGTGAAAGTATGGGACCCAACAATAGAGCAGTATCGGCACATCAAAGGCGGGGGAATAACGCGACATCAGGTAGAGTGCTTTGGAAAACGTCCACCGAGAGTCCCAGATTAACGAGACCTAACTAGTTCAGTATCCTCAAAAACGATGAGTTGACTCTAGGTTACTTCAGCATCTAGGGTCAAACCGTAGTCGAATAACTGGAAGACAAGTTGCGGTTCATATGTATGAGTCTAGATATATGATTCACCAGAATCGTCAAGTCAACCACTTATCATCAATGAGCGCATGAAAAGAATGCTTTCGAAAGAGAACTTACCATGCATGTACTATCACGAAGCTCGAAGATCAAAACAGTTGTTCGACCGGAAGTTAAAGCCACCTACTCGAACGGTTTGCATACGACTGGCTAGTAGCTGTGAGGTGGACATGGTACCGAGAGACACGATGCATCCGAAGCAACAACCATATATGCTGGCTCGGATACAGTCCTATTTCTGCCTTGTCCAGGGCGCCCAGGGCGGGAAGAGAAGCGCAAAATCGATAGTTCGGACTTGCTATTAGGAAGCTCTCGATGGTGGCGTCGAGTGTGGGTGCTTGTGAGTTGAAGAAGATGGATAGAGTTCAAGTTATGCGGTCACTTAGAAATCGTCTCTGGCTTGAAGCTTGAAGCACGAAAACGACCAGAATGATTTCAGTGAGAGAACATTTCTGAACAGGGTAGGAACGTTGGATTGCGTAGGGCCGTTGTTCCGACAATGGAGGCAGAGGACAACATTGAAGTTGTGTGACAGGAACACAAGTTTTCATCTGTAGTCTTCCTCCACCAGCCTCCACCACACAATTCCTGCATCGTCTAGTTGGTCAGAAAGATAAATGCACGAAGACGAGCTGCGGTATAACGGGCTTCCGACAAGTCTCACGGTCAAAGATTCGACGCCATTTCACCTCAGTCTGAGCAGTCATCCATGGCCGCTCGAGTCTTCAAGATCGCCTCGATTCCTGGTGATGGCATAGGCGTCGATATTACCGACGCAGCGGTGCAAGTCCTCCAGAAACTATCGAGTACCTTTGGGACATTCAGTTTCGAATTCAACACACTCGACTGGAGTTCGGAAAACTACAGACAGCGCGGCTTCTACGCACCACAAGGTGGCGTGGAGGGGCTCAAGCAATATGATGCTATTTATTTTGGCGCCGTAGGGTGGCCAGACGTTCCCGACCATATTTCATTGTGGCAGGTTCGTGCTCATCAGTCCTTCAAGTTTTTGTAATCTCAACTATAGCTACGGGTAGATGATCCTCCCAATTCGTACCACGCTCAACCAGTACGCCAACGTTCGCCCCACTCGTATCATTCCTGGCACTTTATCACCTCTCTCCGCATGTGCTGCGAATCCTTCACTTCTTGACTGGGTCATCGTTCGAGAGAACAGTGAGGGCGAATACTCCGGACATGGTGGAACAACCCCGTCTACAGCACATGCTGCCCATACCGTCGCCACTGAAGTCAGCATCTTCACTCGTGTTGGCATCGAGCGAATCGTCCGGTTTGCGTTTGAAACCGCACTTCACCGTCCACGCAAGAAACTCACAATGGTCACCAAGAGTAATGCCCAACGACATGGGATGGTGTTGTGGGACGCTATTTTCTATGAGGTCGCAAAGGAGTACGAGGGCCGCGTTGAGTTTGACAAGATGTTAGTTGACGCGATGACTGGTATGTTGTTTGATTCTTCGAGTTATATGTGCTCATAAGCGAATGTCTAGTCCGTATGGTGAACCGTCCCGAGAGTCTTGATACAATTGTTGCAACCAATTTGCACGCTGATATTCTCAGCGACCTGGCAGCTGCCCTTTCAGGTAGCATTGGCATTGCGCCATCGAGTAACCTCGATCCGACGCGTCAATTTCCCAGTATGTTTGAGCCGATTCACGGAAGCGCACCCGATATTGCTGGATTGGGAATCGCCAATCCCATCGGCGCATTCTGGAGTGCCGCTGAGATGGTTCGCTGGTTGGCAGGATCGGATGGTAATAGTAACATTGTTGGCCTGGTCAGCGGCCCTGGTGTCGGTAACATGGTCCACGCAGCTGACTGCTTGATGAAAGCCATCGAGAATGTCACGCAAGCGGGAATAAAGACACGGGACTTGGGCGGGGCAAGCACAACGAAGGAAGTTACAGACGCTGTCTGCATAGAAATCGGTCAAGTGTATGCGTCCTCGCGATAAACAAAGAGGCAGAAAAATACTCTATTTAGATTGCGATAAGATTAGATAATTCTGGGAGTCACCAGCCACTTATGAAAACCCAGATCCCATACTTATACGAGGGATAGTGCTCATGCAGACAGCCGTGGAGCACGCGGTTGACAGCTTCTCCTCGTCAAGCTTCGTAGCACAAGGGGAGTTGAATGCGGTCGTATTCCAAACGGCTGGAATTGTTTTGACGACAACAAACACCCAAAGTAGAGCAACGCCGACTAGATATGTCTTGAGTATCGATAAGTCGAATCATATGTGTTTGCTTACTGGAGAAGGTCACCCCGATATATTGTATCACTGCGCTCTTCAGCAGATCGCCCATTTCGACGGTAAGGAGTGCCATAACCCCCGTCGGGAAAATCATGCCCCAGTACCCGATAGAGTAAGGAACGCGTTTCTGACGGACAGAGGCGTAAATCATGCAAAGCGTCATTCCAAGCCAGAACAGGCCCAGCGACCACAGTGTCCACGCAAGGCAGAAAGCTACTGACGCGACTGCTGACGGACTGATGAGCGGCCCGAGGTCAACATTTCGAGTACTGAGATACTCGGCTATCAGGAGCAGCGAGAAACCGCCTTGGCCCATGGGTCCAAGAGGAATAAAAGAAGCAAGGATGAGGCTTGTGTCTGGTGGGCCATGGAGTAAAAGCCGAAGTAGATAGGCTGTTATAACCATGAAAGCGATAGAAAGACCAGCAATTCCAAGTATAGCCGAGACCGCGATCGTGAGGGTGCTCTGGGTTGGCAGGGCCGTCGCAAGCAACCCGCCCGTTGCTGACGCAACGATCCAAGGAAGAACCGGGAGCATCGCAAGACACGATAGCTGCTCGAGAGAGTGTTTTTGCTTCGTCATCATCACATGTAGCATTCCAAACGCGATGACGACCGAAATCACCACATCCAGCCACCAGAATGCCCACAGCGCATAGAGAAAGGCTCGAGAATGGTTGGAAAACCCGTACTTCTGGTGCGCGACCAGTGCGATATTGATTAGCGAGCATCCTGCCATCGGCATCGCACTGATAAAGAGGCTTTGGATGGGATGGCGGAGCATCGCGGACCAGAGCTGCCAAAATGTTAAGCATGACGTTCAACATGGATATATGGCGTGAAAACACCTCAGGAAATATTATGTAACGCGCAACGCTTGCGGCAGATATAAGCACGAAGCATAGTAGGCTGCAGAAGAACAGAACCAGAGTAAGAACCTTGTTAGGCTCACTCCCAGATCCCCAATGGAAGCGGTTGACAAGCGAAGCCACAACGCAAGTGCCCATCACAATGGTGTACCATGCCCAAGTGAAATGGCGGACACAGGTCTTGAGGTTTTTCCGAACGGGCAGAGACGACACGCTCAACATGAGGGAACTGAAGGAAATTCGGAATTCGTGCCAATAGCATGATCCGATAACTAAGCGCGCACGTGAGTTGTACATAATCTTATCGCATTGCCACATAATCTAAGAGAACACTTTCTCAAGATACTGTTCTACACCTGCAGCATCAGGAACAACCGCACCAACCATAGCGTCAGGGCGAACGACAACCACCGTCGAATCGCCGGGGGCCAAGCCATAACCTATGTAGGCGTGACCTCCGCTATCATGAAGCACCAATATGCCATCGAGCTCGACGTCTGACCGATGACAATTTCCTTGAGGTAGAAGAAGGATGACGTTGACGAGTTTGACAGGAATGCGACCAACAATGGCAAGAATGGAAGGAGCATCGACAGAACCGAAGAGCAGTAGTGTGTGCTTGTGAATGTCGAAGAGAGTGAATAATCTCGTGCGTGACTTGTCAAGCAGGAGCTCGGATGCATCTGGAGCACGAGTACCAGCACGAATGCATCCGCCCTGCTTCCATGAATAGGGGCTGTCGGTAGGTTCTACGTCCTTGACCTCACCCTCAAGAATGATCTCACTACCAGCGTAGTTGATGCCCAACATCGACGTATCCCCGCCGCGTTTCCATGCCTGGTTGTTGAGTTTCGATTCGTCATTGCTATTGATTTGTTCCATGGTCTTACGCAGAATACCGCTTGTAAGGTTGAGCATCTGTGCAATAACGCGCCGCCGTTCTGTACTGTAGGAGTCAAGCAAGCTATCTGGGGAGACACCGAATTCGACCAAAGCAAGCTTCCATCCGAGGTTAATGGCGTCTTGAACACTGGAATTAAGTCCTTGGCCGCCGGTGGGGCTATGAATATGTGCGGCGTCTGACAAACTGTTGGTGGAGCTTGAAAAGTCGCCATCGTTTGATCACATACCTCCAGCAAGGAAAACTCGACCCACGCGCATCGAGTCTGCCATACGGCCACTCGGGCGGTAATTGGACGCCCAGGTCATCTCTCCGAACTTGATATCGCGTCTATTAGTTGCATTGTAGAATTGGTCCATGAATTCTTCGCGTGTGATAAGTGTGTCAGAGAGATTGTCGGGGCGTCCACAAGCGAACATGAAAGTCTTGTGTTTCTCTCCACTCGAACGAAGATACAGACTATGAATTGTGGGTCAGTTTAGGAAGCAGCTTGAATATGGAATTTGAGGACCCACAAGTTCTTATTGGCATTCCACATGTGCCAGACACCATGTTTCAGGCCCTCTTCAACCAAAATGTCGCCTATCGCGATCCAATGCTCGGTGAGGACGTGACCAGGAAAGTCAACGCCCAAGTGCTTGCGGACGGAACTGTGAGCGCCATCGACTCCAACAAGCCATTTGAAAGTAGCAGTCTCCTCCTTGGATTGACCATCTTCTCTAGTCACACTGATATGTGCAACGACATGGTCAGCAAACTGCTCGAAGGATTTGAGTTCGGAGCCAAGCTCCACAGTGCAATCCATTCCTGCAAGGTAGTCGCGTAAAATCTCTTCGTGTACTTCTTGCGGTAAGGAGAAATGGTTGGGCTAAGGTTTTATGTGTGAGATAGCCGCGTGAAGCTGGTAGAAAAGACCCGTACATGCGGCACATTGGGGGAAGGCTCGATCCAGTCGACCATATTACTCAGGTTAAACGGTTCTTTTTCGCCAGGTTTGTAGTGAGCAATGGTCGGATGGAAGCCTGAAGCTTCTTGAAGGGGAGGAAGGCAGCCGATGATATCATATAATTCAATAGTTCGAGGCTGAAGATGAAGAATAAGCTATGAGGGAAGGGAATAAGAATTCGCGAAGTCACACCTGCACGCCGGTGCCGCGCGAACCGTTTCTGTGGTTAGGAACTTTGTCGATAAGGCGTACCGAGACACCATTCTTGATCAAAACGATAGCTAGAACGAGTCCGGAAGGACCAGCGCCAGCCTATGGCAGAGCAGTCAGTAAATGATGATCGGGGGTGAACCACTAACGATGAGAACAGTAGGTTGTGCCATGTTGGAAACGCGGTGAAATACAGTGCATTTTTATAGTAAAACCGCAGGACCGTTCAAGGCGGTCGAAAGTAAGGACGGGCCGCTGTGGCTGTGCATGGGCCGCCTTAGACGCAAATAGTTTTTGCATATCTGCAACATAATCTCACGAAGCGGAAAACACTGCTCCAGGGGAAGTGCCATCAGTAGGGAGGAGGGTATCTCACGCTAGAAACAGATTCGAGGGAAATCTTCACTTGTAAGAAGCTTAGAAAAGCATTGTCAATGGTCCAGGCGAAATTAAGGAACAGAGGAATAGACGCGGAGAGGTGTGAGCCTAGTCATTTTCCATCTTCGGTGCACCGTGGATTGGTTGAATGCAACTCCATTGTTCCTCGACTTCAATCGTGGCTTTCCGTAAAGTGAAATTGACTTATAAGGAAAGTATTTGGCAGCTGTCAACGTGCACCTTCCAATCCAGGCAATTTCAAGCAATCGCTGATGGCAATGAGCTCTTGCATAAAAGCAGCCAACACTGGCGTCTTCCCTCCAACTTCCCGCCCCGCCCAATCTTCGAGATGCAGTCCGCCAACCAAATCACTACCTCCCGCTCCGCTGCCTCCCGCCGCCGCCGTGCCATACCTTCCAAGAAAACGGAATGTACTCGACTTTGCACTGGCCAAAAGCTTCGACGGATACCATTAGCCACAAAGACCGATGGAAACGGTGCTACCCCAGTACCATCCAAGCTTCGTCTACCGCGCACTCTCCCGCGACCAGTACTCGGTGAAGTCGACCTGACTTCCTCGCATAACCATCTGGCGCACATACCGCCTGAATACGTCCGCGAAAAGCTACTTGGGTCTCTTCCAAGGTGTGTTCCGTGCCTTCAAATTATTTCCAATGACTGACTATCGACTAGTATGCGAACTTCCCTTGCTGCAGTCAAATGCACTTTGAACTCGACCCGCCTTGCGAAGGCGGCCCAAATTCTGGCGAACGATATCGTTTCGGCCTATCCTCCAACCCACATGCTGGCCATCCACGGCACTGCCTCGTCCAGCAGCAACACACAAGCAGTTTCGCTTTTCCCAGTCCACGATATCGTGTTTGCTGCCCATTGCGCCACTTTCCCCGTACTTCCCTCTTCCCAACCGACAACCACCGACTCCACGATTTCCGTCCCCATTGTCCCGATGCGACTTCCATCTCCCGAGACTTTCTCCATTCTACAGGGTTACCTCTACACCCAACAACCGTCATTCCTGCGATCTGCGCTGAAGACACCTCTCGAAGCAGAGGGCGACTTCCTTCGTCTTGCTGCCCACGCGCACAAAATCAAGGGACTGTGGGCGAATGCTTGCCTGCTGGGAGTTGTCGATGACCGCGTATTCGAGGTTGTCGAGGAGGCCTGGACACGCGTGCTTGACGCTATGCAGACAGCCAGTTCATGATATTTTTATTGCTTTGCATCCTTGGACTTCTTGCATTTACATTAGCATACTTATACTATATGAGCCTTATGTTGTACGAATATGAACAAACAAAAGTTGTAACTTTCTCGAAAGCGAATAGAGACAGTAGAGAAGACACAATAATCGTTTGAAAACTACAAGCACTGACCACCAACACAACCATACCCCGTTCATCGTTATGAGACAGCATCGATTCAATGGAGTCATCGCCACCGCGGGGGCCTTTACCAGAGGCAAAGGCGGACGCAACGACATCTTTCTTGGGAGCGAATTTTGCGCGCAGCCGCACGAGGGAAAGTTGAACCGTAAAGGCTACCCGGGCTCCACTGACCACACGAACTGCAGGTGCAGCCGCATAGAGGAATGTCCCAGGCCACAACACTCGTCGCTGCACTCCCTCTAGATAACCGGACACCAAACGAAAACCGGGGAGGATGTTGGTGGGGTACTCAGTCGACAGCACATTCGGCCGAGGTCGCTGACAGTCACTACAATACTGCCTCAGAATCAGATGGGGCGTAGGAGGATGCGAATACCGTTCGCTGTCGAATCGAGTCTAGCATTGAAGATGAGTGGCAAGCACCGACTGCAACAATTATAAGTCACCACGTCTTTTACAGTAAGGCGAAGTGCAAGAAGCGGTGACCGGAGTTATTGGATAGGGTGGCAGAACGATGCAAAAGTGGCTTCGACATTATGCAAGGTTGAGACCAAGGAGGAGCAACAAGACAGTGACTGAAGTAAGAACCACCAACGACCATACCCCGTTCATCGTTATGAGACCGCGCCGATTCAATGGAGTCTTCGCCATCATGCCGGCCTTTGCTCAGAGAGTAAAAACCGACACAATGACATCTTTCTTGGGAGCGAATTTTGCGTGCAATCTACCCGAGCGAAAGTTGAACCATAAAGGCTACCCGGGCTCCACTGACCACACGAACTGCAGGTGCAGCCGCATAGAGGAACGACCAAGGCCACAACACTCGTCGATGCCCTCCCTCTAGATAATCGGACACCAAACGAAAACCGGGGAGGATGTTGGTGGGGTGCTCAGTCGACAGGAGTGCTGGACTAATGTCGAGAGTAAGTTCAAATCTGTCATTAGGTGAAGCTGAGTGGCTCACAAGCGGGACACTTACAAGTTGCCATAGTGTCACAGGATTAAAACCAATCTCTATCCAGAATTGAAGTCCAGTGGCTTCGGTATGAAGGTTGGGACCAAGGAAGAGCCACACAGCCACCTGAAACAAGTCTCCGCTGAAAATGGCGGATCGGAAAAGCCGCGATTCAGATTAAGTGCGGATGGGCATATGGACTTCGATTCGAGACTTGGGTGCGTGCGATGCTCGAGCTCGCGCTTGTGCCAGCCGATTTGGGTGTCCCTGAGGTGCAACAAGACTGGTTTGGGGTGGCGCAGGAGTCACTAAAACAAGTTCCTTTACGCAGTTCCGAACGAAGACGCAGTTTGTGCGGTCGAGAACAACGTGAAGGGATTGCAGCAGTGCGATGGAGGTTGCATCTTGAACAAAGGATGAATCACATTACAGTGGACGCATTCTCCCCTCAATCATGGGGCTGTTGGATTGAGAAAACTTCATTGGGGGGTTTGTAGGCATGTAATTCTCGATTACATCAAAGTTCGGGTAAGAGTAGAGTAGCTTGGTGGTGGCGTCGATGATGATTGCGTTGGCTCTGTTTGTTGAAAGCAAGGTTGAAAGGTTGACTTGCAAAGAATCTTGACAGGGAAAAGCGCCTTTGGGGTCATTCAAACAGATTGTGTTGGATGTCATGATGAGAGAACAGCACCGTCCGAGTAATCTGGTGAATATTAAAGCTGCGGAGATCAACGAAAACAGAGAATGTGGTCAATGGCTGGTCTCTTCTTTGGTGTCTATCCTTCGGGACTTTTATTTGTTCCTGTTTTTAGCGTGTCAGTCGGCGGTCGCATTGCCTTGCACTGTCACCGCACGACCTCCTGCATGTCTAGATTTAATGCTTGGCACTTGCAAGTGGGCCCTTGAAGACGAGTTAGAGACGATTCTAAGTCACGACAAAGACAGATATCGACTTGCAAATGTGCGGCGTGCAAGCACGGCAACTTGAAGGCCACACGGCTGATGGAGACCGTGGGGGGCATTTCGGGGAGCCGATGCCGAGCCTTTTTTGTGGCTGAAGTGGGCGGTGTTGACGAGGGCAGAGTAGATACTCTGTAATTTGACTGTATTCTTGTGTGTCTCGGTACTGGTGCAAGGTTAGAAGTCAAGTTTTTGTGCTTGAGGCCGCAGTCCGACCATGTGACATGCAAGTCCTAACGTCATAGCAGGCTCGTTCAGTGTTTCCTCTTTCCCTCCATGTCGTCGCCCCCACCGGGGAGCAGCCAAGACGGCTATCCCTCCGACTCCACTCCACCCTCCGTAGACGCCCATCCTAATGACCCATTCAGCACCCTGAATGGCTCTGGTCGACGATACTACGACAACGATGACCTTGAATACCCAAGTGTTGGTCGAAGAGATACCTATGTCTCGACAGATTATGACCGTGCCAGCTCTTATGACCCATACGGTCAGCCCTTTCCATCTTTCTATTTCTCCTGATCCAACTCACCACGTTGCTTTAGTCCCGCACGACACCGACTCTGATGGCGACAACTATGCCCAACGCTACACGACCTCTGCCGAGTCTCTTAGTGCCCAGAGAGCTGCTCATGCGTCGACACCAACATTCAGCGAGTACGCTAGCCCATATCCACCGGAGGCTTATCCCGCCTGGTCGACCGACCGCCAGATTCCGTTGTCCAAGGAGGAGATAGAGGACATCTTTTTGGACCTCACTCAGAAATTTGGATTTCAGCGCGACTCCATGCGGAATATGGTATGCCCCCTTGTTTGCTATATGATACACCAAGATCGTTGACGTTGTTTACAAGTTCGATTTTCTGATGCAACAACTCGACTCCCGAGCGTCCCGGATGTCCCCAAATCAAGCCTTACTAACTCTTCATGCGGACTACATCGGTGGCCAACACGCAAACTACCGCAAGTGGTATTTTGCCGCTCAACTTGACCTTGACGATGCCGTCGGTAACACACAAAATCCGGGCCTCAATCGTCTCAAATCGCAGAAGGGCAAGACAAGTGGGGCCAGGCCAGGTCGCGAGAAGGCTCTCAGTACAGCTCTTGAACGGTGGCGTTTGGCTATGCACAATATGAGCCAATACGACCGACTCCGACAAATTGCACTCTACCTGCTTGTTTGGGGCGAGAGTGCTCAAGTGCGATTCTGCCCTGAAGCTCTCTGCTTCATTTTCAAGTGCGCGGATGATTACTACCGTTCTCCAGAGTGCCAAAATCGGATGGACCCAATACCTGAAGGGATGTACTTGCGTTCGGTTGTACGACCGTTATATCGCTTCATTCGCGACCAGGGTTACGAGGTTTCTGAAGGAAAGTTTGTGAGGAGGGAGCGGGATCATGACGAGATAATCGGTTATGACGATGTCAACCAACTGTTCTGGTACCCTGAAGGAATTGCGCGCATTGTTTTGCAAGACAAGGTTCGTTGATTTAGCTTTGCGTTGACGCCGCGTTTATCCATTTTCACAGACGCGTCTGGTTGATATCGCTCCCCCTAAGCGTTTTATGCAATTTGATCGCATTGACTGGAATCGGGCGTTTTTCAAGACCTACTACGAAAGGCGATCGTTTGGCCACCTCCTTGTCAATTTCAACCGCGTCTGGGTCATCCACATCTCAATGTACTTTTTCTACACCTCGTACAACTCCACTCCGGTCTACGCCATCGGCAACAAGGTTGTTCCGGCCCTGAGATGGAGCGCTGTTGCGCTCGGTGGTGCGGTCGCAACTATTATCATGATTCTCGCCACTCTCGCGGAATTTTCGTACATCCCCACCACATGGAACAATACTTCCCATCTCACCAGGCGTCTACTCTTCCTCGTAGTCATCCTTGCCCTTACTGCTGGACCGACTTTCTATATTGCGGCTGTCTCCAGAAACGGTAGTACTGGCCAGGTCCCTCTCATCATCGGCATTGTGCAGTTCTGCATCTCCGCCATAGTCACCGTCGTTTTCGCTATTGTCCCTTCTGGGCGGATGTTTGGCGACCGCGTTGCAGGCAAGAGCAGGAAATATCTCGCTAGTCAAACCTTCACTGCTTCATACCCTCACATGGGTGCTAAGAGCCGGTTTGCCTCGATTCTTCTCTGGGTTCTTGTTTTCGGCTGCAAATTTGTCGAATCTTACTTCTATCTGACCCTCTCGTTCCGGGCGCCCATCGTCGAAATGGTCGGGATGAAGATCCAGGGCTGCAACGACAAGTTTTTTGGCAATAACTTGTGCCGAAACCACGTCGCGTTCACGTTAGCCATCATGTATATCATGGAACTCGTCCTCTATTTCCTCGACACATTCCTGTGGTATGTCATCTGGAATACGGTCTTCAGCATTGGGCGGTCTTTCACACTCGGCTTGTCTATCTGGACACCTTGGGGCGACATTTACCAACGCTTGCCAAAAAGGATTTATGCCAAGTTGTTGGCGACCACTGATATGGAGACAAAGTACAAACCAAAGGTGGCGTCATATTCCAAGTCCCCAAAGTTTAAATCCTTACATTCTGCAGGTTCTTGTGTCCCAAATTTGGAACGCCATCATTATATCCATGTATCGCGAACATCTGCTGTCCATCGACCACGTTCAGAAATTGCTCTACCATCAAGTTGACGCGGCTAACGGTCGCCGAAGCCTTCGCGCCCCTCCTTTCTTCACCGGTGAAGGCTCTTCAGACAAATTCCTCCCACACAACAGTGAAGCGGAACGCCGAATCTCGTTCTTTGCTCAGAGTTTGACTACCGCCATTCCCGCGCCGATACCGGTCGACGCGATGCCGACTTTCACTGTTCTCACTCCGCATTACAGTGAGAAGATATTGCTTTCCTTGAGGGAGATCATTCGGGAGGAAGACAAGAATGCCCGCGTCACTCTCCTCGAATATCTCAAGCAGCTGCACCCGGTCGACTGGGAAAATTTCGTCAAGGACACCAAGATTCTTGCAGAGGAGTCGGCGATGATGACTGGCACAATGCCATTTTCGCCCCACGACGAGAAGGCTGCAAGTAAAGCTGACGACCTGCCGTTTTACTTCATTGGTTTCAAGAGCGCTGCCCCTGAATTTACGCTGCGGACTCGGATTTGGAGTTCTCTCCGAGCACAGACTCTATACCGCACAGTGTCTGGTATGATGAACTACTCCAAAGCCATCAAGCTCCTTTATCGCGTCGAAAACCCGGACGTTGTTCAGCACTATGGTACCAATCCAGACAAACTGGAGCGTGAGCTGGAACGAATGGCAAGGAGAAAATTCAAATTCGTCGTTTCGATGCAACGTTACAGCAAGTTCAACAAGGAAGAGCAGGAGAATGCAGAGTTCTTATTACGCGCCTATCCGGATCTTCAAATCGCTTATCTTGAGGAGGAGCCCCCTAAACGCGAAGGCGGCGAGCCTAGAATCTTCTCGGTCCTCATCGATGGACACAGCGAGTTTATTGGCGACACTGGTCGTCGTCGGCCCAAGTTCCGCATCGAATTACCTGGTAACCCGATTCTCGGTGACGGCAAATCGGACAACCAGAACCACGCAATCATTTTCTACCGCGGAGAATACTTGCAGCTCATCGACGCCAATCAGGACAATTATCTCGAAGAATGTCTCAAGATTCGTAACATACTTGGCGAGTTCGAAGAGTTCCAGGTGGAGGAAACCAGTCCATATTCGCGTTGGGACACCAATCCCAAGAATTTCAGCAAAACGGCGCCTGTCGCGATCGTTGGCGCCCGCGAATATATCTTCTCGGAAAACATCGGCATTCTTGGAGATGTTGCTGCCGGAAAGGAGCAAACATTCGGTACTCTGGCTGCTCGATCAATGGCCTGGATTGGAGGCAAGTTGCATTACGGCCACCCGGATTTCCTGAATGCGCTGTATATGACAACCCGCGGCGGTGTTTCCAAGGCTCAAAAGGGTTTGCATCTCAACGAAGATATCTATGCTGGGATGAATGCTTTCGGTCGTGGAGGGCGTATCAAACACACCGAGTACTATCAATGCGGCAAGGGACGTGACCTTGGATTCGGAACTATTCTCAACTTCCAGACTAAGATCGGCACGGGAATGGGAGAGCAAATGTTGAGTCGCGAGTACTACTACATGGGCACACAACTCCCCATCGACCGTTTCCTGACGTTCTACTACAACCACCCTGGATTCCATATCAACAACATGTTGGTCATCTTGTCAGTTCAAGTCTTCATATTGACGAGTATGTGCACATTCGTTGTTATTCTATTTGCTAATGTTTTATAGTGGTTTTCCTGGGAACCTTGAACGAGTCGATCACGATTTGTCGTTACACTGGCTCAGGCCAGTTCAGGGCTGGTCAATCGGGTTGCTATAATCTGATCAATGTCTTTGGGTGGATTCGTCGCTGCATCATCAGTATTTTCTTGGTATTCATGATTTCGTTCTTGCCGTTGTTCTTACAAGGTATCTCTATTTCGGCCTTGACTGATAGTAGAGCGCTGACCTTGTTCTATTGCAGAGCTTGTTGAGCGTGGAACATGGAAGGCTGTCTCACGACTAGTCAAACAATTCGCATCGCTCTCGCCCATTTTCGAAGTTTTCTCCACTCAAATATACACTCACTCGATCTTGAGTAACTTGACATTCGGTGGAGCTCGCTACATTGCCACAGGACGAGGCTTTGCGACCAGCAGGATGCACTTCAGCACACTCTTCTCGCGCTTCGCTGGTCCTAGTATCTACCTTGGGATGCGGACATTGATAATGTTGCTCTACGTGACGTTGTCGATGTGGACGCCATACCTAATCTACTTCTGGGCTTCCATTCTCTCTCTGTGTGTCGCCCCGTTCCTCTTCAACCCGCATCAATTTGTCTTTTCGGAATGGGTCGTGGATTATCGGGAATTTTTGCGATGGATGATGAGGGGAAACTCCCGATCACATGTCAACTCATGGATTGGGTACTGTCGTTTGACGCGCACAATGATTACTGGCTACAAGAAGAAGAAACTCGGCCACCCATCGGAGAAACTTTCTGGAGACGTCCCGCGAGCTGGTTGGCGCGCCGTTTTGTGGACTGAAGTGCTCTTCCCCAGCGTCATGGCCGTCTTGTTCGTCATCGCATACATGTTCGTCAAGTCATTCCCAGTCGATGGGAAATTCCCGCCCAGCCCACTCGTCCGAATCCTCGTAATTTCTCTGGGGCCTATTGCTTGGAATGCGCTTGTTCTCCTGCTGCTTTTCCTTTGCTCTATCTCCCTCGGTCCGATGCTTGATTCTATGTTCCCGATGTTTGGCTCAGTCATAGCCTTCATCGCCCATGTGTTGGGAACTCTTGGGATGATTGCATTCTTTGAATTCTTCGTTAGTTTTTCTCTTCCTCTCTCTTGAAATGGCGACTGAATCCTTCTTTTAGTGGTTCCTGGAGCTATGGAATGTGTCACATGCTGTTTTGGGGCTGATTACCATTATCGCCATCCAGCGAGCCGTTCATAAGATTCTCATTTCCGTGTTCTTGTCTCGGGAATTCAAGCACGATGAGACCAATCGGGCGTGGTGGACCGGTCGATGGTACGGTAGGGGGCTGGGAACACATGTCATGTCGCAGCCTGCTCGGGAGTTTGTTGTCAAGATTATGGAACTCTCATTATGGAGTTCCGACCTCATTCTTGGACATATCCTGCTGCTCATGCTGACTCCACCTGTGTTGATCCCCTACTTCGACCGACTTCACAACACTATGTTGTGTGCGTTCTCTCCATTTTATTAATTTCTGATTTGACTCACCCAATATCAGTCTGGTTACGACCTTCAAAACAGATCCGCGCTCCTTTGTACTCCCTCAAGCAACGACGACAACGGCGGTGGATCGTATGCTATTTTCCTCGTCACCGCCCTGATAGCTAACTGTTACTTGTTCAGATCATCAAGTATGGTATCATCTATGTATTAGTCGTCGCCTTCATCGTCTGCCTCATTGCTCTGCGTATGTTAACCGTCCTTGGTTTTTGGGTCCTGTACTCACGTGATCTAGCTGTCGTTTTCCGCACCTCTCTTCATTTGGACTGTTCCATTTGTCAAAACTTATAACGGACTCTAATATCCCCTGATGTTGACGCTCATGACCAACCAGCATACAAACAAACATACTCCTATAGACACATCCACCCCACACGCACTCGTTTACTTGTTGTGGTGTTTTGGATTATTTTCATGGACGCATCCTAGTAGTAGGCTATCCCCCTTTGGATCATTTGATATCTCCTCTTGCGCATGAAGGACATTATGCAGTATAATAAATCCCGATATACGAAGCCAACAACTTGAACCCAACACGACCAGCTGACTCAGATCATCACGCGCAGGTGGTGGAGATCAAGTATTCGATGGGTACAGATGATCCAACTTCAGGCGAAGAAGATGTCCGTTTATGCACTAGCAGGGCTCTTGTTGTAGAGCGCCTGATGATGATAGTCCCTCAGTGCGTCATAGAATGTTCAACTTTCTCCAAACATGTGGAAGACCCGCAGGCATTGTTGTCTTCTCACTTGGCACCGTGGCGTCAAAACACCAGTGTCCGAGATGCAGTAGCAATGGGCCATACTGAGGCTTTACCTTATTGCCGCGCATGAGGCTTTACATACACTGGGAGACCGCCAAACGCAGAATCACTGCATGGTAACGCCCATACATGTGGAAGACGGAACCAGGTTCCGAGCGGCGCAGTTGTCCGAATGGTCCGAATCGGTACGCAAGCAACAAGCAAGAGAAACGCGACCAAAAATGGTATCTTTTTGGAACATGTGGGGAAACTCAGCCTGGGAAAAGCAATCATGACGCGTCTCTTGATTAGGGGTACCTTACCCATACAGTCAGGTAAAGAAGATAGAGCGCATGTCCCACAGTCGCCGATCCGACCTCAGGTAGATCGCTCAAAAGGGCAGTTGGTCTGCATTTTCATGGCTCGTAGTTTTGTCGCCGACCACAAACAATGAATTGTTTGCACAACCATCTTGTTCTCGAGTCGCGGTTTAGATTAGATGTCTGTGGACCAGGGCGGGAAGGACACCATCTTCCCCAACTGTTCCTCGGCAGACCGTTGGCTTGACTCCACGGCGCGCCGCCGTTGAACCTGGTGACCTCGAGTCCACCTTGAGTCTTTCGGACTGATACGGAGTCTTTCTTGTTGTTGCGTCGTTAATGACCCGAGTGTGGCCTGGGGATCAATGATCGACGATAGATGTTGAATGCAAAGTACTTGTGTTTTTTCACCAGCGCAGGACCAAGCAGATATAGACGTAGCAAGACAAGTGCTAGCCTTAGAGAACAGCCTGAGCCCCATACCCGGCACTTTCCCGGAAACACGGCACCGTGGAGGGCTGGTAGATGGAAAGCAGGTGAAAGAAACAACCAAGAAAGAAGCAGAAGACAATCATTGAATCGCAAGAAGACAATGGTTACGCAACTCATGTGACCATCAACTTGATCCAAGCTCAACCGACACACACATCGCACCAACACATGCTTGCACTACCATTCGGTCCTACCCTGACGGAAGGATGGATACTGGTCATGGGATGGTCCAACTACATCGTATAAAAACTCCAGGCGACAATCGTAGTAGACTCTGTCGAGTGGTTTTCCTCCAATCGTCTCAGCCATGAAGTCCTTCGCCGCCTTGCTCGCCTTTGTCGCCGTTGCTTCCGCGGACCGCGTTATCACGGTCTATAACGCATGCCCATTCACAGTCTGGTCAGTATCATTCTATCCGACCTGCTTTAGGCTCATTATTAACTTGCTCCTTAGGCCTGCGGTGAATAACGCGTTCCATTACTTTCAAGTTGATCTGACGAAATGATTCTCAGTTGTTCACCGACCCCAACAGTCCCGGTGGACGACCCGCCCAAGTCACGGGCTGGGAAGCAGGCAAATTCACTGCCGTCACCTTCAATGTTCCTGAGTATGTCGTTTTCGTTTTTGCTCTTGTCGAATGGCTCTGAGTAGAATAACAGGCGATGGAACGGCCGTATTTGGGGTCGCCGTAACTGCAACTTTGCCAACGGCAATACTGATCCCAATACTTCTTGTCTCGACGGCGGTTGCAATGGTGGATTGAAATGCGCCTTCATTGGCGGCACTGTAAGCCTTCTCTTCTCGCGATCCCAAAGAGTTGCTCATCGTAACCTTAGGGCGTCCCCCCGGCTACCGTCGCCGAGTTCAATCTGAATGCCGATGGTGTCGATTGGTATGATGGTATGTCTTCTGGTGTTCAACTTTTCCTGCGATGGTTTTAAATTCTCCTCAGTGTCTCTTGTCGATGGCTACAACCTTCCCATGCGCATCACCAACGATGTTGGCTGCCCCGCCCCCGACTGCCCTGTTGACCTCGGGCCAAACTGCCCCGCTGAACTCAAGGTAGATACCGCGCATTATCAGCTAACTTCAATTTCTTACCGCATTCAAGGGTCCGTTCGACAGCGTCGGTACGCGCAAATCTGGGGTGTCAAGAATCTTTTTTTCTGAGAAGCGACTTCTTTAGGTTTCCCTGTTGGCTGCAAGTCTGCCTGTGTCGTCGATTCCCTTGCCGGAAAGAATGCCCACAATCCCAACTGCTGCACTGACGAGTGAGCCCGCCGATTCAATCTGCCATTTATTTTTGCTTACAAGCATCTCAGGTTCTCAACTCCCGGAGCCTGCCCTCCCTCCGGCGTGCGCCACTACGACTACTTCAGTGCGTCATGATTTCCCCTCTGACCGATCATCTGACCCGCATTGCAGAGAGGAACTGCCCCAACTCGTACGCTTACGCCTACGACGAGAGCTCCGGCACGGCGCTCTGGACCTGCGCTGCCAACCGCCGCCCCCACTACACCATCACTCTCTGCCCTTGAAGCAGCAAATCGTTGGAGGAGCGGACACAATATTGAAATTTTGATGCCTTTCTTTTTACGATCTTGGAATGTCAATGTACCTGTATTTACGTTTGAACAATGGAAGACGATGTGCGCTCATGTGATCGTTATTCTCCAGCTTGGCTGCCTTGGGCATTTATTTGGTTGCTTCGTGACATTCAAATGCAATGACCTGTCAAGATAAGATAAGATGTGACAGGTTAATCGGAAAAACTTATCTATGACGCAATGAATTGCACACAGGGGCTATTGGGATTGGTTGGCGTTTTCTTCCGTGCCCTCCACGAGAGAGTCGCAACGAGAGCGGCGTGAATGCCGGTATTAGTTTCCTTACAACTGCCGGTAAATATAGCCCATGGAGGGACATATAGAACAAGACGTGGGTCAAACCAGCGGGAGTTGAGTAATGAGAATGCACTGAACAGGCAGTTGAACATGGAGACCACGGATGAGTAAGGACAAGAACAGAATCGAGTTTTGGGGCCGTTGCCATAGCAGAAGAGTGCCATTTTGACTTTGTGTGTTCTTGACAGCGTTGAAGAAAATGTTATTGGCAAGTTTGCAAGTTGGACCTTCACATTTGACAATGAAATAGGGCGTGAGACACAAACTGTTGTTGTGGTTGGAGATTTGCCTCAGGTTCCTTAGATTTTGTTGATCATACATGTCTCAGGACCATCGATAGAAGCCGAACTTCACGTGCACGTCGTTGCACTGGGGTGAGTAATAGCGAGTTATACGGACTGCACGGCGCACAAGAGCGGTGATAAGTTTCCACGTGTGGTAGACCCGCGCCGCAGAATTAACACTCGACGACATCGGTAAACGCGCCATCTGCCACAGGCCCACGAGGCAAGCAATCGATGCGTGGATTTCTGCCGATTTTTCCTTGCAGGAGGCGCTGGAAAAACAGTGTGGACTGGGATAGGAGATGTGGGTGCGCAACAGGAAGGACAATATGACAGAGAAGTAGGCCAAATCGGTGTAGGACAAAGGGACATAGAGTGGATGTTTTTTGATCCAAATGATGTAACTGGTCATGGCCGGCTTCTCGGACCAAAACAACACCCTTACTCGCAACCCATTTTTTTCCTTCTTCCTGACCTCCACCACGATGGCAGCGCTCGTACCGCTAGCCATCATCACACTCCTTGCTACTGCTTCCCTCTCAGCCCCCGCCACGGCCCTCTTTCGGGCTACCCGACGCGCTCAGCCAGAGCATCCCCCGGTTGAAGACAACGCTGAACCTTCACTCGACAGTCAACTTCAGCCAAACGACGCGCCCATAGTGGAGCCAAGTAAGTATTTGGATGCATTTAGACCCATGGTATTGAGAGAATGTTGTAGGAAGCATTCTTGCTGCTCTGTTGGGCCACGCTGCCGCTGTCGTTCTCGCGTCAATCCGTCTGACGACGCCGACTACCATCTCCCAACCCCTTCCAGCCTCTGACGAGCCCCAGAAGACGCGTGTTTCTATTGCACAAGATGGAGAAAGCGTCAGCGTCGAGACTATGTTGGCATCACAAGCCAACGACCAAGTCCAAGTTCGTCCTGACACTCCTCGGCCATTAGATACCGCCAATCCTCCTCCTCTTCCCGCTACCTTTCCTGTGTTTGCGCCTGTCGTCGGCCCGACGCTGACGACAGCGCCCAGCCGACGTTCCGTGTTGCAGCCTTCCCCATCACATCATGGTGTACAGCTCTGGCCACCACATGTCGGGCAACGAAATCTTCCGCCGTATTCAGTCGATATGAACATCTCTTGGGAAGAGATATGGCCATCACCCCGCCAGACTCTTGGGAATTCAGCTAAGACAATGTCAACCAATAGTATGACACTTGTCTGGTCAGACCCACCCACCCGTCAATTCGTCCCCAAAGACGAAAACGACGATGACGATAATACTTGTGGCTCCTCATCAGATATGGACTCAGACAGTGATATGGAGGACGCGTTTGATCTTGTTCAGCGACTGGACGACGACGACCTCATTTCTGCCCTTCAAGCACTCTCTCTCTCTGAAATCACTGCAGCCAAGACCAAGCCACAATTATCTTCGGCCCAAATTCAGGCATTCCTCGCATCTCTGCCTCCCGCAGGCATTTCGCCTTTCTGTCCCCCACCGACACCAACGCCGCCCCCGCCTCAGCCAGCTTCAACCACGGTTACGTGGAGGCTGGACTGGTGTTGACCCACTGAGGTTTCGCAAGTCGACAGGACTCTGTGCATTCACTCCCTTCGTCATTCACTCTCAATTCAACGCAAACACACGTCACACAGACTCTTTTTCCCTGTGCATTTACATTCTTCACTCTCCGCATCATCTCGCACTCACATCGCCGCACCGCAATCCGTCCCCATCCAAAAACCAAGTACTGTACCTCGCTGTATACTCGTTGACCTGCATTCTCCTCGCATAGATTAAGTAGGGTACTTGTAATTTTTCGGTTCCGTCTAATCAGCAAGTGGTTGGAAAATCGAATCATCAGAAGACATCGACTATGACCTTGTGAGCTTCGATACGACGACTTGTTTGCCTGCTTCCTGGTCAACGCGGCCATGAGCTGCAAAATCAGGGTCCTGGTCTTCGACCTACCAAAAACTGCCTGACAGTCAATCTACGGGCTTCTTGAGCATGAGGGTCGACGAAGCTATCGATTCCGCTCTTCCGCTTTCAAACAGCACAATCGCGGGTGTGCCTTGTGGTTGACCGGCGACTGACTAGAGGTGTGACAGCTCTGAGCTATTTGAGAGTTCGAGACGAGAAGCGGAGATAATTCGAGTGTTCAGGTAGACCCAGTGTGAGTTCAAGGTACCAGATGCGTATGGAGTTTCATGGAGCGCCAATCAACGGCGTAGCTTGGACTATCATGGCTCGTCGCAAGGAGATCACATTTCCCCGTGTCTGAGTCGTACAGCACACCCGACTCTGCGATTCGGGGTCAGGGCTGCGGGCTAGCCAGAAGATGAAGCAGGGCTTCCGAGGGCAGAAGGCTGTTAACCAATGAGCGGACGAATCATTCGAAATAGCCCCAAAAACTCACATCGAGGATTTATACGTCATGTTGTATGTTTTCGCTCTGTTTGCACTCTGAATCGTTTTAAGGGCATCTCAGCCAAACTAGAATTTGAGGGCGGGCAGAGGTGAGTACGAGAACAACAACTAGTCAGGCGTTGTGGAGAGGCCTTCTGTTTCGTGAATCGGAGGAACGGAGAGGGGTAGTGGCTAATAGTTGTCTAGGTGTCCTCTGGGAATTATCTTGACTGTCATGCGAAGAACTGGGAGACACTTGTGAGAGGGAAGCAATACTTGGCTTCGTGCTTGTTGCTGACCGGAAACCGATGAGGCCCATCTCGAGCATAAATAGGAGGTGGTATAGCGGAATGAAGTTAGTCACTACATGAGCGAGCTGACTGCAGATATTATGATAGAACAAAGAAGGAAGGATACAAGCACTGTGGCATTATAAGCAGCGGCGGCGAGAGTTGCGTTCATCACTTTGAGGAAGTTCATTCCCAGATGCATAGACAATTTGCTCGTATCTTGAACCCAGTTACAATCTACGGAATCAAGTTGGTTCGCCTCACGTGCTCCGACGTCATCACCTCCTCACTCATCCTCACACCATGCTCTCCATTGCGCGACGCTCACTCCGCCCTTCACTGGCGCGGTCTTTATTAGCCCCGGCGCTGACATCCTCCTTACATACGCTTCCGGAGCTCCCTTATGCTTACAACGTGCGCTTTTAGTGACACTCTTCGAACGCGTCTGACTTGTTTTGCTCAGGCTCTCGAGCCGTACATCTCCGAAGAGATTATGACTCTGCATCACAAGAAACACCACCAAACCTATGTCACAGGGCTTAACGCTGCGGAAGAGGCGTACAGCAAGCTCACCGGGGACTCTGCCGCCATAACCAAAGAGAAGATTGGGCTCCAGGCGGCGCTCAAATTCAACGGCGGTGGTAGGCAGTCTTGTCCAGGATGTGCATAACAGTGTTGACGGCTTTGTCATTAGGACACATCAACCATTCGCTCTTCTGGAAGAACCTCGCGCCGGCTGGTCAAGATGGCGGTAAAATCTCAGACGGACCGCTCAAGGCCGCCATTGAGCGCGATTTTGGCTCGGTGGAGGAGTTCAAGAAGACCTTCAATGCGAAGACCGCCGCCATCCAGGGCAGTGGCTGGGGCTGGTTGGTATGTCTTGCTTTCCTTCATTCATCCGGGCGCTGACCGAACACACTATTTCAGGGTTACAGCTCCGCGCTGAAGAAGCTCGAGATCGTCACGACGGCAAACCAGGACCCCCTCATAAGTTCGTGCCCTCCATACGGCCGGTCACCGCTTCCTTTTAACGAGCTATATAGCACACACCCCGATCATTGGCGTTGATATTTGGGAGCATGTACGTCCTTTTGCCTTCATCCATCTGATTCTTTGGTTTTAACACGCTACTCAGGCTTTCTATCTCCAGGCAAGCACACTTGACTGCTCGTACTGTTCTTACTAACAGCCCTCTCAAGTACAAGAACGTCAAGCCCGATGTATGTCTTCATTTCCAGGCCATGCTTCAATAATTGGCTCATCTCGGCCTTAGTATCTGAATGCTATTTGGAATGTCATCAACTTCAAAGAGGCGGAGAAACGTTTAGTAGAGGTGACCAATTAGTACATTTCAGTCACGAAAAACATTTGTTTCAGCAAATAACAATGCACAAGCCATGGTTAAGTACGTTGTACACTAATGATTGGTCTTCCAGATTGTGATAGTAAGGTAAATAAGAGGGCAATGGAGAGAACGAGCGCAAATCTTGAACGGAAGAGTGGTCTAATCTTCGTCATAATCACTCCCATCTGCATCGGAGAGGATTCTGTCGGGAACGCGCTCAGTCGTGAACGGCGAGCTGAGGATGGTCGGCCGTTCTTTCCGCTTGCGTTTCCGTTCTGTTTCGCGGACATTGACTCGAACGCCATACCGTGCGAGATGCTGGACAGTGGTCGGTCAACAAAGCAGGAGAAATTGAAAGACTAACTTTCGTCAAATCAGTGCTTCTTCCCAGCGGTGGGACTTCCTTTGATGAATAGATTCGGAATATCTGCCCGAAGCAGTCTGCTTGGATGGGCTGGTTGGTGTGGCCACTTGGTTTCGAGTAGATGTCGAAAAATCGGTATCTGGCGAGAGAGTGATTGAGAAGCGTATAACAAGGGATAAGGGGCTTACTGAAGTAGGAAGTACCCTTCGCTCTTCACCGCAAGGTCCTGCCAAACAAGGCAATTAGCCTGCCAGGAACCAGAGGACGAAAAAAGAAAATTATGGCGCACGGCGAATGTAAATAGCAATGATGTTTTCCCCTTCCACGGTATAGGATCGACCTGGACAAAAGTGGTGCCTGCAAGGGCGGTTGTAGCCTTGGATGTCGTGGGAGACGAGGCCACTGGATAATGACTATTATGGTCTGGCACAGAGCGAAACGTATATGTTCCGTCCGGCGCTGGTGCGGCCGGGTAATAGCTTGGCGATGCTGGCGGCGACACCTCAGGTGACGGCGGCGGGACGGGGATGAGGTCCACAGTACACATGAGGCCTAGAATGTGAATATTACTGGGAATGTATGAGCTTTACATCGCCAGAAAGCGCAATAGGTCGCACTCATAGTCTAGCTCTTGCTCCGTCTGTGCGGCTGTACCAGGATTGAAGACCTCATAAAGCCGGAGGCAGGCAACTGGAATTCGTATATCAGCCCAGACCAGAACCACTGAGCTTTTCGGGACCTGGAGGAGGATCTAGCGGTCTCCGATCAACTTTGGCATACCTAAGAGCGGTGGGTTGAATAAAATTTCTCAATAGAAGTGAGAGGCAACACGTACTTGCGTCCAAACGCGGCAGCTTGTATTTCGTCCAAGGTAGCGCGGATAGTCCTACCAGCGAATTGTCCTTCAGTAAAATAGATCGGTCTGCCTATAAGGCTCTCTGGACCAGGCTGATGGCTCAGGTCAAAGTGATGATGCATTTCGCCAGCGTGTTGGGCTCTGGAAGGACCGGCAATCGCGAGCGAAGGGATGGCGCCGTTTTGTGGGAGGTGGGATAGTTGATGAAACCCCGCGCCATATGATTGGGAATACATTTCCGACCGAGCAAAGTTTAGTGTGGATGGTGGTGGAGGAGGGGAGCAAGAGACGACAGTTTCGTGAGTTTTAGCCGCACACAGATTTTCAAGTCGTTGCTGGTAGTTATCGATGGAGCCAAGGCTGAGCGCGTGTAGTTTTGGTCTTTTTATAACAAGTTGAGTGAAGAACTGGTGGCAAGATCGCGGTTATCTGGCAGTTCTGGGAAACAGCGAGCACTCAACGAAGGAAGAATCCAGGATGAAAGGCACGAAGCCGTTGCCGAAGCTGAGCCTAGTTAGCACCTTGAGGTCATCAGCATCCGTCAGAGTCGATGAATGGCCCGAATCGCCGCAGGACTCAAGTGGGAGTTAACAGAAGGAATCATCCTGATGGGTATGTGACATAAGCTTATCTCATCCTCATGTCTGTCGCGTTTTCTCTCTCTCTGACAAGATACCTGCAGAAACTGCTGTCGTATAGCCATATGATTTTGCCCACGGTATGATCGGCCAAATAATCGGGGAAAGAAAAGTGGGTGCGCATTCGACACCGCGAATATAGGCAAAGAAACAAAGATATCTTACCATCGACGTGCATCTCCCGCGAGACCGACAATCGGATCTTCGAGCCGTCAGTACAAAGACTGCCGTCAGACAGCTTCAAATGTCGAATAGGGAATTGTGTTTGTAAGTTGCAAAAGTGCCGATTGACTTTACTCCCGGGAGAAGAATAGTGACAAATATGCTAGCAAAGAGATACATTCAGAAGCTTTGTTACGCTGTTGAGAGTTCATACCGAAGGGATTCCTCGGGATCAAGTAAGTGAGAGAGAAGCCATCCACAGGTCGCCGATCAGGACTTGGTCTAGTAATAGCTACCGCCTGGAAATTTTCATGAATCGATTCGTTCTATTTCGCGTGTTTCGAAGAGCCCGAATACGTTTGGAGTCGTGGCACATTATCATCCGTGCGGCGATTATGGAGGGGTGCCTTTAGAAGTCTGTTCCGTTGCAAACGGAAGTCAGCATCTACATTCTGGCAGAGCCTCGCCCTAAATGAGCAAGCAAAACAAAACGACTCCTATGCAAGAGTAGGAAGTACGGCCATGAGCCAGCAGAAGAAAGCGTTTTCAGCACAAGTGAAAGGAACGGATCGTGTGACACAGAGTGCAGTGGCAATGGGCGTGGCAACCGTTTTCATCAATCCGCTCCCAGACAAATCACTTGGAGGCTGAATTATACGCGTGAGTGAGAGAGATGAAGCAGATTTCTAGGGCTTACTGGGTTTGTGAATGCATGTGCTAGAAGGGACCTCTCAACCATCCAGTCATAGTCCTTCTAATAGGACGGACTTTGTTGCCTGGAGCAGTGAGGGCTACATGTGTCGGGCTCGTAAGCAGCACAAGGGTAGTGGCCCAGAAGAGTCACGAGAAGCAACCAATGCATGACATTTTATGCTTTTCAGTTGCTTCATCGCAATGGATGTCAGGAACAAGTTATGTCGCGTGACGTCACAGCACGTGCGGCTCAACCTTCCCTCTCACTACTTCTCCACAAGCATCTGGTTGACGATGACATATCCTTGCAATCCTGAGTCCTGACAGTAAATGATCCGCGCCTTACTAGCCCGCAAAGCTGTAAAACAGCTCTTCGCCTTCCTCGCCAACAACCTGGAATTTGGCGTGATTCCCTGGCTTCCGTTAACGAGCTGAGGCCTGACCAAACTTCCGCCACACATGACAACTACACCGAGCGAAAGAGAGCTGAAAAACCCACCACGGCTGTTCCTTGCTCGTAGAGACTACGGTGTGCTGATACCTAGGTTCAAGCTTCCTCCTGCTTCCGTTACTTTCGCATAGTTAGACATTGCGGCAGACTACACGAGACTCAATACTCAAAGCCTCTAATCTTCTGTTGAATGACAATCTTTCAAGGACTGAAGTCTCGGCGTTTTCATGATTCGTCGACGCGTTTCTCCGAAGAAGTCTCGCACTACGATGTCTAATATCTTGAATGGGGTTTGAACAGAGATGATATAGCAATTGTCACTCCCGTACAGGCCGCCTCGAATCCCCGGACTGCGGTGGCTCGCAGCCTGAGCTAGCTCGCGAACCACGGCCGCTGCAGTGGATACACATCTAGTAATGGCCAGTCCATGCATCCCTTATTTCCGTATGTCGACGGAACAGTGCTCCTTATCGAGTTAATTCTCCCGAATCGACTCCGCCATAGCTAAAACTGATTGGAATGGCATAGGATAGGTTTAAGCACGATCCCACCTACCTCCAGGAGTGCAATGAAGGAAAGCCAACAGACACCTTCTCAGATTGATGGTGGCCCCGCTGAGTGGATAAACGGTCCGTGGCAACTATGAGTTTTTCGTACATGTAGTACACAGATAACAGGTTTTATTAGTAAATGCCCGATAAAGAAAAGACGTCTAGAAAATACATGTGCATAACGCCTGATAGCTATGGGCTAACAGGCCATAACTTTGCTCCTCGTTGTTGTTGTTTGATGGGTATATGAGGTATATGTAGCTTATGGGAAGAATTGACGGCCCAAATCGAGGATTTGAGCATGTTTCTCGGACCAGATGTAGTCAACGAGGAACCCAGCCCAGATGAGGCCCCCAAGGTTGATGCCGTTCTGGTGAAACTGCCGCCTAGGTTTCAGTAAGCGAAAAGATGTCGTAACAGGACGTACCGCAGCGATGCAACTGGCGGGGGAGTTAGGGTCCAATTTGTATAATTGAGCGGCAAGATGCAGAGCGGCAGCCCCGACGCTTATGGAAAAGAACGGGAGGGCCTGGTGGTTGAGCAGGCCAGCGATCGCGATGGCACTGAGCATGATGGAAGCAAAAAATGCGAGAACAAGCTTGATCGAATTGCCGAAGAGTAGAGCAGTCGACTTAACCCCGGCCTTGACGTCGTCTTTTTTGTCCTGGCATGCGTAGATAGTGTCGTACCAGATCGTCCACGCCCATGTTCCGCCCATGAGAACGAATGCACTTGTGGGTATGTTACCCGTGATGAATGCCCAAGCCATGAGAACACCTGCATTCATGGAGATTCCTAGCACAAGATTTCAGACTGAAGGCGGATATCAAGTGCATGATGCGCACCGAGCCATGCTTGTGGCCAGTATGTGATGCGCTTCATAAGCGGATAAAATCCGGCCAAGGGAAACATAGTCGTTAGCGCGATCCGCCAGCTATGTCCCAGTCAGTTGAATAAAGAAAATGATAGGACAAATCACACACGCAAGCTCGTTGACGTCCCGCACCATCCACAACATGATAGCCAGATGGCTCCAAAGGAATATGACTGCAGCGCGAACGCTAATTTTACCGGACGCAATCGGCCGCTTTTTTGTGCGCTCTTCGACGGCATGAGCAGGAGGAAATGCCTGAAAAAGTTGACAAACCGACTTGACGATCGAAGTCCCGGTCGAGGATATCATTCCACACACAACCAGCACCTGAGCGGTGTAAAAAATAGGTAAGCCAGGCAAGGCGGCATACTATGCGACAAGGCGGCGCCAATGTAGCCACATATGAGCAAGTAAAAGAATCGATCCACCGGCAGTTGAGCCGTGCGTGCAGTCATGGTCAGTGACCAAGCTGCCAAAAGACGAAGTGAGTGGCCGGCGAGGCTGGAGCAGTGGGCAACACACCATATGGCCAGAACACCAGCATCGCTCCTGAGTAAAATTTTACACGAGTGAGGCTTATCTGAGGATGTTGGTGATTCAGCCCGACATCGAGAAAGGATCTGGACAGACCCATGGCTGGAAGCTAGCCGCGATTGTGTGCGACCACGAAATGGACTTCAGATTCGCAGGGGAGGGAGCTGCTGCGTTTGGGGGGAGGGCTATGGAGGCGACGGCATCGGCGGACATGACTTCGAAAGATGCAGGGGGGCGGTAACAGTCATCCTTGGTGTTTTATTTCCTTGCTCATGCAAGAATTTGCGCTTGACGCAGAAGTGGTTTGGAGCAACATGGTTCGTTGGTTTGGCATCAATTGATCTGCATTGCCATGCCGGCTTGATTTGCAAATTGCTCTTTTTGGAGACCGGCGTGTCGCTTAAGAACAAGTTACTGCAACTGAGAATAAGTAGCTTGAGGGCCACCGGGGCAGCCCAAATTTTATCATCTGAAGCTCGAGGTTGGTCATGTCTAAGAATATGTCGAGACTAGTATGATTGGTTAGCTGCTTCCGGCCTTGCAACAAAAATCATAGAAAACCTATCAAACACGACTTGAATGAACATCCGCGGCTGAAGGGAGATAGATACTTGCTGTTGGCGGCTCAGGGCGGCGAGGGTCCATGTGAGATGGATCTCCCGGTATCCTAGATTCTGCATTGATGAGTAACGAATATCCAACATAAGTGCATAATGTTTGTTTTGAAAAGTCTTGACTAGAAGTTTAAAGCAAGTCTATCAAGTCACATGTCACGTTACAGTCGTTCAAGCTATTCCTGAGTCGCTTGCGCACAGACTCCCCGTCGTTATAAATACTTTCAGATGTGGTTCCAAATGTCCGATTCAGATTCAAGTTGTGGCAACAAAATCGGTTTCGGGCCGTCCAAGTTAGCATATGGACACGTATACGTCAATCTCATCTTTTAGAAGTTGAAAAAAGCGTCAGAATAAGGAGCGAGCAGCTGGCGCTGCTTTCAACGTGTGTATGTTTTCGACCATAAACACTACTTACTAGCTACTCTGATCCAAGTCGGGAGACTCGGACGTCAAGGAGACGTTGACCGCCGTAGTTTCTTACTAATCATGATTCCTTACTCAAAATCGAGAGAACTGGTGGCGTAGAAGTAACATGCGCCGAGTTCTCAAGCAAGTGAGCACATGTTGAATATTCCTAAGTAATCGATTTCCGGATTTTGCAAATTGTTGGCAACAGTTGGCTAGTGATGGTGACCGTTGACTTGTTACGCGAGATGATCTCGATCATCATTTTGCACCCAAACAGCGAAATGCTTGTTCTGAACATTGGAATCCTCCCCCGTTCTCGATGCAAGATATTTTCTCGCGGACGACTGCTACGGCCCTTGCGATACCCGTTGCCGCCTATATTGTCGTTCGCTTCTTCCGCCCTCGCCCCCCGCTACCTCCGGGCCCTCGTGGATGGCCAGTCATCGGAAACTTGCTCGACATGCCCAAGGAAGACGCATGGGTTCACTGGATCTCCCACAAAGAGACCTACGGTGTGTATCCAGTGGCCCAAACAAGCGTCTCTAATCGTGTTTTCAAGGCCCAATAAGCTCTCTGACCGTTCTGGGGTCAACTATCATCATCATTAGCGACATGCAAACCACATTCGACTTACTCGACAAACGCTCTAACATCTATTCCGGCCGCCCAACCTTCACATTTGCCGGCGATATGTGAGCCTCATTCCTTCGCTGGGTCATTGGCTCAATCCCTCAGGATTGGTTGGGATAAACAGCTCATTCTTTCGCAATACGGCGAGCGGTTCAGAGCAATGCGTCTGCTTTTGAAGGGATTTGTGGGCTCCAAGGCGGCTATCGTGCCCTTCCAGGCGACCCAGGAGATCGAGACGCGTTATTTCTTGGCCCGTCTGCTTGAAAAGCCGGAGACGCTAATCGCGAATATCCGTTTGTGAGTAGAGTCTCTCCACATTTTGGACGAGTACATGACCACTCCTTCAGAACTGCAAGTGCCCTGAGCTTGCAAATGTCACATGGCTATCGTATCGAAACAGAAAAGGTGGACCCTCTCATCGACCTCGTCGAGACGGCTGCGAAAGAGTTCTATATTGCCACATATCCCGGTCGTTGGATCGTTGACGCTATGCCGTTCTGTACGTCAAATGCCCCTTATTTTTCTTCTCTCAGTATCTTTGTAGTGAGATACCTCCCGAGCTGGCTCCCTGGAATGGGCTGGAAAAAAACCGCGTCGATCTACAAGGAACACAACTACGCACAAGTCACTAGACCACACGAATTTGTAAAGCGTCAACTTGTTTGTCTTTCTTCGGCCTCCTCGTTTCAAAGATACTACTCCAGTTCTAGGCTGAAGGGTCGGCAAGAACGTCTTTTACCGCGGATGTTCTTAAACGGGATCCTGACGCTACAACGGAGGATGCCTTGATGTGGGCTGCGACGGCTATCTATGGCGGAGGCTCGGACCCTTCTTCTGCTGTGCTCGGCGCGTTTTTCCTCATCATGCTCCTCCATCCAGAGGCCCACGACAAAGCACAAGCCGAAATCGACTCTATCGTTGGAAAGGACCGGCTACCCACATTCTCTGACCGAGAACATCTCCCCTACATTGAGGCGTTGATGAAAGAACTCCTCCGCTGGCATCCTGTCGGTCGCTTATGTTCGCCCACATTGCTTTTTTCACGACCACGTGATCTGATATAACGCGCCAGGTATCCCGCATCGAGCCTTGGAGGACGATATATTCAACGGATACTTCATTCCAAAGGGATCTATCATTCTCCCACATATGTGGTATGTGCTGCGTGCCGTCTCTGATTTGAATGACATGGTTATAGGCAAATGTCGCGCGATACCAAATACTATACCGACCCCGAGGCGTTCCGACCGGAGCGGTTCTTGGGTGCTAATCCTGAACTAGACCCAAATGTTTATATGTTTGGTTTCGGACGGCGGTATGTCGATCTGCATGGATCTACGCGCCACTGAACTCGGGGTCTAGTGCGTGTCCGGGACAAGACTTCGCCAATGCTATTGTCTATCTGACTATTGTCATGACGTTGTCGGTGTACAACGTGCGAAAGGCCAAGCGGGAGGATGGGACAGAGATCGAGCCAGAGGTCAAGTGGGGAACGGGCACTGTGGCGTACGTCGTTTTTGCTCTTATGCATGGTAAAGGTACTCATCTCGTCTTCACAGTCACCCTGGACCTTTTGAGTATAGTATAACGCCACGATCTCCCGAGGCCGTTGCGCTCATCACCTCCGTGTACGACGAATATCCATACCCCCCCAGCGACGGGCCCAAATTGTTGTAACGTTGATTACTAATGAGCTAATTTTATATCTTTTGCTACCAATGATGCTTCCTTAGCGCAAGATACAGAGACATACTGACAGAGGTTGGGATCGAACATCACGTTCTTCCACTTTCAATGTTCATCAGAATAAGCTGGCGGGCGTCGACGATCGAGGTGCATCGTCGTGCGGTGGATGATACCATCCGTCCACCAATTTGAATTTTCTGCCCAAGAGGCCGTAGCCATCCAGCTTCGATTGATGACAGCACCTGATACTGCAAAAAGCCAGATAGCATATCTGCGGGTTTGATGAGGCGCTATCGCGGTTTGATTTGGCTAAATCCAGTCTGTGTGCCTAGTCCAGAGACTTCTGCTTCCCGAGGTACCATCGACTACGTTCCAAGCCCATGCCTAACAAAAAAAAATTAGGTCTATGATAGGTATGACAAGTAAATCTACAATGTGATAGTGATAAGAATACAGATGAATAAGTATTGAGCAGCAAGAAATAAACGAGCGCGGTCAAAGCTTGAAAGCGAGTTCTTCAGCTTCGAGTTGGTATCCTTGGGTATTCCACCATCGCGTGGCCTCGGCCTCAGCATCGTATCCGAATTGAATCTGGTTCTTTCTTTGGTCTGCCCAGACGTTCGCGTTCCCAACGGACCGACTGGGGTCTAAAGTTGACATCGACACCCCCTTGCGTGCCTCTCGCAACGAGTCTTCCATGCCCTCACGCATAGAAATGTCGCGCGCCACTTGTTCTATTGCCTCGGGTTAGTGGACGGTACTATGCCACGGTGTGGAAGAGCGCACCAGGTCCATCAGGGAGATGGAATATCTTCTGATTCGCACGTGCCGCAAGCTGTGTTTCGGTGGTGCGTGGATAGCGTTGAGCTTGGTAAGCTTCGAGCAGAGGGCGAATTTGGCGGCGGGAGGATATATGCGAGAAGAGAATACCGAGATAGGCTGAGTCTTCGATCTTTGGAATTGAACATCAGTTCACGTGGACGGATCTGAAGAGTAAGAGAAACTTACCGCCATGGCGGCGCCTTGGGCTCGGTATGGCTATTCACTCGCATCAACAATATGTGCACGCGAGAGAAACGCAAACGTACAAGCATCGGATGGCAGGCGTCTCCAAGGAGCGCTATAGGGGCAGTAGGATGGACCCAAGTATCGAGCGGATCCCGGTCCAGTAATGGCCAAATCAGTGTGTGTGAAACAAGCGAAAGGAGCTTCTCGACTCTATGGAAAATGAGTTTGTACATGAAGCAGGAACAATGAATTTTAATTTACCGAGGTTCCCAACCAGCGTAGTCGGCACGCATCTGCTCTACAGAGCCTGGAACGTCATAGGCTTCTCCTGCTTGGATACCGCGATCAGGATGGAGCATAACGAGGTTATACTCTTTCTTGTTGCGCTACAAGGGGTATCAGGAATTCAATTCGGGGTGAATTAGGGCTAGAACTGACAAGGCAATAGGCCATAACGTGTCGTCCAGGCCCAATCCAGCCGGTCATCTCCGCACAGTCAACGAGCGGTTTCAGTTCAGGGTCTTGGAGCATTACTGACGTCGGGATGATTGCTCGGTAGGCTGCATCGCCTGTGGGAATCGGCTTGTCTGGTCTCCCAACGACGACCTCGCGGACCATACTCTTTACACCATCCGCCCCAAGAATGATGTCGGCGGAGAAAGACGCGCCGGATGCCAAGCTAACACAACAACGGTCTGCATCCACCTTGACGACACGTGAATTGAGGAAGAGGGTCATGTATGGCGCTGCGAGTTTGTAAAGCATGTTGAGCAGGTCGGCTCGCTGATGCTTCGGCGTCAGAACGTGCCAAACAAAGGCAGAGGGGGAGCACGCACATGGAGGTGACAGTATGGCGCACCATAGTCATTATCCATCGTGGTTCCCCACTTAGTCCAGCCTACGCGTCTACCCGTTTTATCTAATACTATCAGTCAGCTGGTCTGAATTGATAACGCATGCGCGTACATCGACGAAAGGTGATTGCTTGTGGTTTGACCATCGCGGCGCGCAACTCTTCACCCAAGCCCCATCGAATAAGTAGGCGGCTAACATTGGGACTAATCTGGAGCGAATTCGATGAATAATGCGACTTGTAAAGCTCACAAAAACTTACTTGGATGCCAGCACCAACCTCCACTAGCTTTGCCGCCCCCTCAAATACGGTTACTCGGTGTCCAGCTCGCCCTAAAGAGTACGCTGCAGCGAGTCCCCCGAGCCCGCAACCGACGATGATGAAGTGTAGAGGAATGAAGTTCGGGATGTGATGAATGGGTAACGCCAACTTGGATGGCCCCACCGTAACCGTAGGGCGTTGCGGGTCTGTTGGCCATTCGACCTTCAAAACATCTCGTCAAGTTTCAAAAGCTAAAATAGACAAACACTCACAGTAGGAACCGAGGCCGCCATGAAATGTACAGGGTATAAGGGACCTGTGAGGCCGAAGAGAAGGGTATTTAAAGAGGCAGCTCAGTCTGGGGTTGAGCGGCCGAACATTGCTTAAGTATGGCCTTGGACACCTCCCGTTTAAGAATTTGAGTGATGATGGTAAGATCTGAGCGGAGATTGGCAAGCGACTGGGGATGTCTGAAATTCTGGCATAAAACTACTAACACAGCAATACGATGCGTTCCGAAAGCTGGCCACGTACCGAGGTAAGAGACTATAGACCTATCGAGCTTAATGCAAGAGATGAAAGCCAGCCCGCTGGCCTTTGTTTAGGACGAGTGACGGGGACAAGGAACAGGCAAACTCGCAAGCGAATCATACTTTGATGCATCGAGCATCAGATGATCCGTATTATCAAGTGATGAACGCCCATGTGCGTCATCAAACACAGTCCTTGCAATGGTCCGCGTCGCCATCCATATTCACGGTTTGGCTAATGGCTACAGCTGTTGAAATTAATCGATGCTGAGGGAAAATGCAAGCCAATATATAACGCCGGCTAGTACGAATAGCACTTGGAGTTGGACCCATTCTAATCAGCTGTCGCTTAGGCAATCATGGGGGATCAAAGGCCCGATAGCGCCGGAACCGCCACAACGTGAGCCGACGCAAGCCAGCATGTTGCAGGAAGCCAATCAATGATTGACGGACGAGCCAAGCGATGAGCCGGTTTGTGGTCGCTGGTTTTTGAATGCACGTGGCTCATCACTACAGCAACTTGAACGTACGGATGCAAATCCCAACATTGACACGCATGTGGTCAGATACCACCCTGGCCTTATTGCCTCTCTCAGTTCTGATCGTCGATCTGGGTTTGGCGGCGATGCGAAGATCCCAGCTTTCCAGTGTCATCAGAACTCAGTTTAATCCCACTCACTACTAGCCAAGTGTGAGCCGCTTGCAACAACTAGACCTCTGATAGAATTTTTGTGAATGCATGCAGGTCGATTACACAAATACTTGATGCAAACAAGGTAAGGAACTTGGTTGGCAAACGGTATGGCTTGAAGTGTGGAGCAGCTCAAGTTGTGGCAAGAAACGTTGTTCGATCAGGTCCCAGTGGCTGTCAATGTAAGCAGCGGCGGCATCCAGCGTGATGGAAGCCATAGCTTGGAGCCAAATATTACTTGGTGTGTGTGCCAGACGTTCATGGCGGCGTGGATGGTCTTAGACTGTCAAGATAGATCGCGACACCTAGCTTGATTTTGTTGGGGGGCTATACGTCGAGATTTCACCAGAGAAGAAGAATGCATATGTCGAAGCGTGTCCTCTTGGAAAGCTTGAATGATATTTCAAACAGTCCTGACGAGCGTCAGATGCCACCAGATGATACCAGATTTATGGATGAACTTGCAATTGGCTCGTATTTGCGCACTGCCTGATAATCCTCAGGCTGGTCGATTTGGTTCCCTATCTGAGTCTTAGGTATGAATGCAGGTCTAGAACTTGCTTATCTTCATCGTCGAGTTGAACAAGAGCAGACATCAATCGTGAGAAACCAGCGCAGGGAGAGCCATTCTCACCCAACTTCATCCGCCAAAGAGTTTTGCTTGATTCAGAGCGCAAGACAACGAATAGATCTTCAACAAACTACCCAAGCCGGCACCCAAGAAGCGAGCGTGGAGTCTGTCCAAGATGTTCATGATATAAATGGGCATTTTTACTTGTGGGGCGGCTATAACATTCCAGATAAGACGACACTACGGTATGAGTGCATGCGTCACGGGATAAGAGAGCATGAGAGCAAGCAGGATTGAATTACTATACGATGGATGGAGAGGCAGCGATGGAATGCCAGAATGGAGTGGAAAGATGGTCTAGTGTGTTTTGCGAGTCTTCTACGCGACGTACGCAAATGTGTCCTTGCTCCCATCAACACGCTCGATGTACTCCTTCTCGAGTAGCGTCTCTATCGCCTTCTTGATATCTGGAATCTTGGGGGCGAAACGCTGGGATATTTGCGAGATAACCTCCTGAATTAGCGCCTGGTTTTTCATCGTCTTGCGCGCCTTCATGATGCGGACAATTGTGGCTTGGATGACGTACTTGCGGTCCTCGTCGACCGCTTTCCGGACCTCGCTCTCCTCAGCCTTGACCTCAGCCTTGATCGGCATGTTCAGGTTGACTCGTATCTTTTTCGATTTGAAGCCTACAAATTTTAAAAGCTGAAAACTCGTGGAAAAGGCCGAGACATACCTGGGTTCAGGTCGTATTGATCCTTCTCCTCATTCACCAGTACTTTGGCTTTGGTCAACAGTCCCAACACCTGACTCAAGATCTCGTCACTGATTTTCGTTGCCGCCTGCAGCTCTTGCAGACTGAGCGTGTCATTCCGGTTGTATTGTAACAGAACGGCTGCTTGGTAAGCACTGGTCATGAGGATGTATTTCTGATTCGTGTAGTTGGTTCGCAGCTCGTTTTTCGAATAGTTGTGCAGCCAAGTCAGTTTACGGCCGGAGTGTTTTGTCTGGTAGTAACGTGTAAAGCGCTCGAAAGTCGGTAATAGTTCAGGTGGAAGAAGGAAGTCGTGTGTCGGCGGGGCCAAGGGCCAGAAGTTGGTACCGAGAACCATGATACTGAATGCAATATCATTCCCATCGTCATGGGTCTGCGCCATTCGCTCCTTGAATGAGTCCGTGAGATCTTTCGATAATGACATATCCGTAAACATTCGTTGCAGCTTGTTGGTGTACTCGAAGCCACAAGCTTCTTTGAGTTTGGAAATCATGGAGGCCTCAGCTTCGTCAGATGCCGAGACGCCATGGATGAGACGCTTGGAGAGTTTGGTGGTGTAGAATGTTTGGAAAACGTCCTTGTCTTCGAGGTATTTGAACAAGACCATCTGAAGGTAAACAATCAAGACTGTGTCAGATACGAGAATGGAGGAGACATACAACACGGTTTAATGAACCTTCAAGGTCATCATCGCCTGTGCTTTTATTGCTCTTTCGGAGGAGCATGTCGGCATGCTTGGCAAGAAGTTCAGGTGACCGGGAGGCATTCGTTCCTAAACGATATAGTGAGAAACATAAGAACGAGCAGAGTTATAAGTAGCACCTGTTGCAGCATTGCGGTTGACAAATTCTCGGCAAGCCTTGTCAAGAGCAGCAGCAAACCCAGCCTCTGCCTTGAAACTGCGTGCTACCGTGGCTGCATTCTTCTCGTGGACAGACAACAAGGCGTCCACATAAGCTTTTGGATCGAGTTCGCCGCTCTTCTCATCCGCCGCCGCACCAGTTGCCTTGCCGTCTGGGCCAACCAATGCACCGACCGCACCCGATCCCGCAGTTTTAACATGGCTCTCGAATTTCTTGCGCAAAGGCTCTAGACCTTCCGGAATGCGAGCGAGAAGGGCGTACATCCGTTGCAGGTCTTCGTCGGCATCAAAGTCGAGCAGTGCTTGGAATGCCTCCCACATTCGCGGTGCGTGAGCTCTGAGAAGGACATTTTCGCACTTTCCGACGAGTTCCTTGCGTGTCTTGGTATGAAGATATCGCACCACACGCTCCTCCTCCTCGCGCAAACGGACCTCGGCCTTCTTGAGATATTCGGGGATGTTGCCGCTACCTTCGCTACCTCCGGCATTCAGGAAAGCCTCCGCCTCAGCAGTGTAGTAGGTTTCGGTTGCCGCAAGGAATGGCATTTCGAATTGCTCCTTATAAACGTCAAGACATTCTTTGTTGGGGTCGGCGGGGTCGAGTCCCAGAGAAACGAATGAATCGATGACCTTCTTAACCAGAGCTTGGTCTATGGTGGCTCCGTCACGTTGAGCGGCAACAAGGCGAAGGAGAGCGGCAGTGATTGGTGGTTGTAGGGGTTTGAAGAGGTGCTGATGCCATTGTGATAATGCAAGCTGAGAGCAAGTTTAGTAAGAGTTAGACTATAAGTAGCGGAAAACGCACAGTGTATACTTGGTAGACGCCCTTCTTTCCCTCATCTCGTTCCCGTTTGACCCAGTATCGGTTGAGATAGGTAAAGAGTCGGTTGAGATAATTAGCGCCGGTGGTGTACCTGTCCCACTCAGTCGCGTAATATCGGAGTAAAGCTTCGTCTTGAAGAACCTCCGCTTCCTAGCAAGTTTGTGAACATCGGATAATCGATGCGCAACAGGAGAAAGGAAGGTGCCCACAAGGCACGCGCCGGCGACACGAGGTGCCTAAGGGCGAAGAGGAGCGCAGACAAGGGCTTTTACGTACCTTGACGATGGGTTTGAAATGGTTGGCAAAGTAATCCGTGAGCTTGTTGTACAAATCGGACCCAACGAGGTTAGCGCCGGCTGCAGAAAAATATAGGTCAGTGGCTCAGGAGAGTTGGTCTGCAAAGGACGCACTTCTGTTGCCCTCCAGCTTGCCATGCATCTTTGTTGAAGTACAGTAGTTGTAGACAGTCGTGTAGAGACTGGTGTAGCCGGCGAATGAAAGACCCTCATGAAGCTTGTTCATGATGTGGTCAACGCCCTCCGTTAAGAATGTCCATGTCTCGTCGAGGTCCGCCGTCTTGGGCGGCATTGTCGCGAACTTGTTCGCGGACGACGACGATGAAGTGGCCATGGTTGTGGAAGGAGTCAGAGGATGTCGGGTTGGTACAGCCACAGCATTACGCGCCGAGCAACATCAGCGATCACGATTCATTCTGATTCTTTCCTTGGTTGAACTTGTCCTTTTCCTTGTCCTCGTCCAACTCAACAAACCTGCAGCTGAGCAACAGGCAGTCTAGTGGGATCCAGGCCAACGTTCTATCCCTGCTCCCTTCGTCATAACGCCTCATCCTACTGTTCACCTTTCTCAAGCTCAAATTGGCCGGCGACCATGTATTTATCCGTTAGGCGTCGTCCAGCGGGCTCTTTGCCACAGTACTGTAGTGCAATGAACCTAACCAACCCACAAAAACCGTATACCAAAAAAATGCGTGGACTGAACACTCCGTCGACCTCACTCTTATGCGTACTCACACTGTCCCACAGAGACGAAATCAAAAACTGTTGGCAATTCTTCGCACCTCATACTGTGTTTCCGCAAATCCAAACTATGAACCTCGAAGCCACGCGGAATCTAAGCGCCTATCGCGACTTTGTCCCACTGGGAGTGGATCAACACAAAATACATCGACGATTGGCGCATGAATTCGAATATCATGTCCGTCTGCCAAGTACACCCAAATCTGCCATTGGAGAACCTTGAATGAATAGCTGAGAATCCACTAGAGCTTGATTCCGTCCCAATCCAACGCAAAAAAGTGTTGCTGACCAAGCGCAGGAAGACATCTCATCAAAACTTAGCGTCTCTGCTCTCTAGGATTCGCACTTGGCAGTTGGGAAGAAGGCTATTTTACTCACTATGATTAGACGGAAAAGACCGACATCTAATCCACATACACCGAGAAGTGGAAACAGCGCATTTAAGCAGAAGAGAACCAGGACTCGGAGAACTTGAACGAACAGAGCTCTTTCTGTGAGTCAATTGTTCAGACTACGGGAGCTTGTTGTTTACTTACCCTCATGTCTTTGTAGGCCGTAATGCTGAAAATCCTCCACGCAATCATTAGCTCCCTTTTCATCGTCATCGGGCTCGCCACTCCCCCTCCTGGTCATGCTCCACCTCTGCTAGGTCTCGTTCTTACTCCCGGGGGCCAACAAGACAGCGCAAACGTCCACATCGTCCCAGATCGCGCTCGAATCACCCGCGTAGTCAGCGAAATCCACGTCTTCCACGAGAACGGCACGCTGTTCAAAACCGTGCCAGTGACAAACGCAGGCCCTCCCAGCAATGTCACACGCAGAGTCGCGCCAGCGGCCTCTGGCTGGATCACCTATGCCTATTGGTACAAAACGACTGGCGATCCCATCGCATGGTTTGAGACGGACTTCGTTGTCCCGCCAGCCCCAGCATCATGCACCGGCCAAACTGTCTTCTTATTCCCTGGGATCGAGCCCGCTAGTGGAACTTCAATCGTGCAGCCGGTACTTCAGGTGCGAATCTGTGTCGTAAAAATTGTCAAACTGACTCGTTTGAAGTATGGTCCGTCTTCAATTGGAGGTATGTACATCATATTGCTACGAGGTTAACGACAAAGTTGACCCTTATTCAGGCGGGAATTTCTGGGTCATTGCGTGCTGGTATGTGGTCGGGACACAATACTTCGCCACGAAGTTGTCCCAAGTCCCCGTCGGACTGGCCTTGCGTGGGCTGATCGACCTCGAGTACGTCGCCACGCCCACGGACTGGAGCTACTGGGTCGGAATGTATGTGGCTGGAGGAGATATAGGCATGAGAATCGACAGCCCAGAAGAGCTCGTCTGGGCGACGCTCACGCTCGAGGCATACAATATTGTTGGGCCACAAAGCTATCCGGCAGGGCCGACCACGTTTAGCGATGTCCTGATTCGCGTTGGTGACTGGGAGTGGGACGATCCCGGTAGTTCGTGGTCAGTGGTGAACGATGCGACGGAGGGAATAACAACAAATGTTGTCGTGAATTCGATGTCAGATGGTGTTGTAGTTATCGATTACTGAACACTGCTTGACTTTTCTGCATTCCATCGACCGAGTAACGTCGGCGTCGCAGGGAGTGGGTCCGAGATGGACAGATGTTTACGGAGAATCGTCGGAGATGCTTATTTACAATAAGGAATAAATCTCGTTGTAAAGGGTCAAAGCGAGGATCTTGCCGATGCGTATAACTTGAGTGGGTTAGGGTGCTGTACTGGGGAATTCCTTACAGCTGTTTCGATACTAGCTTCGAAAGCATCCGAGAACAAGAACAACAACAAGTTTATAACAGAGCATCAAGAACAGAACAACGTATGCTACAAGTCCAACTCCAGTAGTGATGGTATATTCATAGCGCGACAGCGAATTGAAAGCAATGCGAAAAGCGAGAGGAACAAGCTAGTGATACAAGTAAAACGTGAAGCCCAGTCCGTGTGCGTGGAGGCTTTAATTGTGATCGTTGACTCTACAGCTGCAGAGCCTTCTTTGCGCCGCTACGAGTCGTCACGCGTCGGCCGGTGACGATGGGGGATGCCTGACGAGTAGCACGAGCATAAGGATGGTAGCGCTGCTCAACTTCCTCGGACTCGCTGCTGCTGTCCAAGAAAGAGTCTTCGTCCGAGTCTTCGTATCTGCGGTTGTTTAGAAAACACATGAAATAGACCGACAAATTCAAGTTTACTGACTTCGGGGCGGGCTTCTTCGCTGCCTTGCCTTTCTTGCGATTGCGCTTCCGCGCAAAACCGTCGCCGTCTGCAGTGCTGATCGTCCAGTATGCGCCTTTGCCCGGATCGTTGGCAGCGCGAGGAATTTGGACGAACATCTTGTACAGCGACAAGGCATGGCGGATCGAATTCTGCGAAAGGGTGAGATGGCTCTTTGGGCAGAAAAGGAGGATGTAGTACCTTCCAGGACGCCACGTCCCGCTTGTCAGAGTAATACGTGAACCCGTCGATGATCGCGTTTTCGATGCCCTTGAGGGTCAGCTTCTGGTGATCGCTGCCGCAGATGGCGAGGCCGATGAGCTGGTATAGCGGCGTCCCCGGGCGGCTGTGATCCGTCGTGTCGGGGACCGCACGCAGATTCACTACACGATCTTTCGGGATCCCCATCTTGCGGCGCATGAATTCGGCCGCGTTCGGGTCGGGAAGCACCAAATTCTTGATCTCCGTGGGGGCGCGCGTCGGCGAGTCAACCTTCTCGACGGGTGGCGGCTGACGCGAAGACGGCGCAAATCCTTCAGGGATATGGACTACTTGGGGGACACTGATGATCGGAAGAGGCCGAGGAAGCGCGACTGGGGTATATGGTGGCGTCGGAAGTTGGTTGTAGCTGCGAGGAGGGAGGCCTCCATACGAATAGGGCATCTGAGATGCGGTCGGTGGCTGGGAGAAGGTTCGGAACGCGGCCGGGAAGTGACTATTCGCTGGCCTCGCAGCCAGAGGGCCACTGACGCTCGTCCATGGAGCCTGATTGTAGTTTTGGATGGTCGGAGCCATCAAAGGCGCACTGCCAGTCCACATTACGCTCTCCTGCAAGGCCGATTATTATGACATTCAAGTTCTGCACCGAAATTGGGATCAATCCGCACCGACTTGACCGTCGACGGCCGCATTGGAGATGGGTACGGCTGGTACCTAGCACCTCTCTCTTGTGGCTCGGACGGGGCGAAAGTTTCGTCATGCCTACCCACGCTTCCTGTCAAGCGAGACAGACGTGCCCCCACATCGGGGACGGACAACGACTGAGTAGACGGAGCATCCTCAGGATCATTTGCGAACTCGTCGACGAGAATATCGCTGAGCTCCAAGGCCAGCACAGGGCCATCGTCCTCCTTCTTGCCGATACCAGCTGTGGCGCAGTCGGAGCTCCTATCCACGATGGAGGGGAGGTGCTGATCGTGGCCGCCAGTCGCCATAGCTGAAGGCAGAGAGGGCACGCCAGTCCAGAGGGGCATTGGGTGCACTGTTACAGGGGGGAAGATGGGGGGAAAGAACAAGCCTGTGTTGAGCGCTCGCCGAAGTCAAAAGATAGTCAGAAAACACGTGGGATCGAGCCTCCCGAGCGTGCCGATAAATAGTCCGACGTCTTCAGGTCACAAGCTGACGTTCTTGAGGAGATTAGAGAGTTTTTGAGCGATCCAGAGAGCTGCAACTCATTTTCGGACGCAAACGGAAGTTTTGTGCAAAAAACTAGGGCCAGATTAGCCAAAATTGCCTTATTTGTGTGACATCTGTGTGAGTGCATCAAAGGCGATCAAAGAAGCACCCCCCCCCAGTAAGAGAGAACGCAGTAGCCAGACAGAGCCAGAGCTCTGGGACGACTGGGAGCACGGTTCTAGCCGAGATTACCTTCACGCTATCCCCAAATTCCGCCGATAGACCTGGGGGACGACGAGGAAAGAGGCAAAAGCAGTGGTCACGCCGTGACTGATGTTATGATTCATCAGATTGCTTAGCAAGCTTTGGACGAAAATCTTAAGTTCAAGATAGGTTAGGATAACATATATGATCTCTGGCAATGACCCCTCCGCCAGAAGACGTGGGTTCACTCTACTGGTCTGCACCGGCAAACTTGAAGGCTGACGAGTAGTAACCGCTTAGTACTGTAGTACTGGTAGTTACTCGTTAAGTATAACAATGTTTATCCATAGGTACTACTAGTATCGTCTCCTTGTGCGGAAAAGAGCAGGATCGCACGAGAACTTCGAGCCTCAGGTTATCGCACACCGGCTAGGTGCAGCAAATATGCTGGTGAGGGCTGCGGGCCTGCCAGTGTCCGCCGATATATTCCAAAGCAAATGCAAGGCGGCGTGCGTTCAGGCTGGCTGCTGGCAGTGCCATTGAATCATATTCTTGAGAAAGAGGATTGATTATCGCGAGGACGAGTCACTGACATCGGCCCGATGTATTTTACGAGTCATGAAGTACTCCGAAACGAACATATAATCAAGCAGATTCAAGTTCAGACAAAGGACGACGACTTGTGGGATGGGCTCCGAGTCTGAGTGAGGATCACATTGAGGTCATTTGAATTCAAGCGGAGCAAGGCGCGATGCAAACAACTTCGATTGCGATCTGACAGCGAGTGGGAGTCTGGAGCGAGGTCTGGAGAGGTGCGTTGTAGCCGACTGTCCATGTGCCTGACGGTATACCAGCGCCAATCCACTTCTCAGCTGAGCACAATCGGGGAAAGGCGCGGCCAGAGATAATAACCAACACCCCGATTAGGGTACAAGTGCTGGGCTGCCAGTTTGGCTCGGGTAAAAGATGACAAGGATGCTGTGAGGTCAAATCCTTGACCTGGCACGCCCACTGGGCGGTCAGCGCGTTGTTCTCTTGTGACTCGGATCCACTTACTTGTTCACAAAATTTTCAACGGCGTTGGGTTTTTTGCAACGATACATGTCTCCAGCGTTGTCCCTTCTGTTCTTGAAGCTTCGTGGTCGACTTGAAATGCTTTCGACGTGTTATTCCAACTGGAATCAACGGAAAGTTGCTGAAAAGACAACGAAAAGAGGACGAGCTGGTGTGACGTGACGCCGTCGCGTCACGTCACACCAGCGGTCCTTACGAGTCCTTGTGGTCGAATTCAAAGAAGTCTCCCAGCATTTTACACAAAACGGTCCGAACCTCCTCCAGAAATACCTCAACATAACACTGACATGAAGATTACTTATAGCAACGGTGGTTTATTCAACCTTTGTCAATGGTATCAACTCGAATCATATTCAACACCTCAAGATAATAACTTTCCGCGCCTTAGTTCAGCGTTCTGGGTATCCACCCCATAGCCGGTGTCCACGTTGCCTCCGTGAGCGTCGTCAGCGGCCCGTTCTCGTCGTTGACCACGCCCTCCTGCACGAACCCCACCCGGATACGTGCGCTGTCGCCAGCAACCCCGTCAGACAGCGCATAGAGCACGGTGCTGCCCTGCTTGACGACCGCATGCAGCTTCGTGAGGCAGTCCTGGCACGAAACCCCGCCGCGCCACCGGTTGGTCGGCCCGTCGAAGATGTACTCACTCACGACGCCGAAGGTGCCGATGAAGAACAGGCGGATCTGGGGAGGTGATGGTTTATCTAGTACCCTCAGGCGTTCGGGGGCCGTACCTGCTGGAAAGTTGCGGAGCTCACAGACACGGCGGCGATGACCGTATTGGGGAGGACCTCAGAGGCGGGAACGCGGACCGTCTGGGCCGACAAGAGCCCGCCGAATGCAAGGGGCCCGCTGACGGAGTACTCCTCGATGCTGTTGTCCACATTTTGGAACCACAAACGGGTGTCGTCGCCCGCGCCGGTTGCCTGAACGGCCGCGAGATTGCCGATGAAGTTGACGACGAATGCGGCGGGGACCGGGAGGCTGACTGTGCTGTTTGCCAACGCGGTTGGGCTGCATAGGCCGATGGAGAGGGACGAAAGCTGGACGTATCAGCATGGCTTGGTGTGTTCACTGTCTTCCAAAACACTCACCGCTAAGAACAACTTCAAGGTCACCATTGTAGCCTTGCCTTCCAACCAGCCTCACGCCCGACTTTTAAAGCATGTGGGGGCCGATTTTTTTTCGAAACTGTCGATGGGTAGACATCTACCACCGTTCTACCACCTACATCTCCAACTCGAAGATCATCTCGTTATCAACATGAGAGCAGCAGCATCATCACGGCCGAATGGCCATACGGACACAACTCTTCATTGCCTACTCGAGCAGTGAGTGACTTCCTGGGGGGAAGTAAAAATGTCGCTGAGTTGTACATCATTGTCAGGCTGCCTAAATCAAACGATTATTGAATTACAGCAAAGATATGCTGTCCTCAACAGAGCACGTTGACACCCGGCATCTTGACGCATCACTGGCATAGTGTTCTCTTTTGGTTCTTCTTGATATGTTGAGTTGTGATCGCTCGCATTCAACTTGAAGTTGAAGTTGTGCAATCATTCAATATTACAAAGCTTCCTTTCAAGACGTCTCTCTTATTTATCAACATGGTATATTCCCAAGTTCACATTCCTCCAGCTCGTATAGTACATTGCTCAGTAATTTATTTTAACCACGCCACCATTAAACTTGTTTGCGACGACCGTCGTCGTGATCCCGTCCGTATTGTTGTTGAATACAGCCCAGCTCTGTGTCGGCGCGGGGACGGTGCCATTGCTAAGCAGTAATGACACCTGGTTAAACGAGGTCGAGCCAGCCGGGTAGTTCTTTATGCTCGTGACGCCGTACGACTCGAGCGCGATGGTGGCCCAGACGAGGTTCTGCGGGCTCGTGACCGTGAGCTTCGCGCCGGGCGCGCCCTGCATGTTGATTGCGTAAGTATACCCCGTGCCGGCAGTGAAGTTGGTCAGCCCGATCGTCGCGTTGAGCGCCCAGTTGTCGGGCGTCGGCTCAAGCGGCGATGCAAAGAACTCGGTGTTCGAGAAGGCATACCACGCCCCCGAGGACCAGTATGACCCGCCCCCGCGTGAGCTGTACCCATACTAGAGAGAGCAAATGAGATAAGATAAGATGGCGATTAGATGCTCACTTGGAGGACAGGCTGGATGATGGAGGTGCCGTCCGCGGGACACAGCCCGTTGAAGAGGAACAACGTCTGACCAATGTTCGATGCGGGCTCTTGTGGCGAGGTGAACGATGTGGTAAAGTTCTTAATCGGCTGTGTGTCGGGTGCGCTGCTGACCCACGACGCGTATGTAATCCACCCACTCGCCATTGTTGCGGCGGCAGAGGCGGCGCTGCGGGCCACGACGGGCGTTGGCGCCTTGATTTTGGGGGTGACGACCTTGAAGAGGGTGCCGTTGGGATGGAGCACGTGAATTTTGTCAGCGACATGCATGATGTGCGCGCCAGAGGGGACATGGTGCACGTTGGCGCGGTTTTGGTACCCACTGGGCGTGAGGACAAGGTCGGACTCCGACTCGGCCGGGGTCGGCGTCGGCGTTGACAGCGCAAAGGGGAGGAGAAGGACGCAGGCGGCGACACGCAGTAGGGCGACCATGGCGAAGAGTTGCAGCCATCCGAAGTTGCAGCGGGCTTTTAAATTTCGGCGGGGCCGTGGTCTATGTTTGGACGCACTTCGAATTCGAAACACACGTCATGATGTCGGCGCTTCCTCGACGACTCGGAGCCCCAGGCTGCCAGCGAGTGTCAGCCGCCGGGGTTGTTGCGGGGCAGGGGCTGAACATTTACCAGGTATCGATACTCTTGTAGCATCCGAGTCTGCTGACCGGCCACACAAGAAAGCACTTACGCTGTTTAGAAGAGACGAATACACTCGCTGCATATGGGGGCTCTATGGCTGTAGCCTGATGGCAGATACGATTTTGCGTGCCCACTGGCTGGCACCGCTGCTCGGGTCAGGCGAGACAGTGCGCATGACTGGGGTTATTGGGTTTATGCCTCCTCGGGCGGCGACTTCTGATGATTTTAGGCAGGTATTCAAGGATTCAATGGCGAGGCGTACCTTACAATGCGCGGCGGATGCCCGTTTCACGCTCCGACCCAGCATCGGACGCTTCAGGAAGCGGCCTCGCGCATCTCGGATTTAAATGTGTCGCAGCGCCGTAATGCGGGGCAGGAGTGGACACCAGACGGGGGGTACTTCAGTTCTACACAACTTCTCCGACCCCGTCGACTTGACAATGACATCGTTGGCGGCCGAACCAGCACGATCGGCACAGCCATCGGGCACGTGTGCGCGTCTAGTGCGGCCAACTCGTCGAGGTGGACATCTTGGAGAAGCGCGGGGGATGTGCCGTGGAGCTCCGAGGCGGGGATTAGCTTGGGCTCGGAGGATAGATGAGCTGCCGGGCCAAGTACGTGGTCGCGTGTTCAGGTAAATGGAACGAAATTGGAAGGTTGACAGGACTTCAAGTTTGAGCTCTGAGCGATGAGCCCTGGAGGCTTGACGGGCAGCCTGCACACTGGTGGGACAGACTACTCTAGCATCGCACGGAGCGTATCGCTGGCCCACTTGGTTCGTGAGAGACGAAGCCTAAGGCAAGAGGAACATCATCGGATTACGCAACCTGTGATGCCTTCTGTTCAGTGGGCACATTCCGGCTTGCGATTCTTGCCTTTCACATCCACCAGTCTGAGAGACACCCCGAACCCTTTAAGTTTTTGACTGCATAATCCAGCTTTGACCAGTGATTTTTTTGCCTAGCGACAATAAGTATTGCCCGTGTCTGCTCGCAGTCTCTCCGATGTTGCCAGTTGTCCATTGTCAACGCTAATGCCCAAGTCTAGTAACTGGCGCAATCAATCCAGAAACGACTTCCCGGCCATTCTTGACACCATCGCGCATCCACCATTCTGTTACTTATTCTTTGATGTCTTGCAGAATGATAGCGAGTTTCAACTTTCGATATCCCGTTACCCCTTGCGCTTGGAAGTGGCTGGAGTCTCGTGTCTGGCGTCCAGTTGTGGGGGCAGAATCTGTGTATTGGATTCAGCGACGAGTCCACCCCAAACGCACCAAAACCTGAATGCTGCTTACTTTGTGCACCATTCTACCCATACTTGTCTTCGTGCTGTTGAAGTTGACTATTGACAGTCAAATTCCTCGTCTGCACACGCTATGTGCCGAATCGTCGCCGAAAGTCGTGTTGACTTCGTCTGAAAAGAGCTAGATTAAGTAGAGCCTGAGATGTCATGCTTTTTCAAGTTTGAAGCGTCATTTGCCACCGCTTCTGGCTCGAGTAGCCGAAAGATTCCCGTGTTGAGCGCAGCAAGCGAGGCGGCGTCGGCGCGAAAGGAAAAGGGCGCGGTGAGGCAAACGCGAAGAGCGGCGAGGTCTCGGTAGAGGGCAAAAGCAAGAATCGATGATCTATGTAAGCATACACGTGTATAGAATGACGCGCGTGAGCTATATACTTCAACACTCCCACCTAGCGAGCAGCGCGGATACGAAAGAATGTATGTAGGGTACAAAAGGCTCCCACCGAATCCATGTCGTCTTGTGTCTTGTGCAAGAAAAAACGCAGAGCAGTGGGTGAAAGAAACAAGATGGAAAATGAGCTCCCACCGAATCCGATACACCTCGTGTCTTGTGCGGGGTGGAGGAGACCCGAATGGCTCTCGTGATTCAGATCACATAACGACTGGTGCTGGCGAAAGCAGCTGCAGTCGAAGCACTTGCCGGAGGCATGAAGCCAAGGCGTTTGAACGTCTTCCTTTGTTTCTTGTCTAGGATCTCCCAAGGTATTTGTGGTTCATCGTCGGAGGAACTGTCATCGTCGGAAACATGGGGGCCTTGGGCAGCGAGACCTTGCTCACTTTTCCGGGCTGTCTTGGGCCCAGAGAGCGATGGGGAATAGCTCGAAGGCGCAGGGGCTGGTGCCTGTTCACGACGTGAGATGGAGTTGAGGATCCAGTCACGAACTGCTTGCGGCATGTCCGCAAGGCAGAACTGAGCCCGATGACCTTCACGTCCGCAGCGGAAACAATCCTTGTCAGAGCGAGGGGAGCACCAACGGAAGCCCTTCGCGAATGCTTCCTGTGGTGGTGGTTCGGAAGGGGGAGATGGAATGCGAGCTGCAAGACCAAAGGCCACTGGTACATCTTCGACCTTGATCATGTGGTCGGATTTAGAGTTGTCGTGAGCGTCCGAACGCAGACGGGCCGCAGCATCTTCATAGGAAGGGAACTTCTCATTTTTGACCAGATCCTTGCGCGTAGAGTACATGCCGGGGTTCAGGCGTGCAAGAAGAATGCACGTCTTGATGTCGTCCGGGATGGTGAGGTCCATGCGCGCTAGTTTCGTGCAGAGGTTAGAGACCTGTGTTGTATACAGCACGATGGGATCTTCGATGTTGTGGTCAATGGTGATGAGTTGTTGGAAGGCAATGAGCCTGTCGGAGTGGGTACGGGTGATGAAGTTGTCCTTGAGTGCCTTCCAGCGGGCACGAGCCGTTGAAAGCTCGGTGAGCTTCGTGCGGTAGTCCTCATGTGTTTTCGCCAGAATGAGGTAGGAGACCTCACTGTCAATTCTCTCGTTGGCGGCTGAGAGCGGCTCCGGTTCTTCGTCCTGGGTGATCCATCCGGCTCCGACGGCGAGGAAGAACTGCTTGAGAAGCGGGTAATGCTTCTTGAAGTTGTCTGGCTGGAGGTCCTGTATGTGGTCGATAGTGGTGACGAGGTATGGGGCAAGACCCATGTCGAGAAGGTAGGGAGCGAGAGGAAAAAAGGAACGTGGTGGTGACGTGACTCGGCTACGGGTCGGGCGCCGACAAAAAGGGGGCCGGGGCCCATAACCTGTTGAGCGCAGCAAGCGAGGCGGTGTCGGCGCGAAAGGAAAAGGGCGCGGTGAGGCAAACGCGAAGAGCGGCGAGGTCTCGGTAGAGGGCAAAAGCAAGAATCGATGATCTATGTAAGCATACACGTGTATAGAATGACGCGCGTGAGCTATATACTTCAACATCCCGTTTATCAATGCGGGTTGAAGATTTGAGAGGCGAGTAGCCACGGCCCATGGTAACCTTCCCGGAGACGAAGGGAGTGGAATCCTGATGTTAACGTTGACGCCTTGAGAAAGAATTTTCAAAGAAATAATGAAATGGATCCAGTGAAGAACAGGCTGCGGCGGAGTCTGACGATAGCAAAGCGGGCGTTTTTAGATGGCGATCGACAGGGGAGAAGGTCATCGGGTGGAAACTTTGAGCGGAGAAACGACTCAAACGAGATGGGAGCGCAGGACTGGGAACAAGTGTGCACGTGATTTGTTGTGTGTGGCTGATGTGGTGGGGGGATTGTGCTGAGCATGTGGAGGGCGGCGCCAGCTGCGCCCGCTGCAGCATTTGGCACTTCCTGAGATGAGGGTGAGAGGCAGAAAATGTCAACATCGTGATGGCATCACCGCACATGACCGTGACGATGCCTTCATTTCACTTCTTGCCCCTCTTGCCCTTCGCATCGGCCAGCCACACCATGCCTGCCCGATCCGCTACGGCTTGTTCTACTGCGATATTCAGCAGCCCACGACGCGTCAGTGGCCACACGTGACCGCGTATCGGGACCGCAGCCCTGACTCAATTGAAAATTCACTCTACTCAATCCCGTCGCAGCCGCAGCCCGCAATGACTAGGCACGCGCAGTGACTGCGTCCGTCATACACGGCGCAAGCGTATGTTTGGCGAGTATAAAAGAGAGAGGATGGAGTCAGGATTCGTCAGAACAAACTTCCAACCACTCCTCGCAAACAAACACCAGCTCTTCATAACCAAATACGATGTCTTCCGCCTCGTCCTCTGCCACCTCCCTGCTCTCCTCCGCTGCCTCCTCGCAGTCGAAGAAGGACTATTCTGCCGCCTTCGCGACCCTGCAGTCCGCGTATGGCCTCGGCGGTTCTGCCCCGATTGTCGTTTCCAAGAAACAGAAGCAGCCCAAAGTTGCACCGAAGCAATCCGCCTCAGCAAAGGGCGCGAAAAACTTTGAGTCCGCCTTTGGCTCTCTCTCCGCCCAGCTCGGCACCAACGCCAGCTTCAGTAGCGCGAAGCTCCCGAATGTTTAGGTGCTTTATGCTTTCCTGATCTTGACGAACCACCCGACTTATTCTGTTTTTGTTTCAAGTCTGATCCCATACCATGAACACATACATACGATTCGTCGAAGCACACATATGTTGCTATGCCGCAAGGCAGGCGGGCCCGGCCTGGGGTATCCTTCTACCCTTGATTTCGTCAACATCGCCATCCATCTACCCTGCTCTCCAAAATAGATGTTGGCAATACGTACAGTCCTGTGTCCTGCTTCCATTCCATTCCACAGTGTTTCCCCAATATATTTTCTTGTTCTTGTTTAGCTCTTGCATCAGAATGACTGCGACGACTTGAAATATAACCCGAGGCCTAGCAGCCGGAGACGATCCATTTTCTATTCTGCCTTTCGGATTGACACGCTGTGCGGCGGCGGCGTCCAACTCGTCGCTGTCATAGTCGTATTGAAGTTTGAACTGGAAGACGGGCACCTCAGCCCATGTTTGTTGATGGAAAATGGATGTGTTCGCACCAAGGTATCAGACGCCTTTTCGCTGTGCCAATAATGTCTTCGCCAGGGCTTGATAAAGATACCCGTGATTGAGATGGCCGTGTCGATGCCCATTTCTAGACTAGAATAGCAAGTAAAAGGCCTGAACGAAGAAGAGCTAGCAACGACTTGGGCCAGGAGAGCATACACCATGACTCACAGGAGTAGGGAGCTGCTTAACATTGACAGTGGGCGGGCACGCGACCAAATTAGCAGTGAAAGATAATCAGTTGCCTAAATCCGCGTCGATCGAAAGCTGTGCTGACGGCGATTTGGGCAACACGGCGTTCTGCACGCGCAGTTATAAAGGGTGGAGCTGGGGCCTCGCCTGCCTGTTCCTTCGTCATATACCAACACCATAAAACACCATGGGCCGATGGACACAGCAGGAAGAGGTGAGTTGCCGAAGGCAGGGCCAGTCAGGATGGTAACTTGAGAAGGATTCTACACGGTTGCCACCGGGGATGAAGCGGATTGCCTACGATGCGGACACTGCGCGGTACACTTTTAGCGACGAGGAGGGCAACATATACGTTGGCAAGCCCCACGAGGAGTACGGAGTCCTCACGAAGGTCAAGCGTGGCTCAGGGGGCGGAAATCGAGTGGAGCAGGAGCGGCCGGGGACCTTCGCTGGTGAGTTATCGACCACATTGGATCATCGAGACTCACACTCTGCGGTAAAAGACACCTCAAAGCCTGAACTGACAGTCGAAGTTGTCCCACACGCTAACGACAACGGCGCGACATTCCACGACTTTGTGCCCGCCCATCTGATTGCTTCGCCCACATCCTCGCCAGAGTCGACCCCGAGTTCGCAGAGCAGATTCCGGGATGCGGTCCGGAAGACGGGCGTGCCGGCAATGCAAGGTGTCGTGAACGGGCTGCGGCGGAGCGTGACCAATGCAAGGCGGCAGAAAGCGAGCAGTGAGAGCGATACCCAGGGATACGGACTGTTGCGTGGAGATTCGACTGTGTCGAAGGATAGCGGGAAACTGGGACGGTCGAAGACGAGTGCGAAGAAGGTGTAATTTGTTGTGTGTAGTTTGCGATCAACTTGACTCTGTACTCTCATGACCGTCCATGAACCGCCTGCGTAAACCAAACAATGCAGACAGTCCACGGTCAGCCAGCCAGCCCGTGCTTTCTCAGACCCTCCGCGTTGCGCTAGGGCTCCAAGAACAAGAACGACATCAACAAGTTCTACCACGACACCAGTCTCCCAATGAAAATCAGCAAGTGATCCAGCGACCCAAACTTGACGGACTTGAGCCACAACCACGAACACGTGTCGAGCAATACTGGGCTGCCCGCGCGTTTGCTGCAGAGACAACGTTGCTGGGCTTTGAACATGGAGAGCGGCAGCGTGCAAAAGACCGCCAGTTTCACGACGCGCGTCATGCTGCGCTTGAGAGGCTTATAGTGCGTGTTTTTCTTTGGGCTGAATATGTTTGCTGAACACCTGCATGTAGATGATCCTACTTGGCATCCTTGCCCTCCTGGTGCTTGGCCTGCTCCTACTGGGCTGGTCCTCTTTCCGCGGGACCGCCCATGGCCACAACACTAAACACCCGCCCGGGCCTGCAAAGCACTTTACAATCCCGATTCTGTCCCCATTTACCAGCGTCGTAAGTTTGTTTGACCCTCCCTCTTTGTAGTGCACTGAAAAGCATATAGATCGAGCACGAGACGTCTGTTATCGGGAGCACTACGCTCGCGCTGCTGGTGCTAGCTGGTGCGGCGGTGGTATATGGCGTCTTTCGGCATTATGCAAGACGGTAGTGGCCACACTCCCCTAAGTCCGCCGTCGCAAATTCTCACGTGAGCCCGTTGAGATTAAAGTAGACCTTGGAGTAGACAAAGCTGGGACTAGTACTCGACACTAGAATACAGGCTCTGTTTGTGCGGCATCTGGGTTGACCATTACATAACGCTCCCGCCAAGCTGTGCTCGGCCCCCCAGCCAATATCGCTTTTGGACCGCTCCATTATGCCCACAGGCATAATAACCACCCTCTGTCGTGCGTGCGAGCTGCCCAATTGGGCGAGGCGCGCAAAACCCACGCTTCGAGAATAAAAGGATGGAGGTCGGAGGTGGGCCCCTAAGCCCTTGGCGTTTTCATTACAACGCTCTCCACCCTGCGCTTGGCGGGCTGGGGCCTTGGGACTTACTCATAACCATAACCATCGTCTTCTTCTCGCTGCTGCTGCTATAAAGCGTCCTGCCTCTCCACCCTCGCGAATCCGATGCACACTTATATGTACACTGCTGGCCACCACCCGGAAGGCCCACCGGGGACGGGCAACGGCTTCTGGCAGAAGATGGGCGTGAGCGCGGTGCTCGTGCTGCTTGGTGGTGTTTTCGCTGGGTAGGTTCAAGTTGTCTCTTCTCATTGTTGTGCGGCGTTAACGGTGGTCAGGCTGACGATTGCGCTGATGGGTCTGGATGAATTGCACTTGAAAGTGCTCGCCGCGTCGTCCGAGAACGCGACCGAGCAGGCGAACGCGAAGAAGGGTACGCGGCGTGTTGGCCAATTATTGGTTGCTGATACATGCTATAGTGCTGGCGCTGCTGCAAAAGGGCCGCCACTGGGTGCTTGTCGTCCTACTGCTTAGCAACGTCGTCATCAACGAGAGTCTGCCCATCTTCCTTGACAGCGCGGTAAGTGGGAGCAAACTTTTTTTGTATTCATGCTGATGCGTGCAGATTGGAGGCGGAATTGCGGCGGTGGTGTTGTCCACAACGGCTATTGGTGAGTGGGTAAACTAGGCTCAAGTCCTGTGGCTAACGCGTTTCAGTAATATTCGGGTTAGTTTCATTGCCACAACCGTATACTCTGACTGACGGGACATTTTCTTGTCCACCAGCGAGTAAGCTTGCTTTCTCCTCCCTTGGCGCTGACTAACTAGTACCCATCAGAGTGATCCCACAGTCGCTTTCTGTGCGGTACGGGCTGTCGATTGGGGCCGCCTGTGCCCCGCTAGTGTTGGCGTTGATGTATCTGGAAGCGCCAATCGCGTACCCGATTGCGCGGCTGCTGGACTGGCTGCTCGGCGCGGAGGGCGGGTACATGTACAAGAAGACCCAACTCAAGAGCTTCCTCCAGCTGCACCGAACTGGCGCGGACCCACTCCGCGAAGACGAAATCAGCATTTTGAACGGCACTCTTGAACTGGGCATGAAGAGCGTGGAGTCGATTATGACGCCAATGAAGGTGGGCACCTCCCTTCTGGTTTTGGCGTGGGCCTGATTCTCCCCAGGACGTGGTGTCGCTCTCAGGGGATGCGATTCTCGATGACGAGTTGCTGGAGTTCATGTGGGTCCGCCCTTCCCGAAGAAACAGACTATTAAAGAACCGTAGCTTGAAGAGCGGATATTCGCGGCTTCCTGTCCACGCCAAGGGCAACCCGAACGAGTTCATCGGTCTGTTACTAGTCAAGAAGGTACCCCAATCCCCGCTGCATCACCCTTGCTAAACAAATAAACTAACAAACGCAGCTTATCCGTCACGATACGTCTAAGGAATGTACTGTCGCGTCGCTCCCGCTCTCCATCCTTCCCGAGGCGCATCCCGGCATCAGCTGCTTCCAGGCACTCGACTATTTGTGCGTTTTCCATATTTCTGTGGGCTCGTCGATAACAGCCATCAGCCAAACTGGCCGTGCCCATTTGCTAATTATCAGCCAAACACCGGGCCGTCCTGGCGGCGCATTGGGTGTCGTCACTCTTGAAGGTTAGTTGCGTCTTCTTGTCCTTCTTGCAGTATTTCATTGACGCGTCTATAGATATCATCGAAGTTAGCTGAACATTTTTCAGATCCTGTTCCTGTTACTAAAGGGTATATCTAGGAAATTCTCTCGGAAGAGATCGTTGACGAGACGGACTGGTACGGCGACAACGTCACCAAGCAGCCTGCGCGGCGCACGACCACGGCCGCGGTCATGCAAGGGTGCGTTGCGTTCCCACGACTCACGTGCCCGATTGCAATGCTTACGTGCTTCAGCATCGTCGAGAGCGGGCGCTCGCAGCTCGCCGCGGACCGCCTATCCGGCGCGTCGTTCCCGCGCAACCCCGCGGAGCTCGAGCGCCAGGGCCTGCTCTCGGGCGTGCCCGCACGGATGTACTCATCGCGCACGCCATCGACATACAGCTTTAGTCGCAGTACGTATTCGGGCCCTGGTTTGAGCTGACAATAACCGCGAGTGGTGACGGAGGATTGAAATGAAGCAAGAGTATTTAATGATTTTTGTACTAGTACGAGTTTAAAGGCTTGGAGAGTTTTTGTTCTGGAGAATGTACTACTGATTTTGTTTCAGCCTTCAGGTGAGATCAGATTTATTGACCAGTCACTTGCTGACACAAAAGATGGAGGCGGGAACAGGAAGGAGATATATTGGAGTGGGATGCAAACAAGATACAAGACGTAATGTTACCGTCTACCTCGAAGAGTAAGGTAGATGGATGCGGTTGTCGGCGATGTCAAGGGTAGTAGTAAAATACCCCAGGCCGGGCGCGCCTTCCTTGCGGAATAGCATGCATGTGTGCTTCAGCGAATAGTGCGTGGTATGGAATCAGACTTGAAGGAAAAGATCAGTTCAGCTGTTCGTTACACCGAGAAGGCGTGAAGCACCTAAACATTCGGGAGCTTCGCGCTACTGAAGCTGGCGTTGGTGCCGAGCTGGGCGGAGAGAGAGCCAAAGGCGGCCTCGTAGTTTTTCGCGCCCTTTGCTGAGGCGGATTGCTTCGGTGCAACTTTGGGCTGCTTCTGTTTCTTGGAAACGACAATCGGGGCAGAACCGCCGAGGCCATACGCGGACTGCAGGGTCGCGAAGGCGGCAGAATAGTCCTTCTTCGACTGCGAGGAGGCAGCGGAGGAGAGCAGGGAGGTGGCAGAGGACGAGGCGGAAGACATCGTATTTGGTTATGAAGAGCTGGTGTTTGTTTGCGAGGAGTGGTTGGAAGTTTGTTCTGACGAATCCTGACTCCATCCTCTCTCTTTTATACTCGTCAAACATACGCTTGCGCCGTGCATGGCGGACGCAGTCACTGCGCGTGCCTAGTCATTGCGGGCTGCGGCTGCGACGGGATTGAGTAGAGTGAATTTTCAATTGAGTCAGGGCTGCGGTCCCGCCACGCGATCACGTGTGTCGCATGCGCGTCGTTTGCTGTCGCATGCAAGCCGAGTATAACTGTCCAGAGAGCAAGCAATGTGTTGAGCAAGGCAAACACGGCGTCCGGCGTCGCTGGTGGATGCGTAAAGGAAGAAATAGAGAGTCATGTGTATATGATGGCATGATTGCTATCACATTTTTCTTCTGTAAAGTCAATGAATCCGTAGTCATTGGAACGTCCTTGTACATGTTTATTACTCAGGTAGCTTGGGCAAAATAATTTTCAATGCATCAGGCAAGTAGTTCAGAATTTCATGACTGCTAGATTTTGTATTTGAACTGGCACATATTGGTGGTCAAAACAGCGAATGTGGAACAATCTTCCATTCACTTGCCGCGGCGCTCACCATCCGGACTGGTAAGGGGACAATAAGGGACCTTAGAATCAAAGCTCTAGCTTTCGTTCCGCTGAAAACAAGATCGAAAATTTACGCACATGAGTCTTCCAATATTCTTCGTTCGCGCATCGGAATCCAGAGTACTCTGGGCAGCAACACCGACGAAAACAACAACAGGTACCCAAGTGGCCGCCTGTTCCCGTGTTTATTTCTCCGCTCTTCTCGCGAGCCCGAGACTGTCGGGGCAAGTCAGGGTCTTGCGGCGCTGGTGAGCGTGCCTGTGTTTGTCCGCGCGTGTGAGATGCTGTGCCTCTGGGCTGTGAAGGTCCAGCTTTGGGAGCAGCCGTATTTGATCTTGCCGGTGGAAGGGGCCATGGGCCAAGCCATGTTTCCTGATTGAATAGTTCGACATTGGGTCTGTGGATAAGTAAGTGTACTAACAAGAACGGCAAAGACAAAACACACTCACCCGAACACCGTGACCCCGTCATTGTGCTCGAGCTCCACCACAACACGCAACTGTGAAAAATCAAAAGCACTCAGGTCCCGGGGCCCCAGACCTCTGGCGTAAGGTTTCTGAAACCGTCGCGCATTTAGCCATGCAAGCAAAGCTGTGATGAACAGACTCAACGTCCAAGGGCCCGTGCAGAAGGTCTGCCGCAGTGTAGTACGAGACGACTTGATATTCGATGCCTCCGACAGTCAACCCAATAGACTATAGTGAGATGAGTTTGCCAGAGTTGTTGCTCACGAGTAGGCCCAAGTAAGTATTCACCTTTCTGATGAGACCTCCAGGCTTGATCGTCAAGTACGAGCTCTGTGAGATCGAGCCACTAGTAGTGGGCTGCAAGCCTGCATCCTGACGTCCTCGTTTACGTTTACGACTATGTTTCTTCGAGTCAGGATCTATACGATACATCTCATGGTTAAGCTAGCGTGGGTTTAGCACCGAGGGTTGCATTCTGTCAACGATACACACCAAGAAATTGCCAGCGGTACACGATGCCAACCACTCCAAGCCGTCTGCTTCGTTATAAGCCAACTCTGACCTACGAGAAGGGAAAAGGCGCACCCATCCAGCTGTTAATACACGGAGGAAATGAGCTAGGTAGCTAAATATCAAATCTAACCAACTAAATCAAATCCAAAATATGTATGTGTTTGTGTTCGGGGTTCGAGCCGCAGGAAACGACTAACTGATTCAGATGTGCTACTGGTGGAACTTAAAGGTTGAGTGTTGTAATTAAAGAGAACTTTCAAGGATGAACAAAGA